GACGTTGTGCAAAGGATAGGGAACCGTTAAAATATCTCAGAAACTAATAAAGATATTTAATTTTTGTTAATTGCAAAAAATTTCTGCACTACTTAAGCTACTGATCACCGAAATTCATCTCAATACGATGATCAGATCGAATTTAATAAAATAACAAATTTGGTTCGATTTGCGTGAGACCCCCTAATATTATGGAATAAGCATAATTGGCGAGCCATCTGGGTCTTTAGGATCTGATGGAGCTGTGTTTCATCATTTAAAATATCAAAAAAAGGAAAATTATATGAAATTTTCTTCATTTATCTAGATATTAAATACATACTTGATCCTTTTGATTCAGGGATCAATCTGATTGGACGACCACCCGGCCCGGTAACTTGTGCTGATTTAACAGAAACAGAACCAGAAATCGTGTTAAGCGTTGAGATCTCGCGGCTTACTACTTACCATTTGGTCCGATCGTGGTTTGATCAGGATTCGACTGTTCATCATTTGGTGCTTCTGTTGATAGTATAATTGGCAAGCCATCTGGGCCTCTAGGATCTGATGGAACTTTGTTTATCAAGTTAAATATCAAAAAAGAGATTATAAATAATTTCTTTATTTATTCATATATTTACTACTTACCCGATACTCCTGATCCAGGAATTAGCATGATTGGAGCACCGGTCTGACCGGTACTTGGTGTGGATTGATCTGAAACTGGGAAAGAAATAGTAATTATGGTGAAGATGAAAATCCAGGTAGCCATGTTAGGTAGTTGTATATCACTTTTCTCACTTCGTAAGCTACAGTCGATCTGTATGTATCTGTATGATTTGAAGAATTTGAGATTGCATGCTTTTATACTTTACTCGAAGTAACTTGAACAATTAAAGCGTAATTTGGGCCTTTGATAAAATTACGTTTAAATACAACAAAAGCTGTGTTTATTTTGATGAATAAGAACATCTTTGCAGGTAACTCTTAAATTTTTCGCTAAATGTCACCATGTAATATTTACATTGTGGCTGCATGAATTTGCATACTGTATGTTTGTTTTAATCTAAGATAGCTGTTCAATCAATGACTGCCTATTCAAATCCCAAATCATATGATAAAAATGAAATATTTTGTATATCGGTAAAGTCCACTGTAGCGCGCTAAGCTCTTAATTATCAACCAGGGTGATATCATTTTAGTTATAAAAAGTATAAGAAAGTGTTTTTTTGACTTTCTAATAATGTGTTCCTCATGTGCACCGATGCTAAGTAGAAAACGAGCTTGGCCTTTTCACGAAAAATTTCTTCTTTCCTTTTGTTGAGCACAACTGATTCAATAGTGCCTCAAGTACATAAATTTCAGCAATCAAAAAAAGATGCAGATAAGTAGGATTTTAACTTGGTAACACAATGTACACGCAGGTGTTCATATTGTCAAGCCATATCGATGTTTACCTAAATGCAGAAGTTTTTAATGTGACTAATGCTCCTATTTTGGCGAGCTAACGTCTTACCTAGTAGGGTAGTTTATTCATTGTTTAGTATCCATTTCGATATCCTCATTTCATAGTTTTTCTGATTCCATGAGAGTAAAATCAATTGATAAACCAGCAATTATATATGTGAAACAGCGAAATGAATAAACTTCTAACTTTTGATCTTTCAAAATAACATTTAATGCTACGTTCAATGAAAAAAATTGATTTAATCTTGAATATGGATCATTTACATCAACTTATCCAGTTTAGTTTTCAATTGCAACGAGCAAATAGATTTCATTTTGAGATGAACAATGATTCAAATTGTTGATTCTTGACCCTTTCCAATTCATCTTGTATGCAAATCTGTTGAATAGAAAGTAAACTTTTTAATTTAAAATCAAATTCTCGTAACAAACTTACATTGACTACATCAATAAGTAACTCATCAAAAGCTTGATGCAAACAAGTGACAACCTAAAATGAAAAAACAAAGATTTAAATAACTCCAAGAAAGGAAACTCAATTATCTTACATATCTCAGTGATTCCGGCATTTCTTTCTTGACTAAACAGACATCATTTGTATCAGCGATTCGAGTCGTTATCAAGTCACCATAACATTTGAATATCTTTTCTTGTATTTGTTTGGGAATTATTTGAGTCTAATTGTTGGAATGGTAAATATTCATGGTTAATGGTCAATGGTTAAAGCAAAGCAAAAATTAAACTTACAAAGCACTTTGAATCTTTCAATTCCTTTGACTGTTCAATTTTCCCCGAAAGCTCAAGCAGTCCACAAAATAATTTAAAATCTTTAATATCATTTGATCCATCGGTGCAATTAAAAATAACAGATAAACTTAAAATAATCAGGCACAACTGCTTCATGTTGAAGTTGAATTAAACTCGTTGAAGCAATGGTGAAATTGAAGCACGATTACATTGGAAAATGAAAGTTGATCAAAATATGCTTTTCAGTATTTGAAATTTACGGTTGACATTGCAAATTATTTTGTCATAAATTTCATTTCAATGATTAACGGATTCAAAATTAATTATCGTTTTACAATGGATTTGATGTCAAAATTTTTATATTTTCAGCTGTAATTTAAAGTTTCATCAAAACAACAAGAAAAACATGTTCATTAATCATGTATTGTTTAGCTTGTCACAAAGTGAAAATTGTAATCGATGAAAAGTTGACCAGGACAATCCATTTGTAGTCCCAATGTATTGTTATAACTTATAAGCAACAGTTGGATCGATTAATCATAGCAATTATTCAATCTCTTTGACAAGTGTTTTCAATGTTTCATAACAAGTTCAGCTTACAAGTTCAATTATTATCATTGAAGGTTTAGTTCAACAACATGGTTAACAAAAGTGACTCTGGGAGGTGGAAACAATCAAATTATAACTTGAAATGTTATGCAAAAACTTAAGGTTATCTCATCTCTACTAAATGTTTCAATGTTAAATCCATTTCCATCTTTTATTATATAATCTTTCATCGCAAATGAATTGGTTTCTGGTCAACATAATTATTCGAGTTATCATCAGTGTCACCTTCACGGTCTGTGTTTTAAAATCAATTACTGATCTCAATTATCAGTACGGCTTGTTTCGTATCGCTTTCCATACATCTCACAATGATTCAGGTCTTTTTGAGCCACCTTGCATATCCATCTGCATTAAAGTGAAGTCGCTCATCAATGTGACTTCATTGATTACCCTTTATCCCGGGTTGGTCAAAACAGCCCAACGTATTATCCAAGACAATCAACAATTTTCCAACTGGTCTTTTGATCAACTTATTGAAGATGTTAATCAAGGAGAGAATTTAATTTTTGGAGAATTGACATTATCTCAAATTGCCAAAATCATTGTTCCAATTGAACAGCTTTTTGATAAATGTCATTATTTGGATGAAAATCTTAGCAATTCACCTTGTGAGGACAAATACTTCAAAACTTATTTTTACGACAAATCGCTTTGTGCCAGCTTCCAAGCATGGCCTCGACTTGGTATCGAATTTAGCAGATCAGACTTGCGAATACCTGGTTATCGAGGATTAATTTTGTACCAAGCGAGCCTCGACCTCACCCAAGTTCCGTCAGTTAGTGAATTTAGTGTTGTAGCTCATCGCCTCAACAAGATACCTTGGAGTCAAGGAGACTCTACAATTGAATTGAAACTCAATCCATCCGCAGTGATTTACCATTACATAACCTTCTTTGAAACAACAACCAAATTACTTCCACCGCCATTTGAAAGTCAATGCAAGATTCCCATAAAACCATACACTTCGGTAGGTCACTGTCTAAGTCGATGTTTCATGTCCAACTTTACTCGTATTACTGGCAGATTACCTCACCAATACGTGATTAATAATCCAAATAATCTTAAGTTTCTTCATCTTTATGAAGGTCTTGAAAAGTATCAAACCTTAGTAGCTCAATTGTATGCCCCGTGTAAAGATATTTGTGGTCTAACTGATTGCCTTTCTGATGCATTTGAATGGAGGAAGTTGGGTCATCCTGTGTCATCATATCACCCAAAGAACTATGTCAATCTACAGATTTACCCTCCGTCTAGATTACCGATTATTAAGGAAGCTCGTCCACAGATCGATTGGTTGGATTTTTTTTCGTCTATTGGTGGTGTCATTGGTCTTTATTTTGGTTTGTCATTTTTCTCGATGATTGACTTGATAATTAATTTTTCGTTTGATAATTTTATCGCAAAATTATTTGGTCACTCAAAAGCCAAAGAAGAAGTGAATAATCGTGTTCAACCATTGAATGTCGAGGTTTTGGATTTCACACAAACGGATCTATCATCTGGAAGCTATTTCGTTTACAGTCGATAACTTATTAATGTGGTGAAAAGAGAAACGACATTTTACAGTCGATTTGATTAATAAAGTTCTTGTTAAAGATGTGAAAATACACAAGCGAGCAGAAAAACTGTCACTTCACAATTTTTACTTTAAACTTAAATATCTTGTTTCAATGATTTGATATTTTTGATCTAATTTTTTTATCTTGATATGGGATCAAAAAGGATAATATTAAGGCACTTTAGGCGGGTTAATTAGATTAATTTTCATAAATAAACGTAGTAAAAATGTATCCTTCAAGTGCAAATGAAAGGAAAAGAAATGAAGTTTGTTTTGTGTTGAAAAATATTACCAATAATATAAAAAATTGTGCCAATTTGACTAATGTTAGTCCAAGAACCGTTTTACGAGTGAAAAAACGGTTAAAAAGTGGCCAGTCAATCAAAAGAAAGCCTGGATCTGGACAATCGCCTACTTTAAATTCTCCGCTCGAGGTCATAGCGCTTTGAAAATTTGTCGCAGGTCAATTGACTCGAAAGAGTATATTGAAACAACTAAAAAATTTTTAGTTGGAACAATGGATGCTCTTTATCCTGATGGCTACACTTTCCAACAAGACAATGCTCCATGTCATGTCAGTAAAATGACCAAAAATTTTTTTCTGACCTCTGACATTACTGTTATGAGCTGGCCAGCTAACTCTCCTGACCTCAACCCAATTGAAAATGTTTGGGGTTACATGAAAAAACATCTATCAAAAATAAAAATCAAATCAATTGATGAATTAATTGGTCATGTTGAGCGTCTTTGGGATAATCTCACTCATGATTATCTAACTTCATTGACGGAGTCAATGCCAAGGCGCATTAACTTATGTTTACAGGCCAATGGAGGTCATATTCCATATTAAATTTTTAATAATATTATTTGTTTAGTATTTGATTATCTATTTCATTAAATATCATATTTCAATTCATTATAATTACATGTTTATAATCAAAAAACGAAGTGACAGTTTTTCTGCTCGCTTGTGTAATTGAATTGTATATAGATTATTCCACCTTTGAAGAACAAATCAGAATCTTTGGATTTCAATTCAAGAATAGATTTTAGTTGCTGGAATTGATTTGTAATCCATAGAAATGGAGTCTATTTGTTTCAAGTTAAAAATTCGATCCATTTCTAATTCAAAATCATCGCTGCAATCTTATTCAAACTTGAATTCTCGATTGTTATTCCTTATGAGTGCATATTTAAATAACTGATTTTTATAATGTTACTCTAAATGCCACATTAAAAAACTAATTCATTTGATAAAAAATGGTCATTTTGATACTACTACAGACTAACAAGCTCGACGGTTGTTGCTGAAAAGACACAATTCTCACACTTATGCACTAATTGACACAACTGGGCAAAAACGGCTGAAAATTAATTTATTTCAAATTTAGATTGTGTCGGTTTGAAGGGATATGAAAACTGAATCCATTTGTGTGATTTAAAGATTTCTCTAATCCACAGTTTTCGAGAGGATCGAGGTCAAAGTTGAAACTTCGATCGTCTTTTGTGCAACTATGAAAGCAGATTCTTTCACTAAACTAATGCTACTGATGCAATTTGTAATGATCAATCAGAAAATGTACGCTTTTGAGAAATAAAATTTTTCTTTTTCTGCAAAACATATAAGTTCGATTTTTATTTTATTTTTCTTCACATCATCCATTAAACTTTTTTAACAGTTTAATAATAGTTCTCTTGATTTCGGCCATCGGTCTTAAAACTTTGCGACTCGATATTTCGAGAATGGTCTAACCTAAAAGGATTATTCTTTCTCCGATTCCATTCTATACTAATTGCTAATACAATGCAATTTAATAACTTTCTATTATTAGATTTTAGACTTGATATTTAAACTGAATATGGGCGAGAAACAGCTTACTTAACAAACTAAACTCATTTTAACCCATAACTTGATGAATAAAGCAATTTTCTGGTTAAACTTACAAATGAAATGGAAAGAGTGATGCTAAAGACGCTAAAATTTGGGTTGAGAGTTGAGACTTTATGGGATTTGTAGAGACATAAAAACTGAGTCTATTAGTACTATTTAATGATCTCTATTATGAATAGTTTTCGAGAAAATCGACGTCAAAGTTTAAACTTCGAACGCTTTTTGTTCAACTATGGAATAAGATTTTTCCATGAAACTAAATTTACTGATGATTATTTCAATGAACAACCAGAAAATGTATTTATTTTTAGTGATAGAACTTTTCTTTTTCTGCAAAACAGATCAGTTCGATTTTTAGCTAAACCGATCGCAATCTAAGACCACAGAAGTAGGAGAGCTCAAACTTGTTATTTGTACATTAAAATTGTTACTCCATATCATGGACTAAAAATTTACAACAATTCAATAATAGTTCTCTTGATTTCGGCCATCGTTCTTAAAACTTTGTACCTCGATATTTCGAGAATGGCATAACCTAAAATCAGCATTCTCTCCCCAAGTCAATTCTTTACTAATTGCTAACGCACCACAATCTCATAAATTTCCATTTACTGACTTTGGACTTGATATTGCGACTGTAAATGTGTGAGAAACAGCTTATTCAACAAACTAAACTCATCTTTACCCATTTCTTGGTAAATAAACTCATTTTCTGGTTAAACTTACAAAATGAAATGCAAAGATTGCCGCCAAAGACGCTAACATTTGGGTTGAGAGTTGAGACTTGATGCCATTTGTAGGGAAACAAAAACTGAGTCTATTAGTACTATTTAATAATTTCTCTGGTGAGCAGTTTTCGAGAAAATGGAGGTCAAAGTTGAAACTTCGATCGCCTTTTGTGCAACTACGAAAGCAGATTCTTTGAACTAAACTAAATTTACTGATGTTAATTTTGATGACCAACAAGAAAATGATCTTACTTTTAGAAATGATATTTTCTTTTTCTGTTGAACGGGCCAAGTTCGATTTTTTGTTAAACCGACCGTATTTTATGACCATGAAATTCAGAAAGCTGAAACTCATTATTTGCGCAGAAATATTGTTTCTTCACATTATGGATCAAATTATTTTAATGATGTATCAACAGTTCTCTTGATATTGGCCATTAGCCTTAAAAATTTGAACCTGAATATTTCGAGAATGCTTGCACCTACAGTCATCTTTCTTTCATCAGACATTAGATTTTACTATGGGCTATAATAGTATATGACTGAATACCTAACAAAATTTGAGATAATCCATCTAATAATGAAGATCCTTCCAATGCATACGTTTTGTTTTTGATTACCATTCAACTTTATAAATAAAGTCTCAAATCTGACAACATCAGTAATACAACGATATAACTTTTTTTGTAGAATCTTGAAAGCATTTGTATTTCAATATGATATTCCTTATAATAAAATCTAATGTTTGACCAATAATCATGACTTTAAGATAAGCAATTCTCGAAATATCGAGGATCAAAGTTTTAAGACCAAGGGCCAATATCAAGAGAACTGTTTATAAATTGAAAAAAACATTTGGTTCATAATATGAGTAGACAATTTTTATGCATAAAGGATGAGTTGTAGATCGCTAACTATTACGATTACAATGAGTAGTTAGTTTAACTAAAAATCGAACTTGGTCCGTTCAAAAGAAAAAGAAAATATTGTTTCTAAAAGTAAGACCAGTTTCTGGTTGGTAATCAAAATCTACATCAAGTTACAAAGTTTCATGGAAAAATCTTATTCCATAGTTGAACAAAAAGCGTTCGAAGTTTAAACTTTGACGTCGATTTTCTCGAAAACTATTCATAATAGAGATCATTAAATAGTACTAATAGACTCAGTTTTTATGTCTCTACAAATCCCATAAAGTCTCAACTCTCAACCCAAATTTTAGCGTCTTTAGCATCACTCTTTCCATTTCATTTGTAAGTTTAACCAGAAAATTGCTTTATTCATCAAGTTATGGGTTAAAATGAGTTTAGTTTGTTAAGTAAGCTGTTTCTCGCCCATATTCAGTTTAAATATCAAGTCTAAAATCTAATAATAGAAAGTTATTAAATTGCATTGTATTAGCAATTAGTATAGAATGGAATCGGAGAAAGAATAATCCTTTTAGGTTAGACCATTCTCGAAATATCGAGTCGCAAAGTTTTAAGACCGATGGCCGAAATCAAGAGAACTATTATTAAACTGTTAAAAAAGTTTAATGGATGATGTGAAGAAAAATAAAATAAAAATCGAACTTATATGTTTTGCAGAAAAAGAAAAATTTTATTTCTCAAAAGCGTACATTTTCTGATTGATCATTACAAATTGCATCAGTAGCATTAGTTTAGTGAAAGAATCTGCTTTCATAGTTGCACAAAAGACGATCGAAGTTTCAACTTTGACCTCGATCCTCTCGAAAACTGTGGATTAGAGAAATCTTTAAATCACACAAATGGATTCAGTTTTCATATCCCTTCAAACCGACACAATCTAAATTTGAAATAAATTAATTTTCAGCCGTTTTTGCCCAGTTGTGTCAATTAGTGCATAAGTGTGAGAATTGTGTCTTTTCAGCAACAACCGTCAACGCGGTAATCTCAGTTCTTGCATATTTTGGCATTTGAACAAAGATCTCGATTGTTGGTTTTTCTCACGTTGAGAATGTCTGAAAGTGAGAGTTTCTCATTAATTTATGCAAATAACTTTTCGTGTATTCGAGTTTGAGCTTATTTTTGGTGAAATTTAATGATTTTTTATTTTGTTTTAGATGCAAATCGAAGTCATAATATTAATCCGAATAAATAAATGAAACAAATATAGTCAGAGTCAAATTAATATAGCATTTATTGATTTATTTATTATTCAGTGAGTCTCTTAGCATTATCATGAATATATTTTTGAGCAGCTGTGAACTCAAAGTGAAAATTGGTCTTTATCAATAACAATTAATCGAAATATTTTCCATTTTAATGTCACAGTTAAATATAAAGATGATTTAGATTCGTTATTTGGGTTGACAAGATCTGTTATACAGAAAATTGTAACAAATGGTATCAAAAGAGATAGCTTGGTCATTCCTTAGGATGTTTTCATCAAATATTAAGTTATTTTATCCAATTTAGCTATTTGCCACTATTGTCCATTGCATCTTAAGTGCTTGAGGTTAAGATAAAAAATTTGATGAATAATCAAATTGAGACAAAAACAAAAAAGCTCCCATGGTAGTTTTTCAGATATAAGCATCCATGCTTATAAAATTCATGTCACATTGCAGCTCAACCAATATGCTATCATAATACAGAATTCAAACGAATCAAATGTGTTCACGCTTTTAATTTTTTCACTTATAATGCAACATTGAAAAGACAGAGACCAACAATTTATTCAGAAACCAGATAAACTTTAAAGATCGTCCAAGAAAAAGTAGTTTCCCGACTTTTTCTGTTCTGTATCCTTGACAGAATTTAACTTATTGATTCTAGGTCTAAAGTTATTTGGATCTCTTCGGAAAGTTATGTTCAATAGCTCCAAGAATCTATTCATACCACCAAGCAAGGTTTGGGGACTGTTGGCATATGTTTTAACTCCAGGTTCACCTTCAAAAACAACAACACGATCGGCCAAGTAAGTAGCCATGATAAAATCGTGCTCTACAACGAATCCAGTCTTTTTTGAGTGGAGAATGAATCTTTTAATTACTTTGGCTGCAACTAAACGTTGTTCTGAGTCAAGATGAGCGGAAGGTTCATCAATCAAGTAAACATCAGCAGGTTTACCCAAACATAGTACTAAAGCGACTCTTTGAGCTTCACCACCAGAAAGATTAATAACCTCTTGATCCAGTAAAGCTTCAATATTAAGTGGCTTCACAACTTCAGCTTGAAATTGGGGATGACAATAAGCTTCTCGGATCTTATCAAAGAGTAGATTTTTAACAGTTCCCTGAGATTTCGGACTGATCTTCTGAGGCTTGTAACTGATGTTTAGCGTAGGAACGTCACCTTCACCACTATCAGGTGCATAACGACCAGCTAATAAACGGATAAAAGTTGTTTTACCAGTACCATTTTCACCCAATAATACTATAATTTCAGAGTCAGTGAAAGTTCCCTGTTTTACATTCAACTCGAATTGGTCACCCATCTTTTTAACCATCGTTGGATACTCATAACGGCACATTCGACGAACTTCTTCTTCAGCAGCTGTTTCTGAAACCTTAAAAACAAGCGAGGCATCTCGGAACCGAAGATTTTCAGTGGGAACAAAACCATCAAGGAAAATGTTTATACCTTCACGAACAGAGAAAGGCATAGTTACAACACCATAGGCTCCGGGCACTCCGTAAAGACAACAAATGAAATCAGAAAGATAATCTAGAACAGCAAGATCGTGCTCAACCACAATAATATAACGGTCAGATGTTATCAAGTATCTAATAGCTTCGGCAGCCTTCAAACGCTGCTTAACATCAAGATAAGATGAAGGTTCATCAAACATGTAAATATTGGCTCTCTGGATGCACACCATTGCAATTGCAAATCTTTGTAGTTCTCCTCCACTAAGATCTTCCACGTTCCTCATCCGAATAACTTGATTTATGTCCAGCATATCACATATTTCATTTTGATTTTTCATTTCATCCTTTTTATCGAGATGAAATTGAACTGTACCTTTAACAGCTTTAGGTATCTGATCAACATATTGTGGCTTGACAATGGCTTTCAATTCATCTTCTAAAATTTTAGTGAAATAATTCTGAAGCTCTGATCCACGGAAATAAGTCAAAATTTCACTCCAATCTGGTGGATCACTTCCCCATCGACCTTTAATAAAAAAAGACAAATTTAGATTCAGCTTACAGCAAACTAGGTATTAAATAAAATACTGGCTTACCTAAATTGGGTTTGAGTTTGCCAGCTAAAATTTTCAAGGCAGTTGATTTACCAATACCATTTGTACCTACAAGACCCAATATTTCAGCAGGTCTTGGAATTGGAAGACGGTGAAGTTTGAATGAATTCTGTCCATATCGATGAGTTGTTGCCTTTTCTAAATTACTTGGAAGATTGATAATGTGAATAGCCTCGAAAGGACATTTTTTCACGCAAATACCACATCCTATGCAGAGCTCTTCACTGATTTTTGCGATCTTATCATTTGGAGTAACCTCGATACAAAGTTTGCCCATTCTCACAACTGGGCAACTTTTTTTACACTCCTGCTTACATCTTTTTGGCTTACATTTATCATTGTTGACAATTGCAATACGAGTTAACTTATCTTGTGTATCACCACCAGCTGGACCACGACCTGCCATTATACTAAATTCAGGGTACTGAGCAACAATAATAAAACCAGATTAAACTAATTACCAAGCTGAAATCTTGGCAAAACAAATAAATACTAATTAGATCACAGATTTAGATTTTAAAAATGTTTTGCTGTCCACGTTGACTTTGAAGCGGCTCACAGAAGATGGCGCAGCCTACTTTTCCTAACTCCGCAATTTTTGAAAAAAATGTCTTTACTAATCAAAACAATCAATAGATTTAACATAAATTGAAAAGCTAATAGTTTATATTATTTACAAAAATATTTACATTTTATAGCCTTAAAGAAAATTTGCATGATTTCAAGCAATCTTGTTGTTTCAAATATTTTATTGGATCTTACAGGAAAATAGCAAACAACAATTTCCTTGACTATACAATAACATAAAGATCAGAATCAATAAAATAAATAGATCAAGCTAAATAATTAGCTAATAATTCATATTAAACTAGATTGATATCAAAAACAAATGATATTAAGATAAAAAAGACACATTGAAATGAAAAGATGACATAAAATTATTAATGATTCAAGTCTAGAATGAAATCAAAGAAAATTGGACGAAAATTAAAGGCCCAAACCCATTAATTAATTATATATCTTCCTGTTTTTAGCAATCAATTGGGATGATCATGTTCATTGGTACAAAGGGAAGCAAAACAGCTAGAAATGAGTTGACATGAATGGTAAATATTGAAATAGGTTGATCACTATGGATATTATTTTCGGGTTAAAATCATAACAAAAACTGAAATGAAAGGTAAAAACAATAAATTGTTGCAGTAAATTTCAATAGACTTTTTTAGTGTTTAAATTGTTCATTCGCCTGAAACTTAATTCTTGTGTTGATTATCTTTATAATTGAAAGAGATTGTAAAACTGGTTAACAACCAACTTATCAGACCATCAAATGTGTTCAGGTTGCTTATGTTTTCCAAGGTATTAACATTTCTCATTTTATTTTGTTCAACGCACTTCAATCTATTGACCATCGAGTTAATCATACTTTTTACCAACTTAATTAGACAATTTAGATATATTGATGAATCCCATTTGACGCTCTTTCATGTTTCTTTTATCAAATTGTGAGGAAACTTAAGACAATTTAGATTATTTCAATCGATTTACCTTTAGTTTGCATGTTAAATATACATTAGGCCGAAACACTTGGATCCAAACCTTTACAGTAATGAATCACTATCATCACTTTCATCATCACAATCTTCATCATAATCATCATCATTACCAGGCAAATGAATTGGAAATGCGCTTGAAAGCGCGTCAATTTGGGTATGAACTCACAATCAATATAATCAATCTCCTTAATCATCTATTTTAACCATTAACTTCCCATTCACCTTACCTTGAATCTCTTTGTTTTTAAACGTATAAACAGTCTTATTCATTTCTTATTGAGTTAACTCTATTCATCGACACTTGATTATTGATTTCAATTATACTTTTCAATTTTAATTCTTTAAGTTAATGACCACTATTTGTGATATCTAACCTAGATTGACTGTTGATCTAATATCTCCTGTTATTATTGTTATTCCCTTTACCTTCACTATTGGATTATTGTTCACATTGGGTTAAACATTGGATTTACTTGGACTTTACTATTGGACTCAACTATTGGATCAAATTTTGGACTTGTTAATCAACACGGAATCGACTGTCCAACAATGATGAAGTGGTACAATAAAACGTGTACAAATGCAAACATCTAACAGCAATAACAATAGTGTTAACAACAGTATGGATAAGTATGAAAAAATATCTAAAATTGGTGAAGGCTCGTATGGATTGGTGTTTAAGTGCCGTAACCGTGAGAATGGTCAGCTGGTTGCTGTTAAAAAATACGTTGAGACCGAAGATGATCCACTAATTAAGAAAATTGCTCTTCGAGAAATTAAAATGCTCAAGGTAAGTGTCGAAAGCTTATTACTAATTATTTAAACATCTTTTCATGCACTTGTGTTAGGCCTTAAAATGGCCTTAGTTTGGTTAAATTTTCAACATTGCTCTTTAACAATCAAATCTCATTAGTTATTGTTTTTTTACCATTATTTACAGTCAAATCTATGCAGTGAAGGTTATCAAAATCAATCTTCACACTGAAGCTGAGCTTGTTCAATGATTAAATAACATATTTCAGTTCCAGAATCTTTGATATTGATTTTGTTTATCAGAGCATAACATTTATGTTTGCTATTATAAAAGTGACAAAAAATATCTGTTATTTTGTTTGATTCAACAATCATCTTGCTGAAAGGTTTCTGATGGAAACTTCATGTAGATTGTCATTGAAAAAAACTAATAAACATACAATCGGCACAAGTCCATGATACATGTAGTTTATTTAATAGTTTTTGTTTCATTAAATCAAAATCTGGTCAATATTGTCAAGGCTGTGAGAGTTATTATTATATCGTCCAAATTATCTTTCCATCCATTGGCTATTGTTGGTAGCAAAATTATTTAATTGCATGTCAAGTTGGTCTCTTTTTCATATGAGTTTACGGCCATCTAAAAACATGTGAAGAAATATAAACAAGATCAATAATCAATAATAAAATAATTGTTAAAAGAGTCAAAAATGTCATAACGATCAAAATTTAATCACCATCTTTCATATTCAATTACTGCGCCTCATTCAATTTGACTGTTTCTTTCTTTCTCCCCTCTCTTTTTGTTTTTGTTTTGATATAGCAACTCAAACATCCTAACCTAATCAATTTGATTGAGGTTTTTCGGCGCAAAAGAAAATTACATTTAGTATTTGAATATTGTGAATTAACTGTTCTTGATATCCTCGAAAAATATCCGAAAGGAGTTCCAGAATATTTAACTAAAAGGATAATCTGGCAGACAATTAATGCCGTCAACTTTTGTCATCAACATAACGTAAGTATTCAAGCTAGGCAACTCTTTTCAAGTCATTTTAAAATTTTTTAGGTTTGCAATTTAAATAATTTACATGAGTTAATATAATGATTCTACTTTGTTTGCTTAACAGCTGATTAAATATCCAATAGCAAAAAATCTGTGTAAAAATTGAAGTTTAACTATTTTTCCTTCTCTATTTCTAGTGTATTCATCGTGATGTGAAACCGGAGAATATTTTATTAACTCGTGATTTTATCGTTAAATTATGTGACTTTGGATTTGCCCGTACTTTAAGTCCTAATGGTAACTACACTGATTATGTAGCAACTCGATGGTATCGAGCACCAGAGTTATTGGTTGGTGATACTCAATATGGTCCTGCTGTGGATGTTTGGGCTATTGGATGTGTAACAGCTGAGCTGATGAGAGGTGAAGCTCTTTGGCCTGGTAAATCGGATGTCGATCAATTATATTTGATTCGGAAAACATTGGGAGATTTAATACCTCGTCATATTCAAATATTTAGGTCCAATGATTTTTTCGCCGGTGTAACCATACCTGAAACTGAAATTACGGACCCATTATCAAATAAAATACCTCGTCATATTGAAGATTCGGGATTTGATTTCTTAAAGAAATGTCTTGATAAAGATCCACAGAAAAGGCCAACATGTGAGACACTTCTGCGCCATCAGTATTTCAATAATGTCAAAATTCCGGAGTTAGAAAATGAAGAAGTTCAATTCAAATTCCGTCAACGTTCAAAGGTACTGCTTGAGCTTTTTCGCTTGTAACCGTGTTGGGTTCTTTTTAATCAAATTTTACTAATCTTAGCCTTATCGGTGTTATCGATATCTCGCGTTTTTAAGCTTTATTATCATCAACTAATAATAATTTATTTTTTTTCAAAATAGTATGGCCAATCGTTGCTTCCACACTTACCCAATCATGGATCCCCTGAAATAAGAGCAGTTCAATTACATTCCCGTACAATAAATCCTAGAGGCAGCATTGGAAGCACAAATGGTGCATTAAACAATCGACCCAATAGATTTGACCATTTGCCCAATATTTGAAGAAAAGGCTGTTTTAATCAGTTGATCATTGTATATCTTACACTCATTTATTAATAGATATGATTATCATCATAGTCATCGTCATCAATTGTTGTCTTAAAAACTATTGAAGGTCATTAAATTGTTTTCGCAATTGTCATGTACTTAAGATTATTCAAATTACATTACGGAAAAAGACTAAATAAGATTTTGGTGAAAACACTATCCAAGTAACTAGTCAAAAATTAATTTAAATTAAAATAGACCACTTTCAAGAATCACCCTGGCAGAGTCGATATTAATTGTGACCAATAAATCAAATGTTTAATAAATGATCCAGTCTCATATTCAGCTAACGTGGCTGCTATTAATAATGTTAGAATGATGTATAATTACATGTGTACATGCAAAATCCAGATTTTAGTTCCAGTTTCATCGATATTAGCTATAAAGAAAGCCAAATTTATCACGTAAATCCATCAAGTGTTTAAAATAATTTGATTTATCAAAGAAAACTGCAAAAATGAATGGTATTGAAAGCCTAATTAATCAAGTACTGATTTAATTGTTTTACCAAGATAAGGGATGAATATTAAACTGTTGGACTAAGCATACTTAGGCTCTTCATTATTAAAAGGACAAAATTTAAAAAGCCAATAATCTTCAGTGTTTATCTTTTACAAATAGTAAAATTACTTCAAATCACTGTTGAACTTTCACCTTTAGTTTATTTGGAAATGATTCGTTGAAATATTTTATCCATCTTTAAATACAATTTGGAAAGTCTTTGCCATCAGTTGTAGTTTTGATTCCTTAATTGTTTAACCATTCAATCGGATTTTATTTCACCAGTTGATTTACTAACTTCCTCAGTTTGTTATCAGCAGATGTCACTGAAGTTTACCTTCACTGTTTGTTGTTTCCTACTTTTAACTTGGTAGCGTCATCTGATGAATCCACTTTTGGCGGGTTACACTCATTCATCTTTACTACCTTTGTTAATTTTGTAATTTTAAGTGATTTATCAATGAGTTTCCGTTAAAATTTTGAATTTCATTCAAAATTATTGTTATTGGTTTTCTTTTAGCTTGCTAATTGTTATTGGATGAAACTTATCAATATGTCAAGTGACGAAGAAGAAAGGTTAGTTGTTTTCAATGGTTTCTTTAAGGCTCTGTGTTACGTTTTTGTTTTAACATTTCTCGTGTTTCCTTTGTTGCTTTTTTTCTTTTTACCTTGCTTACTCTACAGTCTTTCAGCTCTACCCAGAAGAAGTAATACCAAAAGACGAATAATGTCCTCGGATGAATCAGACAGTGAAAGTATTGAAGTGATCTCTTCTCATTTTGCAAAAGGAAACCCAGCCAAAGGAAGGAGAGCAAGAACACCATCTAAAAAAATTAGAACAGTCAATCTATCTGACTCGGAAGAATCTGACCAAGAAAAATCTGATGAGTCTAAAATTTATGAAGAAAAGGATAGTGATTACGATGACTCTAATTTATCTGGGCCATCACCTGTAGTCGATATAAGTGAAGAAGAAAACTTCCTTGCTAGTTCATCTGATGAAGAACTTGTTCAAAAAAGCCCTTCTGCACCTGATTTGGATGACGATGAAGATTACGATGATCTTGTCGGAGAAAGCTCAGAAGATGAAGAAGAAGCAATTATTCAATTGGGAATTGACTCTGGTAAAATGTCATTGAGAGCTCAGGTTCTATCTTACTTGGAAGATGCAAGTGAAAACGATTTGCTACACATCCCAGGTGTTTCGAAGAAAAAGGCTCAGAATATAATCAAGTTGCGACCTTTCGCTAATTGGATGGATCTTGTTACTAAAATCAAATGTGATCGTTCTTTAAGTTTGGATTTAATTGAAGATTGTAAGGAAATAGTCAAAAGTCATCAGGCTATATCCAGACTTATGAGTGAATGTGAAAAGATATCCGAGAAAATGGGTGAAACAGTGGCAAAAATAGAACCTGCTATTCAACCTAATATACTCAATCGCTCCATGACATTAACAAATTATCAATTAATTGGACTCAATTGGCTTGTGCTTTTGTACAAACGTAATATTAATGGGATTTTAGCTGATGAAATGGGTCTTGGTAAAACTATTCAAGTCATTGCTTTGCTAGCTTACCTGCGTGAGCATCTTAATAACAAAGGACCTCATCTTATAGTAGTTCCATCATCAACATTAGAAAATTGGCAAAGAGAATTTGAAACATGGTGTTCGTCTATTAGAGTCGTTGTTTATCATGGATCAATGGACTTTCGAGCTCATTTAAGAGCATCTTTAGGATCTAAAAAGGAAAAATTTGATGTTCTCCTTACAACATACAATCTTGTTAGTAGTGCAGATGATAAACGATTCCTTAAACGACTTCCCTTGCAATACATCATCTTCGACGAGGCTCACATGCTGAAGAACATGAAATCTAATAGATTTTCGAATTTAATTTCTCTAACAGCTAAACGTCGACTTCTACTCACAGGTACTCCTGTTCAAAACAATCTATTAGAGCTAATGTCTCTTCTTTTTTTCACTATGCCTTCGTTTTTCTCGAGTAAATTAACACATATTCAAAATCTATTTGCAAGTAAGAATCGTAGAGATGGTGAGACAACATTTGAAAAGGATAGAGTTGATCAAGCAAAGCGAATCTTGAAACCTTTTGTTCTGAGGCGACTTAAAATAGATGTACTCAAGCAATTGCCTTCCAAAACGGAACATATTAAATCCTGTCCTATGGAAGCTCAACAAGAGTTAACCTACATGGAACTTGTTGAAAATTACACCAGAGAGATTCGCTATAGTGGAAAGAATATCTTTGAAAATATTGTGGAGTCTGATGAAAACCTGTGTAAACTCAGACGAGGAGCAGGGATGCTGATGGAATTACGAAAAGCAGCAAATCATCCATTGTTACTTAGGAGACATTATAATGCCGATAAGCTACGAGAAATGGCAAGGTTGATGCTAACTGAACCTACTCACGCTGATGCTAATGTCGATTATGTTTATGAAGATATGGAAGTCATGACAGATTATGAATTGCATCGTTTATGTAATAATTTTAAATCGTTAAAAGATTTTAGGCTCAGTTCTGAATTTATTCTTACATCAGGAAAATTCAAAGTTCTTGATGAACTGTTACCTTTTTTCAAAGAAAAAAACCAAAGAGTTCTGATATTCAGCCAGTTTACAATGATGCTGGATATAATGGAAGAATATTTAAAGATTCGTAAGCATGAGTTCCTTCGATTAGATGGTCAAACCAAAGTTTCTGATCGACTCAACTTGATTGATCAATTTACCGATGACACTAAAATTTTTGTGTTTTTATTATCAACACGAGCTGGTGGACTTGGTATTAATTTGACCTCAGCAAATGTAGTCATTATTCACGATATTGACTTTAATCCTTATAATGACAAGCAAGCTGAAGATCGATGTCATAGAGTTGGCCAAGATGCTCCAGTTGAAATTTATCGATTAATCAGTGAAAATAGTGTTGAAGAAGGAATTTTAAAAATCTGTGATGAAAAACTTAAACTAGGACAAGATATTTATGTTAAAAATGGAAAAAATCATGGTAAGCATTCTCAAAGAAACTAATCTTTTCATTTGGCATTTGATATTCTCAATTTAATAATTATTCCTTTTGTTTTTTCATTAGCTCGGGACGATTCCAAAGATTTAAAGACTCTTCTTCGCAGGACCTTAGGCATATAAAATCGAGACATCTGGTTTTGTATTTAAAATTGCCACTTCTCACCTAAATCAATGAAATTGTCTTTGAAACATAGCTCGCTACCAAATGATTGCATTTTCATCTTTTACTTTTATATTTTTCTATCTTGCAACCAACAATTGGTTAAAACTCGAATGAATTTTTCCTTCTAACATTTTTGGTAAAAATGTTATCCGACTTGTGTAACCTGGCCTTTGGCTTGGTATAAATTTCTTTCCGCATCTTTCCTTCCAATCAGTTAATGTGTTTGTTATAATCGTTCAATATTATAATTGTATTAAATATATTATACTAGGACAATAACCGACAATGACCATTGTTATATCAAACGCTCTCATAGATATTTGGTGATCAGCATTCTTCCTAATCCACTAGTTTTGATTATTGTTGTACCATTTGCATCATGAGGTTTATGCTATTAAACAATTTGTTTACATTTATTGATGAAAACAAAAATTGAATCTAACGGATTTTACTTGGTCTCAATACATCTTGAGTACAGATAATTTTCATATCAAATAAGTCAATAGTATGATATTTAAAATAATTTGACTGCAGGAGGTAAATTAGCAATCTTGTGGTGTGTCAGTAAATCGAAGTTTGGTAAATCCAAGTTCAATTACTTTGGCTTCCAGTTTTTGAATTATCTCATTATCTAGAGATGGCTTCCTTGAAAGTATCCAAGCATCATCTAATCAAGTTGGAAACGAAATGAAATTGTAATTAAATTTGAATTGAGTCAAATGAAAATTAATACTCACTGATGTTGAAAAATCCAAAGACATTATTGCAAGAAACAACCAAACTGTAGCCAGTGTAATCAGTGTCAACAACCCAATATTGAGCTGAAGGAGAGACTGGATTTAAGGAGGAAAAGGATTAGGAAAAATTAAGCATTCATTTTGGATCATAACTTCGTTATCAAACTTACGTGGGAAAAATTTAACAGCAAAGACGTTGGACTTGTCAGTTGTGGCTGCAGTACCAATAGTGGCAACTGGTTTGCCTTTAGGATTGACACCACTGTTGTTAACAATAACGTTGCCAGCTGCTTGGTCTAGCTTGTAATTGGCTTGGACACAACGGAGACCGTTCTCAAAAATTTGACCGGTTCGCTTAATTTCATACCAAGTACCGAGGAACTGTAACAAAACAATAAAAACATCAATTGATGCATTGGAATACACAAGTTCACACAAGTGTTTGATGTTGGTAAATCAATCTTACCGAGTTAAGTTTGAATGGCTCTGGAAGTTCAGTGGCTTCGGGACATTTTCCAGGTGAAATACTGCTTTTAATATCGTCTAAGTCAACTCTTAAATCAGTTAAATTGAAAATTTCTGGAACAATTCTTTTAATTTGCTGAAGTGGATCAAGAGTTAAACTTGGAATTACAAAAGCTGAAGCTGATGCGAATGCAAAAACACAGAGGATAAAAAATTGTTTCATTTTGGATTGTTGACAAATTAACCGTTGACACTAAATAAATTGACAAATGACTTACAATTGAACAATTAATAGCAAATATTGTTATTAATGGGTCTTATATACCTAAATCTGTGGATTATATCAAATCTCTAATCGATCGGTACTAAGCGTACTTAATAGACTTGATCATAGATTAACTCATAGATCCTGTTAAAAATAATAATGATTATAACAAATTTCCCATATTCCAATGAAATTCTCATTTATCCATGAACAATAGCGTTGAATAATCTTGCAATAAAATCAAATCATTATCTAATCAACATTATGCATAGTGACAATATTATTGTTTACTTGTAACGCACTGAAACAATAAAGCTGTTATGAATCAAGGATCAAATAAAGTAAAGAACAAATTAACAGAATTGACTGAAATTTGAACCAGAATCCATCTTGAAATAAAATAAGATTCCGAACCAGTCCAGCTAATTCCATAAATTGATATAATCATTAAAAACCATGAAGCTTTAGTATTTGGTCAACTTGCTAAATTGTCTGTAAATGTAAATAGTAAAAGACTTTCCAATCTTTTCTGTTTTCATTTTCAATTGAAGATCAGTGTTAATATAATCACCTAATTGTTTTTTAATAATTGACTGTTTCCAAGGCTTTTAATGCTATTGATTTAGCATTTTCATTACACATTGTAACAGTTATGATTACCATTTACTGTATTAATATTTCAGTGTCAAGAGTTTTTTAACAGTTTCATATTAATGTCAATCAATGTCAAATTTAACAAGACTAGCTGATTCATTTTCTGGGCTTTCCATTGTGCTTAACAATTGATTGCGTACATTAAAACATGTATAAAACAATTTACATTGGAATCAATGTTAACACTAAGAACTAAATTGTAGAATGATTTGTTTTACTTTAACTGTTGGCTTTCTATTAGTAGCTTCGGCAATTTCAGCTCCATCCAGTGATTGTGGTAAGTGCAAGTGCAATTAAACTTCATTGTAACAAGAAGCAAAACCGTGCCATTGATTATATCTTTTTGCTATCAAAAATTAATTTTTCAGAGTGTGGAATCGAAGGATCTAAATCAAGAATCAGAAATGGTAACAAAGTTAAAAATCATAAATATCCATGGTTGACTCATATTAGGTAAATAATTCAGTCTTCAGACTTTCTTTAATTCCTTTGATTTTCTAATTTAATTGTTCTGTGTGTTTATTATTGAACAGAGGATATGAAGATCGAGAAACTGGTATCTTTTATCAATGTGGTGGTTCTCTGATCGATAAAAAGCATATTATTACAGCAGCTCATTGTTTCGAGAAAGAGGATGGCACTTGGATTGAACCTTCGGAAATTGATGTTTACCTTGGAATGGTTAAATCTTCTGATGATGAGGAGGAACCTTATGAAGTGAAAAAACTATGGATTGATCCCGATTATGATACAAAGGAATTATCTCATGATTTTGCCATATTAACGCTTAAAAAATCAGTTAAATTTAATCGTCATGTTTCACCCATTTGTTTACCCAAATCTAACGAGGATGTGACACAGTTTACGGTCGCTGGTTGGGGTAAAACAAGTGCTGATCCAGACGATGAAACCTCGGAAAATTTGCTGGAAACTTCTGTCAATCTTGTTCCAAGTAAGTGTTCAGTCAATTGTTTGTTTTATCGATCAATCAACAGATTCAACCCATTTAGCGATTTGTTGATAAGTGTGTTGTTGAGTGTTAAATGAACGCGTAAATAATTATTTTTCGAGTTTAATGTAATTCTAGGAAGAGATAGAACGAGTACAATTTTCCTCTTGAAATTTTCCTTTGAATTCAATCATGTAGATAAAAACACCAAAATGTCAACAGTTTCTGAAATTTTTGCTTTAAAATTTAAAGTTCGCTAATATTTTTGCAGGAAATAATGAGATTGAAACTTAAGTTGAACGAAGTCGATTTAAAATGAATAATTGAACAAACTTTAACTTTCTGATACATTCCTTTGACATAAATCTAACAATTGGCTTATTAATTGCTATTAACAATTGCAGAGGAAAAGTGTGAACAACAGTTGCTAGATTATCTGGTTAAAACTGGTGAATTGGAAGCCGAAGCAGCTAAAAATACAACCGTAGAAGTGGCTGAGACTCATTTATGTGCTATCAACTTTGAAACTGGTGGTGATGCTTGTTCAGGTGATTCTGGTGGACCTTTGATGTATTTGGGTGAAGATGGACGTTGGTATTTAAATGGTGTCGTTTCGGGTTCATGGATAGACTGTGGAGTTGATAAGGAAGCTGCAGGTCTTTACACCAAAGTAAATTATTACCAGGATTTGATCAAGAAAAAAGCTCCAAAAGCTTGTTGGCTTTAAACACAATTTTCAATTTTTATAATTTAAAATTGATTTAAACAGCAATTTAACCAATTGTAAACATCAGCCTGATTTTCTCAAGTCGATTTGAATCTTGTTTAAGAATAAAATAATATCTCTGATTTGTTTTCGTATTCATTTTAGGTACTTTTATCATTTTGTTAGGAATACAAAATTTATTTGAATATTGAGTGTTTAGTAGATTTAATCATGAAAATCTTGTTGATTTAAATGATTGAATTGGTTTCTAATTGACTGTCAACACAATTAATAGGAAGAGTGTTAAAGTTACCGTTAAACAGTTCAATAGCTTTTAATTTTATGAAAGAATTGGGTTTAACTGAAACAATGAAATTAATGTGATCATTGAGAGTAACAATTTGTTGAATAGTGAAGTGATTGTCGATGAAACAAATGATGATTAACTTGAATTTTAAAGGTAAAAAAGAGTGTCAATTGATTGTCGATTGATTTTAATCATTAATTTTACCTCTTTTTTTTATTACTGAACAAATTAACAGCTGTAAAAGGTTTTAATTGTGAAATTAAAGAGACAGAAATAATTTATCAATAAAAAGATTGCTTAAATAAGGTGACCTTTGGTGACCTAGAAAATTGTACAACAAAAAACAGTGAAAGTGTTTTCTTGACAAATTATTATCACCATTTTAATTGATACTCAGGTCAAGTCAGCATTTCACCAAACGTAACATCATTCAAACGATTTATAAATTGTCATGAACATCCAGATAAATCATGAGATAAACTTGAATCTTTAAATCTTTTTTGCCTTGAAACCTTTTTACATTTTTACTTACATTTTACCATAAAAAAGTAACCTTTTTTTATCATAATTATTTCCTTTTGTTCATCATCTTCAGTACAAAATATCATTCAAAATCACCTTCTAATTTGTTGACAATTGACACATTACAAGGTTGATTAAATGCAACTGACAATAACTCGAGTGTTTAATCAATAGATTGATAGCAATAAAAGTGATTCAATTGTTGTCTATCCTTTCATCATTTAATCAAATTAAACTCCACAACTTAACCTTTCATAAAATCAGATAGTAAAGGTTATATGTTACAATAGGTGTTATGAATTTTCATAATTTTAGGTTTCTATTGTTACTTAGCAATTGACCTTTCATTATCAATTGATTTCAAGATCTTGTTTATTGTCAATGTTTGATTCTTGGGTTTATCATGGTTGAGATGAAACTATGAGAATCCTATTATGCTGGCAATGAATAGGAATCAAGTGATTTGGTATTTTATAGCCTAACCAATCGAACCCATTGATCCATACAAAAACAAATATACAATTTAAACTTGAAAACATTAAATTATGATTAAGTTTAAGATTAACGCGATGACCGAGTTAATGGGAAAAGAGAGGAGAAAGAAGAAGGAGAAGAAGAAAGGTTTATGGTTGAACGTATCTTGAAGCATTGAAAGCGTCCATTTTAAGCTTTCCTTTTCACATTTTATTTTCATTTTTGTTGACAGTTTAATTTTGGCCTTTCATTTGATTGTTTTCTGATCTTGAACTTGCTTTAGAGTAAAGGCTTAAAGATCGTCAATAATTATCAACAATCAACTAATTATGCCATTAATTTTGTGCTTTATGTGTAAAATTAGTCTGTGAGCCTTTTCGTGTTTTTATTTCACATTTGTTTGCCCTGTGACTTTACTGGACCCTTGTTTTCATCTATTGATAGACCTGTGACAATCTTTATGTTGGATTAACAAGATAATGGCTTATGTTTCATCTCGTTATTTCATTGTTTATATTGGATACTTTTTCACCATTGGATTGATCAACTGTGATCATCTGATTGTTTCACCTTTAACATCAACCCCATCTTCATCTCATCAATTGGATTACCAATCTGCTTGGAGTCGACTGGAAAATTTTACGAAGCTTTCGATCCATAATTTAGTCAACAGATATCAGAAAGATGTTAATCACATCATCAAATCATCGAAAATTTCCATTGAATGTGAAAATTCGCTTGAAACGTTTATGCAAGATCTAAAGCTAATGAAAGTTGATGCTATACGCCGTAAGTTTAAAACATTATTTTTCACAAGTTTTATTACTATTTCTCTTATCAACTTATTTTCTTGATTTCTGTCTTTAATAATAAACTGTATTTGATTCCCAGTATTATAAAATTTATAATTTTAATTTTTAATTCATTTTTAGCCGAATAGACTGGCAATTTATTAATATATTGAAGCAAACCGACGGCAAGCTGGAATAGTCCAATCTCTGTTTGTAGTACTCTTGTAGTCGCTGGTTTAATGATTTACCGGTTGATCAGTTTATTTCAAACCGCATGTTCCAGTTAATTAATCAGGTTGATCACGATTTGATGAGAATTTAATTCAAATTAATTAATAATTATTCAAATTAATAGAGCACCGGACTGATTGAAACGGTTAAGCCGGCGAATCCTATCAGCCATTAACTCGTAACATTAAATAACAATCAGCTGCTTCCCTCCTTTTCTTCTAAGCTCAATTTTTTAGGTTACAATATTCAAGTCCAATTTTAATGATTTTAATTTTTAATTATTTTAATAGAATTTGATTCGATGGGTCGAATACCAACTGGATTACTAGATGGAACCTGGATTGATCCTGGATCGTTTCACCAATGTCTTGATTTACCAGGGACTCAATATTGCTTCATGTTTTCCAAAATGCCTCTACCATCAGCAAACCATCGTGAAGGCTGGCATCGTCCTCATTCCAATCAACAATTTAATTTAACCACGGAAGCTTTTAAATATTTAACATCCTATGCTCACTTCTTTCGTTATTTAAATTTAACAACTGGTCTCTGTGTTCCACAATTGTGTTCAAAAGATGACATCCAATCAATAGCTGTAACTGGCCATAATTATTACAAGACTGGATTCACTGTCAATGTTGACTTGTGCACAAATCGGTCAAGTTCAAATGAAATCGCTTTGCGGGAAATCATTGCTACTTTTTTCATTGTTGCCATAATCTCGTTGAATATTGCTGGGACAATAACAAAGGGAACTCGAGGTCCACAATTCTTATCTCATTTCAATTTCGCAGCGAATTGGAAAAAGTTATTTCAACCTCGATCATCTGATGCAGCAATTCCTGCTCTTGATGGTATAAAGACTATTACAATGGCATTTATGATTCTGGTTCACATATTTTTTCTACTTTTTTATCCAAAATATCTTTCTTCTTTCAAAATTCCTGGTACTTCAACCTCACCATTGGTTGTTTTATTTTTTCTTGGGCCTTTCACAGTGGATACCTTTTTCCTCATCACAGGCTTAGAGATGACACTTCAGTTAATCAAAAAAAGGCGACCTTTCAACCTGACGGGTTATTTGTTGATGAGATACATTCGCTTTGTTACGGTAATTGGCTGGACAATTTGCTGTTACATCGTATTTTTCTCTAATCATGTGCGTGATATAATTGGAGGTCCTTATTGGCCTTTTTTTAAAGCAACAGGAACCATCCCTGTTAAATGTGGACGCAAATGGCCTCTTCATATTTTGTTGATTGCTCATTATTTTAATGTCGGCGAAGATTCACAGTTATGTTTACTGGGTGATTGGTATCTTGAAGCTGATTACTTATTTACAGTGCTATTTCTGGCCATTTTAATTCCTAGTTTGAAAGGAAAATTAAAAGCTTCATATGTTATCACTATCATTTTTATAATTTTTGGCTCTGTGATTATCGGACTGGTCATGCATTTTGGAGAAGTTCAACACACATGGCAACCTTTGATGTATCAAGACGAAGGTTTCATCCGTTATCTGGCATTTATTCATGGCAAACCGTGGGGTCATATTAGTCCGTACTTCATTGGTGTTTTATTAGGATTAAAGTTTTACGATACAATCAAGGTCAATAAAGTAAGTTCATTAATCAAATTCAAATTAAGGCTGGAAAGTCTCAGTCATCTAAATGTTCAAATTTGCTTAATTTCGTTTGACAAACTCAATATTGAGAAAAAGCGTCGCAAAATAAAGCTGTATTTTAATCTCGAATTAATATACAATATCTGTATAATAATAATGTTTTTCATATTTTTCTTGTTTTTCAAGGTTAAAATGACATCAATCTGGATTATTTGGATTATTTGTTGGATAATTTTAATGATTTATGAATCTTCTATCAATCTGAATCTTTTTGTTGTGCCTTATTCAGTCTCATTGGCTTATGGAATGTTTTCAAAGATAATTTGGTCTTTTATTGTCGGCTGGGTTATTTATGCCTGTCAGCATGGCTATAGTCATCGGTGGATGGAAAAATTTCTGTCTTTTCATGCATTTACTGTTCTGTCTCGTATAAATTTGTCAGTTTTATTTGTTAATCTATTAGTTGTTAGGCTGCGAAATGCCACCCTACAATCAAATTCACTTCCAATTTTAATGGATATCATCTATTCAGAAGTGATTCCACTTTTTGTTATAATTTATGCTGTTTCTTTTGTTTTCAGTGTTTTAGTTGAGGGGCCAACAATCAATTTAATTAAACAAATGGCCACGAGAAAACCAAGGAACAAGAAAGTTACTGATATTGCATTGGCAACTGACGAAGCAGTTAAGTCTGTGTTAACTAGTTCATGACGCTTCTTGTTTTGAGAAGAAAGTTTTAACTTATGATGTATTTTATTTCACTTTGTTGGGGAATAAGCCATGAATAAAATTCACTCTCAAAGGGATATTGAATTATCAAATGAATTATCTTTATTAGGAAACAGAAAGTTATTAAGATTAACAGGTTAATCAAGAAATGACAAACGGTAAAATTAAAGTCTCTTAGAAAGACTTGTGCTGACATCTGTCGAGAGTATGAAGCTCTCTTTAATCATATGTTGTTTTTTATGAGTTATGTTTGCAAAAGAAGCAGCTTAACCATAACAAAATGACAGTGATTATTTAATTGTATATTTTGATTTTGTTTATGATAATTGTTTAAATATCATCTCCACTTAACATCTTTACAATCATTCCTTTAGATTTGTGTATTTTTAAATAGTCAACATGTCTCAAAAACCTGAACCCGACACAGGCCAAGTTGATTATGCTGCTAAGATCAAAGACTTGGAAGAAAAATTGTTGACCTTTAGAATCAAAAGAGCCGAAGATTCTAAGAAGCTGCAAGAGATGGAACGGATTAAAATTCAAAACCAGCAACTTCTCGAGTTTAAAAAACAAATCCTTGAGTCAAGGGCAGAATTGTCCAAACAATTAACCCAAGCTAAAAAAGAAGCTGAAGAGGCCGTTGCTGAAAAGATTCGCCATGCTGAAGAAATGAAAGATTTGGCAGAAACTGCTGAAATTGCAACTCTGGATAAGGAAATGGCCGAAGAAAAATATGAACAGCTTTTAAAAGAGCATGAGACACTCAAAGAAAAATATGAAGATATTTCCATAGATTTCGAGTTACTGAAAAGTGAAATTGATATGCAAGGAGAGGGAGTTTCTAATGCCTACGAGGTTAAGCAACTTCAGCTCCAAAATGCAAGGTACAACGAAGCAATCATAAAGTTACGAGATCTATTATCTGCGGATAAAGTCGAGATTCAAGGATTACAGAAAGATTTGAAAGATTCTCAAAACCAATTAAGTGAATTACAAAGGCTCAAAGAGAAACATGAAAAAGATATTGCTAGTTTGGAAGCCAACGTTAGTGAGTTGAAGGAACAAATTGATGATGCTCTTGGTTCACAAGAAATGGTTGAAATTTTGACTGAGAAAAATCTCGAATTAGAGGATAAAGTGAAAACCTTGCAAGAAGAGATTGACGATCTCGAGAAAATCCACGAAATCAATGAACAGTTACAAGAAGGTGCTCGTGACACAGAATTAGAGCTTCGGGAGGAATTGGACTTGAACAGGAGTAAAATTGCTGCTCTACTCAAAAAGATAGAGGATAATCAGGAAGCTTTGGCAAATTATGAAAGTACTATACAAAAATTCAGAGAATTGGTTAAACAGTTGAGAGATGAGAATGCTGATCTTCGTAAACAAGGAAATCTTGCCCAAACACAAAGTCAAGAACAACAAGTGGAAAATATTGAATTTAAAATGCGTTTTGCTGAATCAAAAGCCGTCGCTCATGCTGTTGAAATGGATTTGCGTAGATTGGAAATCACACAATTTAAAATTCAAATCAAACTTTTGTCAAAATTTTTACCTCAGAGTTTCTTTATGCCTGGAGGAGATCATGATGCTATTCAAGTGCTTTTATTTGTTGTTCGTGTATCAGAAAAGTGTGATATTATCTCTCGTCAAATGCTCGAAAAATTCCCTATTATGGAAGATGAAAAATTATCAGCTTCTGTTGGTTCTGATGATATTATAAAGAAAACAAATGAAATTCAACGACAACAAAGTTTCACTCTTCGTCTGCTTTTCCTTCTGTCATCAATCCAAACCATCTTAAGTCAATATACTGATTCTCTCAAATCTTGTTCCATAGAACTTTACCTCAAAATAGCTTCGCTTTATCCTGAACTCAAGACCCATGAAAAAGTAATTGATGGTTGTATTGAACTCTTAAAGAAGGATCGCCTTGATGAAACTGTGTCTCTCGACAATGTAGAGAAAGCATTAAATTACTTTGTTTCTCTGTATAACCTCCATTTAGCCGATAACAAAGTCAACAATTGCCGGGATCTTCTCTCTAATTTTGTATTAATCATGAAATCAGGTGTTGATGTGTCACTCGTAGATGTTGCTATGATAGACAAATGTTTATCTCCTAATGCCGAAGGAAGGGAACGAATTGATATGCTTAAGACATATCTAGGAGATATTCAAGAGTTCTCTAAGAAGATTAAACGTCGATTGATTGCTGATAACAACACTATCAATTTGAGTCCTATACTGGAAAACGAAGTTCGTGATTGTATTATACAAATGTTCAAAGCTGTTGGTGCCCTTTATACAATTCGTAAAACAATAGTCGAAGCAACCACCGTAGCATCAACTGAAGCTGATGAAATTATTTTATTCCAAGGTTTCCAAGAAATTGATGCAATGATTACTCAAACTGGTGGTTTTAAATTTTTAGAAGTTTCCTTAAACGGAATAATGAGTGTTTGTAGTCAATTATCCACTGGATTACAGCAAGGAGATTTCGAAGGAGAAGTAAAACGTTCAGAGAATGTAGATGAAGATCGCCTAGACCCACTCGAAGCTCGTGCTCAGTACGTAACTGATCAAAGTGGGAAACTCAGTGAATATAAAATCAAATTGGAAAGTAAAGAAAATGAAATCAATGAATTGAAGAAAGCTTTGAAACTCAAAATATCTGAAACCAGCGAGATGCAGATACGAAAAGATTTAGCAGAGAAAAAATTATTATCAGCAACTAAGAGTTCCAATGAAAAAGTTGGTAAACTGCAAGCTGAACTAGATGAACATCGTGATATGACGAGGAGAAGAGAACGTGAATATGAAGAAACGTTAAATCATTATCAAGCAGATATCGAAGCTCTTGAATCGGAACGAAATGAACTCAAAGAAAAGGTTAAAATTCTTTCAAAGCGTACAATTTTCGAAGGTTTAACGAAATCAGTTACATCACTAAATACTGCACCACGCCATGACACTTCACCTTCATCATCTTTGTCGCCGTTAGAATCCAGTTATATGCAATCAATATCAGCATTAAGGAATGCGTTAAAGATTGTTAAAGATGAAAACATCAGGCTTAAATGTCGATTGGAAGAGAAAAAATTGCGGATTGATAATGTCAAATTCAATTCGGCTCTTTCTCGAACCAAACCCCTGTGGTATCTTAAAGTAACGGGCAAATTAATTGGTAACATTGACGATGGCTCCGGAGGAGATAAAATGAAAAAATTGTATATTAAAGAACGTAATTTACTAAACAAAATTGAAAATTTTAGACATGAAGCTAGAATGAAACTAATCAACCAAAAACTATTTGATCCATCAAAGTCTTTAAGGGACCAAATTGTTGAAGAACAAATTGAAAAGAGAAAATTGCAAACCGACTATGACAAGCTATCTGGTGAAATAATTGGATTTGTGACTGAAAAAAAATCAGCATTACTTTATTGATAATTAACAATTAAATTCAAAGGTAATCGGGCCCCATGTTATGTATTAAAATAACCATTTTTCACTTTGAAATTTTAAATATTGCATTCTTATCATTGATTTTGATTCTATCATCATGCTGTTTTTATCAACTTTAATATCAATTTTATATCAAATTAAAATTTTGATAGTAAACTTGATTACTGTTCATCGTATTTAAATAATGACTCATTGATAAGAGTTCACGAAAAGTCTCAACAGCTTAAATAAAGGTATCAGCGGCTTATCTATCGAATCGGCTTCACGCATTCGATCGTATTTTAGTTTCATCAGCCTAGCCGATGTATTTTTTTGTGAATACCAGCTTAGCTGACAGTCGGCTTCAATAACATTTTGACAAATTGATCTTGCATCTGAAAACATCTGATTAATTCTTGACTCATTTAGGCGTAAAATGATTGTTTATTATCTTACATCGATTCCAATTTCTTTTTAAATGATCACAATTGTTCATTTGCTACGTGCTATCTTCTGAAATGTAATCCCACAGTTCCAGTATTTTTTCAATATTTATTTATAATTTATACCATCTAATTTTTTGTTTATATTTTATGTTTTCTTGAAATGTCTAAAGTACATTTGATCCAAAATGATATTCGCAATGAAGAAATGGTTCAACAGGTTGTCGAAACCATTGAAAGGTTGCAACTTATTGTGGACAATATGTTTAACTCTGTTGATGACCGACTTGTCAACTTTAAAGGACGGATAAATGGTATTCAGGAACGCTCCAATGAAGCTCAAAGAAAAATTGATAAAATTAGAGAGTCTAAATCGAAAGTAACTAAAGTCTTTGCTCGTCATCGTTATCCTGCAAAAAATGTTTACCAGGATTACAAGCCTCTTGGTCAGCTTCTTTGGTCCATAAATAACCAGGATCCGATTGCTAAACCTTACTCTAAAGAACCTATCAAAGCAGTTCATGTTCCATTTGATGATGAATCCTTGAAAGATAAAATTAAATTTTTCATCACTGCTAGAGAAAAACGACCTGCTGGTAGTGGTTCGCTTGATTTAAAGGAAGATGCGGATTCAGTGCCATGGGAAAGAATATCAAATGTAGGAACTCTGGTCATGTTTAATTCATCTGAAAATCCATTCATTCGATCTCGTCAAGCATCTTCGCTAGTTGATGTTAAAATGAAAAATCGAAAAGGAGTTCAATCATTAATGGATCACACTGACGGTATCATTCCTTTAACCCCCTCAACAATTCTAAATTCTGAACAAGTTGAAACTCAAGAGAAAATTCTGCAGTATAATCCAAATTCACAAGCGGCTCCAAAAATTTTAGATTCATTGCCATCAGCTTTGCCTCATTTACCTGGAATAGCTGATGATCTATTATTTTCAAGTGAGGAGATTTATGATCCATTGGAAAATCCATCCAATAACCTTCCTGTGGGAACAGTTAATCATGATTTCCAGATTCAACGTCAAGCTGCTCCGCCATCGGTGCCATCATCGGTGCCATCGGTGCCATCGATGCCATCAACCTCGTTACCACCATTGGGATCCCCTCCACCGCCGCCACCACCTCCTCCTCCTCCTCCACCTCCACCATCCCTGCCGTCACTAACAACAACGACACCAACAGTACAAGTACCGTTACAATCAACGGTTACTACAATGATTCCAGGAGTACCTCCACCACCGCCTCCTCCACCTCCACCACCTCCACCGCAGCTACCACCCGCTCTTCCTCCTCAAACCTCTTCTACAGAACAAGCATCAAATGCTGTAGAAATCGCTCAACCAGCCCCAAAAGTACCTGTTGTATCCGATGCCAGAGAAGGATTGTTGGCTTCAATTCGTCAAGCTGGTGGTAGACCAACAAAAAAAGCCAATAATCTGAGGCAGCGTAAGATTGAGGAAAAGAAGGAGGCTCGTGCTGTAGTAAGCAATGATTTTATGTCTGCCTTACAACAAAAACTTAACGATAGAAGAAAAGGAATCAGCGGAAAACGAAGTGAGACAGATGAACCGAAGGCCGGATCATCTTTAGGTCGAGTAGTAGCAGCTCTGACTCAAAGGCGAGATAGTATATCATCATCAGCTTCATCAATCAATGATGATGCCGACTGGGACGATGGTTAATTATGCTAACTAGCTTTGTAAATTTTCTTGTTATGCGTGTATTTTTGTAGTAAAAAAGTAATTTATACGTTATTTAATACAAAACAAAAGCTCTTTTCTTTGTTATCAAAAGGCTAAATTAGTCTATATTAATAAATTCATCCAAAAAAATCATCTCTGACTATTTAATTACTTGCATTAAGTGGCAAGAAACAAGATCGGAAAACAAAAAGCATCAAATCGAGTAGATAAATCAAGTATAATGAACTCATGTAAAATCATCAGAAAATCTTTACAAAAAGTTATACCTTAGTTTTTAAATGAAATTAAATAATAAATCGCAGCAAATGACATTATTTCATATAAAAATTTCATTGATTTGAAATGATTAAAAAAGATGCTTGAATATGCCTAGTGATGAAATGATAAGATTATGCTCATTATGCCTGGCTCTTGCAACCATATGTTTTGCATCTTAGCATAACGAGAATTCGTCAATTTTTCAACAACAGTTAATCTCTTTTTACCTCTAGATGTTTTCTTAATTTTAAAATTTGTTTTATTTATTTTTTCTTGATTGCTCTATTTTTATATTATAGTTATTATTTTATTAACTATTTCTATTGTATTATTTCTCACTTGAATTTCAAAGTGGTGCTTTCTCTATGTGATTTCAGTGACCATTACAACCTGTATTACTGATAAGAAGACATTGATTGCCATTGTATTATTATTATCTTATATCTTCCGATCATCATCCTTACTGTTATTTAAGTAAATATTATTTGGCTATTAACATAACCGCATTGTTGCTCACAATGGTAAACTTTCTAAGGTTTGCCTTTAAAGGCAAGCAAACTGAATTAGAATGTGATTAATAAAATGGATCTTTTCCATCGCAGGACTCGAAATAAACCGTATCTACAATTTGATCGTTTGAACCATATCCTTAGTAAGTATCTTGATCAACCTCTGCCAATCTAGTCAATTTATCCCTCAAATATACAAATTTATAGGTTTAAAACTCAGAAATTATCCCCAATATGATTGATTATTTCCATCATCTCGTTCACTCATGTTACTCATGTTATTCCTACCCAAATTACCTTTCTTTGTTTTTTTTATTCTGCAAATATATCTATTGAATAGTAATTAGTTAACATCTTTTTGAAACAACGTGTCTTCTCAAGATCTCTATTAACATGTAGTTTGGATTCAGTTGTACTTGGTGCCTCAATTGCAACGAGTCACTCACAACTTTTTGAAATTTCAACATCAATTTGAATCTTTGAAAGTTTTCGTTCATGGTTAATATACTGTTAATTCACCATCTTAATTTTGATCTTTACAGTTGGGTTAAATACCGAGTCACTGGATAAAGCATTACCTGATTGATATAGAGTATAAAAGTACTCTATCTAGGTCAGTAAAGCTCAGTTGATATTAGTTATCCGTTCCTTATTATCGGTTGAGTTACTTTTTTACAAGATATTTATGTGAGATAAATTACGTAAAATATAAAAATCAGAATCAGTCTGTGCTCGTACAAGGAAGGTGGGGTGAGATTTAGACGATGAGCTGATGTAAAAAGTCACCTTATCTTTATATGCTTCTTTTACGATTGCTATAATCTCGAAAATCAGAGTCAGTAAAGTGATTTGAAATCATGTTTAAATTATGTTTCCATATCTTATTTTGAAATCAAATTTCTAAATTATGTTTATAATGTTTCACTGAATAACCCATTCACATGCATTTTAAGCTTCCATAAGTTTTCACTTGCATTTATCCATTCGTTTCAGCCCATTATAACAATCATTCATCATTATGATCATTAACATAATTTAAATCATAATTTAGAAAATTGTTCACGTGAAACTTGTTTGATAAATTCAGTTTTTCAAACATTTTTCTCTCTTTTTCTCTCCCATTTCCCTTTTTTCTTCACTCTCCCTCTCAATTTTTCTCCCTTTGTTTATTTCTGTTTTTCCATCTTCACTTGATTGTCTTTTTCTTCTCATTAACGTATATTTCAACGAAATGGTCTCTAATTGTGCTCCATCTCATCCTTACAGTGATTTAGGTCAACTTCGGTGTCTTCGCCGTCTGGGCAGCTCATCACAGGATTCCAGTGAAATGCGTCAAATGCCTTGGTTCGGAATGGATATCGGTGGTACTCTTGTTAAACTGGTTTACTTCGAACCCACCGATAACACTCCAGACGATGAGAAAAATGAAACTGAAACAGTAAAAATCATTCGCCATTATCTGAAAAGTCGTTCAGCTTATGGTAAAACTGGTAAACGTGATGTTCACCTTCAAATGGAATGTTCCATCAAAAATCGTCGTGGAATCCTTCACTTTGTACGCTTTCCAACGAGTGAAATGCCAGTTTTCATTAGTTTAGCTCGTTCAAAAGGAATCGCTCAATTGGCCAGCACAGTTTGTGCCACTGGTGGAGGTGCTTATAAATTTGAAAAGCAATTTTCCGAAGAACTTAATCTGACTCTGAAAAAATTTGATGAACTTGCTTCTCTCATTCATGGTATCCATTTCATTGAGAGATATAATCCACAAGAATGTTTTTACCTTCAAAATCCAATGGAAGATGAAAAATTTCGTAAAATTCCCTTCGATTTCAGTGACTCATACCCATTCCTAGTGGTAAACATTGGATCTGGTGTTTCCATTCTCGCTGTTTACTCACAAGACAAGTATAAACGCGTCTCAGGTACCAGTCTTGGTGGCGGAACATTCGTTGGCCTTTGCTGTCTTCTTACTGGTTGTGAAACTTTCGAGGACGCCATTGCTTTAGCCAGCTCCGGTGATTCAAATAAAGTTGACAAATTAGTCAGAGATATTTACGGTGGTGATTATCCTAAATTTGGCCTAACTGGGGATACGATTGCTTGCAGGTTTGTCAATTTTATCTACTAAATCCACATTTTCGCCCACATTGGTTAACCACGAGTACATGTAATCAGCTTTTCATTATTTGTTCAGTTAATCACTAATGAAAAAAACAAAACTAATGCATCAGAATTTAAATTAGCTAATTAGAAGTTAACAAAACATTCATCAATATTTTAGTGATTTCTTAACCAGGGACTTTTAAGTTAGAAATTTGTTAGTTTAAAATACCCAAGCAATTAACATGATTATTTAATATATTTTCAACAATCTCCCGATTGTTTTTACATTTATGCGTATTAATCTTCACTTCAATCTCAGGTTGCTGTGAAGATCAATGCGTTGTATGTTGTATTATAACTATCATTGATATTTCTTCTCGTGCCAAAATCACAAAATTTATTAGCTTCAATAACTTGTTAACATCTTTCTGAGTAATGTTCTTTGTATTTATCATTTTCCATTTCTTTTTTATGATTTGCAGTTTTGGACACATGATTAGCAAGGAGAAGCGAGATAAAGTGAGCAAAGCTGACTTAGCTCGAGCCACTTTAGTTACCATTACAAATAACATTGGATCGATTGCACGAATGTGCGCTGTCAATGAAGGAATTGAACGTGTTGTTTTCACGGGTAACTTTCTCCGTGTAAATCAAATTTCAATGCGACTTTTAGCTTATGCTATGGACTTTTGGTCTGGTGGAACCTTGAAAGCTCTTTTCCTCGAACATGAAGGATACTTTGGAGCTGTTGGCTGTCTTCTTGAATTGGTTTGATCATAGTTCAGCCAATTATCCAAAAAGCTGTCCACCACTTCGTTAGTTAAATTGTTTCATAATTTGTATCGAGAAATACCAATCAAAAGCCAAAATTTGAACAACTTACAGCATATCTAAAGCAAAGCTTTTCCCGAAAAATTTCCGGTTTTATATTGACTACTTTTTTATAATTGTTAACCCAGTTGGACTAAATGTGCTCGAATGTTTCCCGATGTTTGACTGTCATGTCCCGATGATCGGAAAATCTTAATATTTCTTCTCTTTTCCATTTTTTATGTGACAAATGAAAAGTTTTATATCCACAATTCATTACTGATCAGCTCATACAAGTAAAAGCTAATCTACTGAGACTTGAGTGATCTTATTTTGTTTTATTAGCAAAAACCTGAAGGTTTTCTAGTTAATTCAGCATCAAAGCTATGTAACTTCAATAAAACTTAATCAAAAATCATTCAATCACTTGAATGATTTTTGATTTTTGATATTTATTTTATCTTTTAGTAATTTTTAACGAAAAATCATATTTTAAAAAGCCGCGAAAGCTAATGCTAAGGATGCAAGTAAAAATAATCTTATGATATTTCAATAATCAAAAAAATGATTCAATGAGAGATCATCATTCAATAGAAAATACAAACATGTAATAAAACAAAGCAAAATGCTTCCAATTTAATACAACTAATCCTTTCTTCAAGTCAACAAACGAATTAATAGGTCAATATTTTCAAGAAAATTTGAATTAAACACTTTTATTTACAAAATTTTTGTGAATTTAATTCAACAACGTTCTGTAAAAATTATAATTTTTGTTCCTCATTGTGCATTGCGACTTCAACGTTGGCTTTGTCATCTAACTTGTCGCTTTTTCTTTGTCCAAATCTTATCCAACAGCTTACCAAAAGTGGATATAATATGATTGTGGCTACCAAAAGAAATACAGCTCCAGGTTGATGAGCTATTGTCAAGCTAAATATTGAAGTATACAGGAAAGTACCGCCTAATCCTGTGAAGATTTCAAGAGCTGTTGATAGAGTTAAAATTTGAGCCGATTCAACTGAATCAACTGTCGAAACTATGAGACTACGAATAGCTACACTAGAGATTCGTCCACATGAACCAATAACGTATCCAGCAATGTAACCTCGAATGGTCAAGAAAATTCCTCTAATGGCAAAAAAAGCCACCAATGATAAACATCCAAATATGGCAATACTTGAATCAGATAAGCCTAAAAATTTCAAAATTGATGGCCCAATAAAGGTTGCAATGGTTGGTGGTACATAAACAAGTGTCAACATTGACGTATATGCTTCTTCTGTGAGTCCATAAACACGTTGAGCAAACTGATAGGCAATACCGTCTTCACTGCCAATTGCCGCATTACAAATTGCACCTGAAGTCAACAACAAAATCAATCTTAATCTTCCTGAATTTGGTCTTTTCTTTAAAAACAATAAGGCACACTCTTTAGCTCTAGAGATACGGAAAACATCGGTGATGACTTGAATGAAAGATGCTTTCTCCTTTTCAATGTTTTTTTCGTAAACAAATGAAGGTTTCATCAAAACGGTGTAAATCAATCCAATCAATTGCATTGACAAACCAACTATAAAAACTCCAGCATAATTTTTACGCTGACCAGATATCCATGGGTCCTGAGCAAGAATGTGACCGCCCAAAAAACTAGCACCAAGCCTAGCTGTAAACGAAGAAGTGGAACGGTTAAGATTAGTAACAAAATTGATCAACAGTTAATCCAATTCTCACCAGTTTTGGCAAAAAGCTCGATCACGGAAAAGCGTACGATTACCAGATGTTTTGGAGTCCCCCATGAAATGGAAGTGTAAACAGCACTGTATACCAAAAATATACCACCACTTAATGCATAGGGTACATAAGCCAAAAGTATAGCCCACCAAGCTGATGAATAAAAGATTCGGAAGAAGCTGTAATCAAATTTATTTTGACAGAAGGAGATGAACTCTATATCTTAACATGATACTTACGAGCAGTGAATACAAACGAATTGACCAGCATTAGTGAAGTTTCAATAATGGCTCCACAAAAGACTGAAATAATGAATGGCTTGAAATATTTCGGATAATTTCCCAGCCAATAGCCAACAAAAACTGACATAAACAGAGACGGTATACTGCTAACTAAGAATTGCCAGTTTTTAAATTTATTGGCGGCTTGAAGTATCGTCTGGGTTTCATTTGAATTGGGAAAAGATGTAAAATTTGAGCAAAATTGTTCATCCAGTTTAAGATGGTTTAGGCACATTTTATCCTCCATTAACTGTGTCACAGCTATGACTTGAATCATTGAAGCAAGGGCAATCATGAGCACACAGAAATCAAATTTCATTAAATTCAAATAGGAAAGCAGAAATTTAATTTTTTCCGACATTTCAGATTCGTTTTGATTGTTTAACTTTTAAAACAAAAATGTAACAGTTAAATCTATTGAATAGATTTGGACGCTAGCGATGAACACTTAATAGCAAACGACTCGACACTGGCCCAGTCAATAATGGCCTCAATTGTTTTTATAGCAATATCTTACAAGTAATCTTAATCCCTCACCCCATTACCTTGGAGGTTATCTGGATATCAGTACATACGACCGGATAATCTGTGATTAAGTAACATTGTCAACAGTTAAGCCTTCCCATGGGTTGAGAACTTTTAACAGAGCAAATGACAATCGGTATTAACAATTATTTCAACCTCCAATTTTGTAAGATTTTCTGCTTTAATTCTAATGGAAATGGGTGCGTCTTCACCTAACTAGTGGAATTAAGATTATATAATTACTGATTCTGAGATGAAGTTACATAAAATGTATTTATCATTATTGATCCTTTAGAGATCAGCTGAAATTAAAATGATTTGCACACGGATGAACTTAAATCTCAATCGTTGATCCAAGCAAACGAAATCAGGGTTCAATCAAACCTTTGATCGGATAGAGACTGGATAAATCATTACAATTATAACTTTTTGAATATAATGATGTCTGCAACCGGAAATTAACCGTAAATTTAAGACACATAAAGACAATTTTTTATATTTTATGTTTATTTGAATTGAATCAGTCTCATCTACATTGAGAAAATCATAGTCACAATATTTGCTTCGCAATTCAACTAATTTATCAAACCATTGAGCACAAACTTCATTGACGAGTCCTTCTCCAATCAATTTCATTTATATTACATTAATTTTTCTATCATTAGTATAGAACTTGTTTAAATCATAATCAAATTCAAAAATCCTCCAAATTTTGCATGATATCAATAAGAGGAAAAGGCAAGCAAAAATCTGTTAATATTTACATGGAAGTATTAACGCCAGAGAGGAATGCCAGTGGAAAATTTAAGTGACAATTAAGTCAAAATGTTGGTAGCAACAATAACTACTGATTTATGTAACTTTGACCAAAAACTGTTAGACTTCAAGTTGTATTGATCTTGATCAGCATCACCAAACGTTTCCTCTGTCTGACTGTTTAATTGTATGTTAACTGCTCATTACTAATATATTTTTAGCTGATTATTTATAACATTATAAAGCAAATGAAAAGCGCATTCTCGGCTAACTATAATTAGATTAAATTAACTTCAACTTGAGACGTTTCTCAAATTTTCAAGAGAAAAGTCAGAAAAGGATGAAACAAAGTTAACCAATGAGTTGGTGATGATGATTAGTGAAACTAAAATCATCTCGATTGTGCCTCTTTTAATAATTTTCAATAAATAAATGTTGAATAAACATTTAAACCATGAAATATTCACCCGTAATCATAATTGTAATCAAATTATTCAATGAAATGTGATCATTTAATTGATTTATCTTGCTTTAAACAAAGCATTGCCATTGTGAAAAGCCAAGTTGCTTGAAAAACAAAACAATGGTTAACAGCATAATTTGTTACTGCATTAATCATTGTCATCAATTGATTGTTTCCATCATCTTTAAGATTAGTTACCGGTTAATTTTGTTGCCATGTTTAATCAACTTAATCTGCTGTTCAATTGATAAAATTAAATGCTCATCTAAACCAGGGAAAAGGTTGAATCAACCTTTCCTTCCCATTGAAGGTGATTCAGGTGCAGGTCAACATTTCCTTTGGGCAATTGTAATTGTCGCAACAATTTTATTAGTGTTTCTCTCCATTTGTTTCTGCCGATGTTATTATCGTTATAATGAAATTTGTGATGAAAAACTCTCTCAATTTGATCATCCCTTATCTCATCATCTTTACGCTGGTTCATCCGCCTGTCAAACACCAACTCCATCAACCTCGCCCATAACAGTACCACAAAGTATTCAATTGGCTCCTCCAAATGTTTCCCAACATCAGATTAAAGTCTATGCTCAGGCAAATGATCATTGCCAGGATAAGAATGAACAAGATCAATCTCCACAATTATCAACAATTGTTCTCCATGGTCAATCTTCAATCAAAATTCATGCCAAACACGATTCAAAAACGAGACGACAATCATCTTTCCGAAGCTCATTATAACATTTTCTCGGTGCAAGTTCCAGTAACAGCTAATTCTTGGCATAACATTTTGATGCCTTTAGTTTATTCAAATTACTGAATTTTTGGGTAACATCTTGTGTTTATTTAGTTGAGCCGGGCAATTTGAATCATTAAGTTGATAGATTTCAATGTTTTACGGAATCTTTCATTTATTTATTTGATTTGTACACTTTGTGATAATTTGATCAAGGTCTTAATATTTCTCATTTAAAAATTACCTGAGAAGAAATGTTGCAATTTTAATGTTTCAAAGCGAGATGATTCATTAGCTTTGAGAGTTTCACTTTTTGTCTCAGGTAAATATTCATTTCAATTTCATTTGTCAACCAATCATTCTGGACATTTTTGCTTTTTAATTGACGTTAATGTATTGAGCTATCTTTTCATTTACCTCCAAAAACAAACAAATCAAGACAAACACAAGAGGGAAATATTAATTAATAGTAAAAAATAAATTGAATAAAAAATGAGCTGTTCAATTAAATATTCACCCGATAGCTGAATTTATATTGACTTATCTAGCATTTTTTCACATTTTTATCATTCATCATTTGAAAAGTGTATACTGTAAGACCAGAAATTAAATTTTGTTAAAACCTGAAAATGTTGAGTTACATTAATTTTATCATTCTTATAATAATTGTACATGTAAAGTGTTTTCCAATCAACGATAATAAAGACGATGAGCTATCAATTCAACTATTTAGTTCAGAGTTAATATCGAATAAACAAGACTCAGTTGGAAAAGATGAAAAACCAGCAACTAAATCAGATACTCGATGTTTGCCAACCGGATTCATGACCGGAGGTTATGATATTACAACTGGAGGTGGAGGTGGAGGCAGCAATGGATTCGGAGGTGGTGAATTCGGAGGCGGTGGTTCGTTTGGTGGTGGTGGTGGTGATTTTGGCGGCGGTGATTTCGGTGGTGGTGACATTGGGATAGACCAAGGTTTACCTCCAGAGGAAATAGCGAGAAGACGGCGAATCCTAGCTGCAAGAATGGCTCGAGCCAGACGAATAAGGCGAATGAGAATGATGCAAGCTGCTAGAAGACGAGCAATTCGCAGAGAAATGGAAAGACGAAGAGCTTTAGCCAATAACAGACCAAAACCCAATCTAAACGGTGGTGGACCAAGACCGATGCCAAGTGGTAATCAACCAACTAACACTGCTAATACAGATAATATTGATGTCAATGATGGCACTGATGACATTGATAATACTGATAATACGGATAATTCAGATAATGTGGATAATGTGGATAATAATGATAATGGTGGTGCTGATGGAGCTGATGGAGCTGATGGTGACACCCAATATGACCAGGCTGGCGGTGGTGACTATAATTGAACTGGCCAAGTTGTGTCCAATTCCACTTTCCTCTAGTCATCTGTTTTACCTCTGTTTGTTTAATCAATTTGAATACAAAATTTGCTGTAACCATTTGAATGTTTATTGAGTCAAATTGAACTTGGAAGGGTTTTTGGATTACAAGAATAAAATTATGCCAGCAAATTCGTTTGGTGATTATTACTTAATTAATGAAGTCCAATTCAATTGGTGCCATCTAAAGGTTGAATTTAATTATCCCAATCTAAATGGTAAAATTAAAAATAGCGTAAGTTAGTTTTGTCATTATGGTTAAGGTTAAAAAATAAACATGAAAATAAACACGAAAAGAGTTGAACAAATAGAGGAAACAAATTGAATTGTTGATCAAATCCTACTTGATCCTTAATAATAAACCAATGGAATAAATGAATTTGAATGAATGAAGTATACCTTTTGTTTGATAATAGTTGAAAGTTTATACAATCTCAGCTCTAATTGTTTAATTTTACATGTAAATTGTACTTGTTGCAATTACAATTTAACAATTATCATTATCATTTAGCAATTATTTCACAATAAAGCTTAATTTTTACCTCTAATTTAGTTATTAATACAGTGAGGTAATTTGAAGGATAAAATGAAAGTTTAAAATTGAATCTTCACATTTAGTGAATCAGACAAATTGGGATTCATTAAGTTATCAATTGCAACAGAAAGAGTGAAAACAAGTACAAAGCAATTAGAAATAGTAATTAATAGTTATAATAGTTATTAATCATTGTAATTTACATCTCACTAAATTGAAAGGGTTGAGGAGGGCGCAAAAAATGTGAAAAGATGAAATAAAGTAACAAAGTCAACAGAGTAAGAGAGAGAGAGAGATTTGAGTATCTTTTTGAGTGTTTTTTTTTGCTTTTTTAAATCAAACAAAGACGTAACTTTCGGGTAGGAAAAAGCTATTAATTGAATAAGCATTAAGTACAAATGCGAAAGTGTTAAAATGATGTTCCTAATAGACTTTGGTGTGTTAAAATGCACTCTAACTCTTTCGATAAACACACAGAGTTGGTCAATTGTTTCAATTGACTAATTTATGATTCTTTGCCTTGTTTTACTTTTCTCACTGTGTGCATTAAATACATTATAAGTATATTATAGTAAATTAGTGTTAGTTAAGTTATCTTGTGCAGTTTGACTTAGATTAAAAGACAAACATTTTTAAATTGACTAACAATTTAGAAACATTAGTTAATTAGTAAAGGTTAGCACGTCTCATTATTAAAGCCTTTTAAACATTAAATTTCAGCTAGAGCCTGATTCAGGTTGAAAAAAGTCATCAGCAAATGGATCGCTCTCTTTTCGGAATATATTTCGTTCTGGTGGGCTAACATGTTCTTCGCCGAAATGGTTAAAAGGCGATGGATTCCGTCCACTGGCAATTTGCTCATTGGAAGCTTGGCATCCTCTAGATTGACCAAATTGGTTCGATTGCTCATTACTTTGAACAGTTCCACTAATTGCATTGGCAACACCAGGAGCGGCAGTATTTACAGTGTATGGTGTTAGGGGAGAGGAGCGAGAAATGGCTCCGTTTAAGGATGATTTTTCAATACTTGAAAGAGGCTTCCATGGCTCAAAGAAAGAATTATTGGCATCTTCAGAGGCAAAAGATAATTCACCAGAAAAGGAATCGATAAAACCAGGAGTTATTCTGGTTATGCTTGATATTTGGGAGAGTTGAGGAGTTGATTTGAAGTTTGTTTGTAAATTGGGTTCACCAGCTGAATATGCGGTTAGATTAAATCCTTCACCAGATTTCATTTCTGGCTTTTGATTGATAAAAGGTTTTCCCATTGAATCACCAAATGCTGAGAGTGGGGTTGAAAATCTGTCAAGGTGTTTACCAGGTTCGTAACTATTTGAGAAGTTCAATCTTTTTGCAGGAATAGAATCAGAGGAATAAGATAAAGATGTGCGACTAAGTTTGCTTTCTTCTAAAGTATTACCAGATCGATGCATTGAAATTTCAGATGATCGATCATCACCAATGTTACTGTTGCTTCTTGAGTGATCACTGGCTGAATAAGATCCTTCCGTTAAACCAGGCCTTGGACTTGAGCTTTCATCATGTCGAGGTGAAAGATTTGAGGTTCTTGAGGCATCGGTTAATTGAAGAGTTGAAGTAACGAAAGCACAATCGAATGGATCATACATTGACGAACTGGATGCACTAATAGTTGAAGCTGCAGGATTTACAGATAATTGAGACGTACCTAGATTTGGTTGAGTATTGATAAATTGAATTTGGTGCAATTTTTGATAATTTGGGTGTTGTTGTGGTTGTTGTGGTTGGCGATTATTTATGTAAACTTCATTCCCTGGTGAATTAAAGCCTTTTAATGATGAAGTGCGAGATTGAAGTTTACGTTGAGGTAATGGCAATGGAGGTGCAAATGTTTCTGGTGGCTGAACTACAGAGAAGCTCAAATATTTAGCTTCTGATGAACCATTAAATGGATTAGCGGACGGCTTGTTTGATAGTCCAATCTCACCAGGTACCATAGATATCATACTATTTGGATTTGATGTTTTGCGCTTGGGTAAAGGAGGAGGAGGCATATCACAATCATCATTTTTCATGGGCCGCGGTGGTACTGGTGGTGGTGGTGAACCATCACGAGAAGTACTTTGGGAACTATTAGACGTATCATTGAATTCACGTGGTGGTGGACGTGGGGGTGGTAAGGGTGACAAATTTTCTAGACTGGGCACAATAAATGAATCAGCTTGGGCATAAGGAGAGTAACGGACGTTTGAGGAAGAGGAGTGTTCGGAGAAACGTGGATTAGACAGACTTGAGGGTGAACGAGAAGAACGTGAATCAATTGAGAGCGGAGTGACCGATCGATTATGTGATATAATTGATTCAATTACATTATTACAAGCAGAGGCATTAACAATACCACTGACAATGGAACCATTGTCATTCAAATTGGTGGCATTGGGATTGGGGTGAATCATATTTGAATTACCAGAAATGATCATACTTGTGGTTGTTATCATGGCCGTGGCATTACCAAGAACGGCGGCAACTGCTGCATTTTCCTCTGATGAAGCACCAGCATTGGTCATCAATGAAGACCAATTAGGTTGAAACACTTCCGAATCAAAGGATAGCTTACGAGTGGATGAGTTGAAGGTTTTGCTGATCGGGAAAGACAAATTATGCGGTTGTGTTGTCACCGTTGTTGATTGTAATGCTGTAATTGGTAAAGGCGGTGGCGTCGATGTTGTACTTGGAGGTAAAATTGCTCTGTTAATATTGTGATTGTTATTGTCACAATTATTGTAACGAGAGAGTGCTAGGTTTGCATGTGATACAGACTCATGGTTGGAGGAAGAGGATGATGGAGGGTAAATAGATGCAGAAGCAGATTGATTAGCTGCTGCTGAGGTTGGAATGGGTGAGGACAAAATTGGAGAGTTGGCAAAAAGATCATCACTAGTGTCACTCTGAGTATCACTAAGAAACGGATTACGGGAGGCTGCAGATGCCGATGATGATGGACGATGTTCTGTAAGTGTTTGGGGTGATGGAGAGGCTGATACATGAAATGAGTTTGAGTTTGAATGACCTACACTTGATAAACCGGGTTGCTGTTGATGTTGAACTTGCAGATGGGGATTAATATGATGATGGTGTTGTTGTCGAAGTTGTAATTGTTGCTGTTGCTGATGTTGCTGTTGTTGTTGCTGTTGTAAATGTAACTGTGCTTGATGGTGTTGCTGTTGCTGCTGTTGTAGTTGTAGAGCTTGTTGTTGCTGCTGGGCTTGCTGCAATAGTTGCTGTTGTTGTAGGATATGAGCTTGATGTTGATTAAGGTGGGTTAAGTGAGCTTGAGCCAAAAGTTCAGTTGATATATTGAATGGGTCAGACTCTTTTCCCAAATTTGATGATTCCAGTGAACTAACGCTGCAAGTCTCTAGATCAAGCTGTTTCTTTTGTTGTGATTTGAGTTCCTGAAAAATAAATGATAGAAAAATTAGCTTTATTCATTTAAATCTACCAGGAAAAAACCTACTTGAAAAAATTCACTCTTGTCACGAAGAGGTTTCTCTCTGCCCACTCCCAATGGATCGAGATCAGCAAAAATGGAAGACATTTCAAAAGGATCATTTGATTTTTGACTTTCTGGACGACTAGGTCGAGATGGTGTAGAGAAAGGAATTGATGCTGCAGATGATTTATGATTTAAATCGTGAGATAATGAAGCTTGAGCTCCATAATTTACTAAGCCACTTGAAGCATTGACAAATTGCTGTGATTCTACATTTTGATTGAATCCATTCATTTCATTGCCATGCGAAGCTTGATTTTGTTTCATTTGTTGCTGATAAAGTTGCTGTTGCTGCTGCTGTAATGCTAACTGTTGCTGCTCATATTGTTGTTGTCTCAAGGCAAGAAATTGTTGTTGTTGAAATTTAGCCTGTTGTAATTGATGTTGTTGCTCAGCAAGTTGTTGTTGTTGTTTATGTAATTTAGCTTCTTGCTCTTCTTGTTTCTTCTTCTCTTCAGCTAATTTATCGAAGATACTTGAAGTCATTGAATTAATTTCTGAGAAGACCGCATATCTGTCTCCACTGGAGGATGCATGACTGTTATTGCTTGAATTACTTGGATTATTGTTGTTAGCACCATTTCCATTGTATGGACTCGAAACTGGAGTTGCTGAATTAGTTATTGAACTAATTGCAGGACTTGAAGTGACTGAAGCAGGCAATTGATTAGCAGAGATTGAATTATTTGCAGGGCTTCCAAAAACGCTGACCGATGGACTAGCAACTGAGCTATTGGCTGATGCAACGTTGGCAAAATTAATTTGATTATTTACTGCAGCCCTGGAACCAGCTGATGAATTACCAAAAGAGTCAGAAAGTTGATTGATTTGTGGACTGGTAAATAATCCAGCTCCTGAACTTGAAAATGAGTTACCCAAGGAGCCTGAAGATGGACTACCAAATGAGTTTCCACCTTGACTTGAGAATGAACTGTTAAAAAGGGCATTCAATTGCTGGTTACTGATTGCAGACTGTTGTTGTTGTAAAGCATGAAATTGTTGTTTCAGTTGATGCTGCTGTTCAAAATCACTATGTCCAGAGATTCGACTTGAGATTGATTCTTGAAAAACGTGATCCAATGAGCTTTGTGAGGCAGCTCTACCTAATGATATTGATAAACTTTTAGCACTTCCATCGAAAGACGCCGAAGGGTCATTAACATTGGCAAAACTAGCAAAACTTGAGCCACCATTGATACTATTAGAAAGTATGTTTTTATTTTTCCGTGAGTTATTAGCAGGAGGCTTGATTTTAAGTAAAGCAGATTCTCTGGTTCTACCAGGTGATCGAGGTGGCGATGGGATAACAGGTAGGCTATTGTGGTTTGATCGACTTGATTTACTTAGAGCAGAGGCATCCAGCGATGAATTAAATTCATCATCAAAAGATTCCCAATTGGCATAAGGATCACTAGCTTGCTTGGCTGAAGCAATAACATCTTTCAGGTTAGACATATCCATAAAGGCATCATCAAAATTGGCTGCAAAGTCAAATGAAACAAAAAAAGAGAAAAGCCACAAAAAATTAGAAACAAACTCAAGCAAAAAACATTGAAAGTGACATTAAAAATGCATCTCTCATTGGTAAATCAAATAACAACTTGTTATAATAGAGTTTGATGTGAAGGGGAGGAAAGCTAAATGTGTGGGAGAGATGATGACGGTAAAAGAGTGGACGATTGATGAACTAATATTGCGTAAAGTAGGAAAAAGTGACACTTTAAATTTAAACTTCTCAATGCAATAAGTTAATTGGTTGAGATGGACAAATGATATTCAGACTAATGGTGTCTGCTTTAAAATAAATTTGACCGATAGTTATCAAGAAAAATCATTGAAATGCAAGGGATAAAACATTTGAAATAGTTAGCTGACTTGTTAGCAGAAGTAAAAGTTATCCTAAATTGTATTTTTTGTATCATAATTAGTAATAATTAATCATTTCCACCCCTAAGTAACAAAAAAGAGTTGATATGTTATCAGCTGAGTTTCTCATTTCTCATGCTGAGCAAATATTCTGAGAAGACTCTGTAAGTTTCCTTTAACCGTTAATGGGTTGTAACCTGAAATTTTGGGTTTCCTGCAGTTGTAAACCAGCTTTTTATCGGAAATGGGTGAGTAGGGTCATTTTGAGTCATTTTGAGTCATTTTTAAGTCTCTAGCAAACAAGATGACTAGTAGCATACCTGTAAAGGCATCACCATTTGTCTCGAAAGCTGTAGACTCATTTCTTGGAGGTGGTAAAGGAGGTGGATTTGTTTCGTTATTGGAGTTAGATGATGAAAATAACGATGAACTCTGATTGCCACTTGATTGTTGTTTAGCATCGGATGAGCCAAAATCAGCATCAGAGGATACATCTCCAGTATTATTGTCAACACTTTGAGTACGCTTCTTTTTTTCATAAACATAAGTAAACAATTCGCCAATTGTTTTCATCACAGGAATTGCTGATTTTTCGGTTTTAATTCCAATAAATGAATGCCCGGTATCGGGTGATCCATAGACAAAACCGAAAGCACGTTTATCACTTGCATCTCGGGCGATGTATGATATTAAAGGAATTGAGTAAGAACTAATTGTTTCACCAGATTTTTCATCCTTAATTGTAACACCTTCCAATGATATTTTTATGATAATCCTTTGCTTGTGAGATCCTGTTTCTTTAATCAATGCCTGCAAATCAAAAGAGATAACAATTAGTTAATAATCAAATATACATTATTGTGTGCAATAATAAGATTCAGGGAGATGATGAACTTTGGAAATGAAATTCACATTTTAAAGGTTTAAGGTAAACAGTTAAAAGCTATTTTCAGTTTTAGATGTTACAAACTGTCACATTTAAAAAAGAGGTTTCAGTTTTTACGCTTTACGATAAATTAAAAGTATTAATCAAAAAGACTCAATTAATTGTTCAACTCTGCCATGATCATTCACTACTCCGGATATACTATGGAAAATTGATTACTTTCTAATAAATAATGAAGTTTCAGTCAATGACTATCATTGAAATGTCAGATTTTTTTTATTGGTTTATATGGTTCCTTGGTTTACTTGCCATTCACATTGATATGTTACTACGATGCATGAGCTAAAATCAATTGAATAATTGTTGACTTGAAAAAATTATCTTTTTTTTCTTCCAGATTAGTGTAAGGCATGATGTTTAGTCTTCATGAAACTATTTTTGGTTCAAGGTTTACATGATTTTCATGTATCTACGACATTTAACTAATAATGTTTCAATGGTCAGACATTATCATATTAATGTTGAAACAAAAAAGTTAATAACTCGGACATTATCATAATCCATTATGAAATTATTATTTTAATATCACAATTAAAGGAAACAACAAAGCATTTGGCTTCAGTCCGTCTATTTGAAATGAAAACAGCATTAGAATAGAGTGAAATGAATAATCGAACATTTTTCTTCAAATTTCTTTCAAAAAAATGGTTTTCAGGTAAATATGCAGAAGCTAATACATTAATAGTAATGATTATTATATCATGAACAGTGGTTGTTATTAAATCTTGGATATGAAATGAAATATTGTCAGTATTATTGATCATAAACTGTAAAGAATAATAAGTTCATTAGATGACAATTGCATAAATCAACGTTTTAATATTCAATGATGTTGAATATTTTCAAGAGTAGAATGCAAATTATTTCAAGAATTTTGTTTTTCGTTGTGTTTATGATTATGTGTCTGATTGTCCTGATTGAGTTGATTAAAATTTTTGCACCGAAAGCCTGAAAAATTGATAATTTGATAGAAAATTCCAAATAATTTTCTCTGGTGTTTTTATAACATTAAATTAACCTTGGATATGATTTTTTTATATGCTTTAAGGTGGGTCAAATAGATGATCATGATTCATGAAGCACTTAGTCAACTGACATTTGATTTTTTGTTTGACACTCCTGAAATTAATCAGATGATTTGAATCGGTGCAAATGTGCTTTTTATTTCCAATGATTACATCCTCGATTGTTGTCATTCAATAATTTCTCGTGATCAGTTTATTTCATTTAGAATTGAATTATCTCGTTGAAAACAAATTGATAGCTGAAAAAGTAGGAGTCAAATGATTTTCAAGTTGTGAATTCAACTTGATCAGTCACTAAATTGGACAAGGCCTCAATTATAGCTACAAATTGAAAAAGAGAAAAACAGAAATACAGAATGAAATTGAGTTTTCGCTATCTGATTATGATAATCAGATCATTAGTAGAGTTTATCAGTACCGAACTATCCGTTGAAAGCAGCTTTACGAGCGATTCACTGATTACGAATGGAAAAAATTGAAAGCTAAAATTATGACCCAATCGCTGAAAGCTTCAAACAGTGAATCAAGAAACGGTAAGATGCTTATTAATATTTAGATCAATGAATAGAAAAGCAAAAATCAAGTTTATCACATTTGATAACAAAAAACCAGTTAATATTATCGTGAAAAATCAAATTATCATAAATCTTCACTGTAAACGATTACTATGAAAAACCATGAAATGAAATCTATTTTAGCCAATATTTGGTCAATTTTTTCTTCTCAATTTAGTATCTGATTAGCACCTTGAATAGTAAACCATTTTTCTTGAATTTTACTCATTGAATATTTTGAACAGGTTTATTATTGGATTGAAAGAGATTTTGTTCAGAAGAGAAGAGCTTGAAGACAGCTTAAATTACAGGTTTAATCTATTGTTGGTTTAACATTTGAATTATAAAATTAGATATATTATGTGATAACAATCAGACTAAACTGAAAACTGAACAATCGTAACATCCAATGGAAACAATGAATTAAAAGAAACTGGTGAACAACAGATTAGTTTTTCATGAAAATTGAATAATAGGATTAAAATGATTTCTTCTTCTTCTTCTTTTTTTTCATTCGAGAATCAGCAATATTCGAGATTGTACCAGTTTTTTGATGAAAGTCAAGTTTCCTTAAATGGCGTCATCACCAATTGAACAAGAGAAAGGTAAATTTTTGACTGTTTATTGAAGCTCAACAGAAAGTGAGAATTAAGTTTAGGTAAAAAAGATCAAGATAAACCTTGACAATTGCAGGGAAAACCATAAACAACATTAAACAATACACAAGAAACTGACATTACTTATGAGTGAAACATTAACCATCAAGTATGTCAACAGCTAAGTTGTATAAATGATTGAAGCAAATCCAAGCATTGAGTTGACTGGCTTAATGAAACTCTCAATGCTTTTCAAATGGAATACCCATGATAAGTGAGTTTTTCATCGGGAAAAAATTTGAATACAATTATTGAAGTAATTTGAATACAAATGCAAAAATATCCCAAACTAGATATTAAACTGTCAGACCAATTGTTCAATGAAATTTAGATGCTGATACACTAACAGTTGGGAGGTAAATTCACAAGTAATATTCAAAGGCGGTTGGACAATATATTTATCGTATTGATGGACGTTTATGATTGAGATTTATATGGATAAGCATGTCTTGTTAGCGTTTTAATGTAATTAATACATTTGTTTTAAAAATCAACTTGGTCGACAAGTTTTTTAATCATAAACAAAACCCGGATATCCGTTAGACTAATAACAAAAATCATTTCAGGTCACGTTTATAATAAATAAATATTATAATATGTAACCTTGGTTGGTAATATGAGGAGCAAGCTTACAATTAGGAAATGAAATTGACGAACTGGATTGGAACGCAAATCAAATGCGAGTGAAATTGTTGAAACACCTTAAAGTGATGGACAAGTATTTTAGACAGAATCCAAAAAAGCACAATTGCTAACAATCAAAATGTCTTACTGTTTACATAAATTCAGATGTCAATCCAAACGAAATTTTATTTTTTCTTCTTTCAGCCTCTATTTCACTTTGTTATGCTAAGTTATTCAATTGACATTTCGAGAATCTTTTACACTCTCTTTAACCTAATATTATCAACATGCAATTGAAATGAAGGTTAACCAAAAAAGATGTGTATACAGCGCAAGCAATCAAAAAAATAACTATTAAGCTGTATCACCTTCAATCTCCCACACGAACAGATGAAGATGAAAAGATATATTGGTGTAGATATAAGGTATATGGCCTTAAGGTTAGGAATGAAAGAAAGAGATAGATAGAACTTTAATGATGATTAGATAACGGAAGAGGAGGAAGGATAAAGGATAAAACTAAATGTATAGTTGTTACCTTTAAACGTTGTAAAGCAGATTGGCACATTTTATCACCCCTTGGGCCGGTAACTGGATCAATTCCGATTAATTTAGCTTTAAACGTTATCCCTTGTCCAGCAAATTTTTCTTCACTTGGTAAGGCATCTTTACTTGCAACTGATTCGCCATCAATTGAATTATTTTCTTTAGTTTCTTCAAAGGAACTAGTAGATTGACAGGCAATTGAGGTTGGAGGAACGATTCCAGTCGATTTACTTTTAGATGATCGACCAAAAGTGAAACTTTTCCTATCTTGTGAACCTTTTGATTTGGTTAACCGTAAGGTTAACGATTTTTCAGAATCTCTTTTAGTTGATCCATTTTCCATCATCATCATGGTTTTTCGGCTAACAATGGTTGGCTGGATTGGTACAGTTTCTCGTTTTCCAGTTAGTGAAACACGATTTTTACGTCCTTTAACGGTTTCTTTGGAGCCAACTGTCAACTCTTCTTCGTCTTCTTCACGTCCTTCTTCCTCCCACAGAAAATAGTCTTGAGTAAGCGAAAGAATGTTGAAACTCTTTTTACTTGATCTTTCAAGGGATCAAAATATGTATTTCTTGAGTTGAAATGGGAATTTGAATAAATAAAAAATGAATATGAAGCTTGACGAGAGAATCCAGTGAACGGTTGATGTTATTAACTTGAATTAAGGTTTGTCACTTCAACAGTCGAATGTAATTTACAGTTAAATAAAGAGAGCAGAAGTTGATTGCAAATCTTTATATTTACGACGATAAAGATGAAAATTGGTGGTGGTGTTTATGGTGACACTTTCCAGGATGAAATTAAATCAAGATATCAAAAGCAAATTTTTAACCGGCGTTGACTTTCAATCACTTATATTAAGTCTAAGGTCTGTATCAAAGTGATAATTGGCCTTGCACCAGCCTCCATACATTTTGCCAATTATATTGTAATACTAGTCACTTTTCTTTCTGTATCGATTTTTGATCCTGTCCATTATCGATATCATACAATTAACGCCCTGATAATCTGGAAAAGAAATAACAAAGCAAAAGCATAAATAAATCACAGAGATGAGTTAGAGTTATGTATTACACCACATATTATTTACATAAATAAATCACACTTCATGTAAGCTTCATGGTGTAACATTGTATCACCACCATCACCATCTCTGGTTTCTCATGATCTCTCATTCCCACTTTGAATTCTGGTGAAGCCAATGAAAAACAATGGTAAATGACTAACACCCTAAAATTAATAGATTGATTAAAAATCACATGTAGAATGTAGATAACACTGTAAAGGGTCCAACATTCCAAAATCCACTGGAAGTATCCAAGTTGGTGTTTTTTAAGCAAGATTAACCAGAAGTAACAGGGAAAATGATGCGAATGAGCATGATGATGATGGTGATGATGGTGATGATGGTGACGATAATAATATTGTAGGTTTGTTTGGGTTAAGATAATAGGGAAAAGAGGAAATTGGAAATGGAAAATGAGAGAAACAAAATTACAATGTTGTTGTTTATGATGTTACCATGAGTTGAATTTTCCTTGAATCATTGCAAACAGTCCAACGATGATGGTTGAGTTGATGATATCACCGAGACGAAGAGATATTAAACAATAAATTAGCTAAACGTTAAAGTTAATTGATGATTTAACAGCTAAACAGCTAAACAGGAGAAGAAAAGAAAAAATAAAGGGTTTGTAAACACCAAAATGAATGAGAGGTCATAAGCAAAAAATCCAGAAAAGAGAAAGACAGCGCAGAAGTAAGAGAGACTGAGAGACTATACCTGTTTCTCTTTCTTTTTCCGTCTCTTCCTTTTTTCATTGAACAAGATGATGAAGATAATTTGATACTAATAAAGTAGGATGTGGATGATGATGGTGATGATGATGTTATGATGTTGGAAAGCGAAGAGTGAAAAATAAACACAGACTGTTTCCAAGCCTTCTCAAGAAATGGTGTGATCTTTAGCTAAGCACATTGTACAGAGAAATGTATTTATGTTGATGACCAGAAGCTTTTCAAATTGTGCTCAAGACTCGACCGTTAACTACATTATCAGCTTAATAGCTAAGTTTTGTTAATTTTTAATCGTGAGCATTTTTTCGGTTCTCATGTTAAAAAGTGATTTGATTGGTAGACCAACAATTGTGCCATTGAGTGTTTAATTGGTTATTCAATGAAATTGTTTAAGGAATTCAGGAAATCGTGAAATAAATTTCACTTCAATTATTACATTCAATCAATAGATTAAAGCTTTAATTTGGCTGCAATTGAATATTGATAATCAACTGAGTGGTAGGTTTAATTGCAAGTCTGATAGTTTGACTCTTGAAAGATCGCAGCTTATCCAAATGTTTACAGTTGAATAGCGATAATAATTTTTTTGTTTGTTATTGCTCATCTATTGTCCTAATTAACAAGGATTGACTATCTGATTCAATACTAATTTGTAAATAATGATTACATTAAGAGTCAAATTTCAGTTGAATTATGCTTGCATCGTATTAAACATTAAATCATTAATGGTCTGCTAATTCACAGTGATTAAATTTTCCTCAATCATTAAATATTTTTTATAGAAATGGTAAAATTATTCCATTAAATCAAACTTTTGATCTTAAAAATTCCTATTCAATTCGTGTATTTCAAATAATCAAGCAATTCAGATGATTTATCAATTAAATTATTACTTGGACTCTTAGAAATTCACGAATTATTGTTTTACAATCTCGAGCAATCAATTTCATGTATTTAATGAAATAAATCAACAAAAAACTTCAACTGTTAATTTGTAATTACAATTGATTGTTAAATGAATCTTTATCAACTTGAAGTCTTCATACGCCATCTATTGTTACCCAAACAAAATTGGTAGTGAATTGGTGAACCAAAATTTATCAATTAATTTAAGCGTGAACTTTCATTGTTGAATTCAATAAGTGTTAAGATAACAAATCAATAAATCTCTCTATTTAAATTGATAATCTCTTCGGTTGATCAAAGCAAGATCATTAGGCAAATAGAATAAAATTGAATTGACCGCGGTTAAAGGGTTGACCAGAAAAGATAGCTTTTAATCGGCGGGGTTAACTTAAACGTCAGTTTTTTTGCTCAACTTTTTCCCCCTCGTTTCATCAACCTTTTTGATTGTTGAATTAATTTTTGATCTTTTATTGCAAATCTTTATTATTTTAAATACGAAACACTTCGTCGTTTTTATCTTACCTTTCTTTTCCTTACCATTAAGCGCTAATTAGTGATTCAACCCAATTAAACTACGATCCAACTTTTTCCAAAAGACAACAAGACTAATAGAAATGTACCGGGCGTTTTTTCATTTTACGTCTTCATACAGGCATAACTCACGAATGGTTAGTGCTACAAACCTCATACTTAAACCATGAGCTGGTTCAGATTGGACTATCATTAGTTCGAAGGCTCAGGGTTATTCTTTATTTGACCTCTAATTGACATTGGAAGGTCATTTAATGAAACCACATAATTTTTCTGACCTGTTGATGCTAGACACATGTTCATAGCTCATACTGACTAAAAGATTATGAGTGATTCCATACCATTCAGTTAATCGCATTTAGAAAAATCTTTGCAATGGTTCTAGTTATGAACATGTGTCTAGCATCAACGGGTCAAAAAATTTTTGCGGTTTCATAAAATGACCTTCCAATGTCAATTAAAGGTCAAATAAAGAATTGACCTTGCATAACCTTGAGCCTTCGAACTAATGATTGTTCAAGTCTGAGGTCTGAATCACTAACCGTTCGTAAGTTATGTCAACATGCAGGCGTAAAATGATAAAATACCCGGTTTTATCGATGTACCTTGCAGATATTAGTCTGAATTTCATTTATCTGAGTTTATCAAAAATGACAATGTGATTATTTCAAACAAAGCTAGAGTGAATATAATAGTAAAACCACCAAGTTTTTATACTTTAAATCAAAGCTGTAACCTTTTATCAAGAAAATCATCGAGAATGACATTCAGTGAATGAGTAGTTAGTCATGGAAATAGATCATATTGGTCATCATTGTCGGTTCGTTTGACTTTTGGTTACGTTTACCTTAGACAATTGTGGTCGAGACTCGTCCTTTAACTTTTAGTAATTTTAACAAACAAGTTAAAGAGTCGATAGACAGGACCTATCTCGAGCTAGCGGCCGGCAATGGAATTCGATCTCCACAACGCAACGACGACGAACTTGTCGGTAGCTTGTTTGAGTCGAGGTAGGCCCTGACTAGTGAACTTTTAACTTGTTTGTTAAATTGTACTAAACCGTAGGGCGAACATATATCATCAAAAAATCCACAAATAAGCCGAACCTGTTTAGGTCGCGGAATTCTTGATAACCCTTACATTCAATTAATTTAAGACGGTGTAGAAAACACTTAAAATTAATCAATTAGAAGTCTTCATACGCCATCTATTGATACCCAATCAAAATTGGTAGCAAATTGGTGAACCAAATTTTACCAATTTTACGAGTAATCTGTAAAAATTAACCTATTTGTAACCTTGATTTTTCTGGTTTCAAATAAGTCCTTCAATTATGATTCTATCTTTGAGTTCTCAGAATTTATTGCTACATAATGATCAATTCTGAGTCAACTTTCGTTTTTGAATTGAATACGTGATAAGATACGTAAATTAATAAATCTCTATATTTTTATTGATAGTCAGTTTGATTGATCAAAGCAAGATCATTAGACGAATATAGTAAAATTGAATTGACCGCGTTTAAAGGGTTAACCAGAAAATATAGCTTTTTAGGCGGGAGTTGACTTAAACAAGCCATAAACTCCAGTTTCTTTCTCAACTTTTTCTCTAGTTTTGTTCGTTTTGTTTCTCGTTTTGATTGTTGAATTAACTTTTAAGCTTTTAGCTACAAATCTTTTATTGCTTTATCAGGAACACAGTCTTTAACTATCTTCGAAAGAAAATTACATCGATCTCATCTTCTGCAATCTTAACAAAGCTTATGCTTGAATCTAGGTAAGTACAAAGCTCCACATTCAACAAAGGTTTTTTGTTGACTTTTTACGTTCAGTCAACTAAAATTCAAACTGGATTTAATGAATAATAATAAATTTAGTGAAAATCAATTAGTAGAGATCAATAATTGGCTTTTTTAACTGGCTAAACCATCTCTGAACATCCATCGATGCATTATGTTTGGGTAAAGTTCTTGGGAACACAAAAAATGGTTATTAACCAGTGGTTTACATCTATTGTTATTCGCACCTTGATACTAGATAAAAATCACGAGAAAGACTGGAAATGTTTAAAAGTGAATCAAGTTTAATCATGTCTTTAGATTGCCGTTTGCCAAATTGACTGTTTACAAACAAAACCTTTACCTTGTAGATGTTATCCATCCAATATGCTAATTGCCTTCTTGTCATTCTTTCGAAATGGTTACGGTTGCAACGTCATTTTAATTATCGTTAAGCAAAACAGTAATCTTGGTAGTAATATCTCTAATAAGTTGAAGTTGAGGCCAGGAATAAAAAAGTACAAAAACGTTGCCAAAAATCTGTAACAAACTTTAAGTCTCTGGTTGATGGGCGCCATTACATTCTGCATAAATCTTAATGATAATCATTTCAATTCATTCTTTAACTCTTCTATCTTCTCAGTTTACCGCAGCCTCTTTCAATATTTATACTATGATGGAAAGAGAGGAAACCCATTCAAGATCAGGCCAACAGAGAAGCAAAACAGTGATTATCAATTGTGAATCCAAGTCTAAAAGGCATCATGATCGTAGTCACACTATCCTTGAAGTGAATACAAAATTTCAACAGAGTTTCTTTGTCAACAATAGGATTTGTATCCAGCTAGTCTGTCTCTTCAACAATTCAGCCATTTTGCTCGAAATCACACATTTCATTCTTTCAAAATGAATTTCAGTCTTCTCTATCATCTCTATCTTCAATTTATTCAACGTAGATGAAACCTTGTCAATTTGTCTAATCCGCCTTTCTGTCTGATTTATACTCTCACTTGGTTCCTTTCTTGATTCACTCCATTTCTTATTCTTCATCTTCTCTTTCCTTGGTCTCTTTTTTGCTGTCTTCACCCTCACTTTCTTTCCATTTATCTTCTTCTCACCACTGAAGACATGTATGCTCACCAAAACAATCTGGATTCATCACACACAGTTACCAGAATCAACAATATCATTCAACTGTTTATTCATGGTAATATATAATTACCGGTATTGCTCCTGTGGATCCTCTGATCTGTGATATCTCCTGATTGTGATTGTTCACCTGATGTCCGTCTTTTGTCTCAGATGACACAAGTCATGTCGATCTTTACCTCTTCGACACCAACAGTCAACTACTTTCATTTACTGTTAGAGGGCGACTATGAAAAAAATCTGCAATTTTGTTAACTTAACCCTGACCACTTGTGTATTATTTTTCTACCTCAACCTCTAGTTCTCCCTGCTCTCGATCTCTCTCGATTGTTTTCTTCATTTTCCCATATTTTTCCTGTTCTGTTGGTTTGTTTTTATTCCATTTACCTGATCGATTATTTGGATTATATGATTTCATGAAATTTGCAGTGAACCTTTGTCCTCAACATTTACCATCTGTTATACACTTAACTTTATTTTTTTTTGTTTCTCCCGCTAACCAACACATCTTCAACAATTTCAAGCTATATGTAGCTGATTTCAATCAACTTGATATCTTTGTGTACTTAAGGTGATCCTCTTTAATCCTTCAATAGGATCACATTAATCAACTGTACATTCAAAAGGTGGTCAAGCTACTCAATGGTCAAAACGAAACCTCGCCAAACTCGGATTTACGATGATGAAGGCTACAGAAGGAGAGCAGCTTGTCTCTGTGTTAAGAATGAACTTGAAAATGAGGTTGGTAATTTATTTATTGTTAATCAATTCTTTTGGTGGCTCTTGTCATTATATCATGAGCATGTTATTTAAATGTCACATCATGATATTGATTTTTCCAAAACAAAAGCCATTAATTTAGTTTCCATTGTTCTTGAATTTGAATCATCAGTTTGACCTGTTAATTTAACAAATGTCAAAATTGAAATCATGTTTATGGTATCAAAATTGTTTTCCTTTTTTCTAACAAATTTGCATTTTCGTTCCTTTTTAGGTTCTTCTTGTCACAAGTAGTAGCTCACAGGATCGCTGGGTTGTTCCTGGTGGAGGTCTTGAACCCCATGAAGATTCACGTGAGGCAGCAGTTCGTGAAGTTATTGAAGAGGCTGGAGTTAAAGGTGACATAATAAGATGTTTAGGTACTTTTGAGGTAAATAATCATAAACTCTCCTTTTTGGTAACCAGCCAGTTTTATGTTTCCAAATTTCTTAACTGTTTTATTGATTTTTTTATATTTATCAACAGAACCGTGAAAGGAAACATCGAACTGATGTTTACATACTTGCTGTTACCCAGGAGCTCCAAGAATGGGAAGATTCCACTGCCATAGGTTAAAAAACTACTTAATTATTCAAAACTATTCACATATTTAACGATAATTATTTCCTTCTCCATCCTACAGGTCGTCGCAGATGTTGGTTTACCTTGGATGAAGCGATTGAGGAACTATCTTCACATAAACCAATTGAAAGTAACTACATTAAGCTGCTGATTAAAGACAAGGCAAACTGATGAAACTGTGGAATCGGACTGAGTCCTTTATAGCCATCTACATGGACACTCATGATCAAGATTCACTCATTTACGTAAATTTAACCATCTTTCACGTCCCCATATTGGAAATATAATCGGAAACGATCATTTTTACTGCTTTATACTCTTTCTGACTTTAGACTGAATCATTACAAAGACTATTACTTTATTTGTACCTAAATATTCTGTATCCTGTTATCAAGATTTTTCAATTTCTAATGTTTATTAATTGAAAACATTGATATAACAAGTATGATATTGCATGAATGTACAAATGTCCTGACAGTGTACAATACATCAATTCTGAATGAGATACCCTGAGATGTTCAATTTGAGTTAGTTAGTTGACTTGATTTTTTTTCAAACTTAATATTAAATTGACCAGTTGATGTAAAATGGTTATCACCTTACATTTTAAAACTATCAATATTTATTTGAGTAATTGATTGAGTTTGATCACGTTTTTTATTCCAATGACCAGTATTGGGTACAATTACATGTTAACCTGTTAAAAAAACAATATTATATTTCTGAATGAAATATAATTCAAAGCAAAAATACTATTGAAATAAATGTTTTAATCGATTAATAATACAATCAATTCAACCAAAGTTGAAAGTCAACATTATCGATCTAAACATGTAAACATTTACATTAATACTTGTAGAGTAATCAGTAACCTAAATAGTGATTTTCAAGCTACCCACTCTTATTAAGCCAAATAAGGATTAAGCCACACCACTGATTAACACACATGAGACGACAAAACTGGAAGATCTTAAGCTTACAATGAAACATTGACTGGACAACTAATGATCAACCATGAAAGCCATTGATTTGCGTGATGTATCGATTCCTTTCAAGACAATCAAAGCTAATTTTCATATTTCCTCTTACTTCAGTTACATTGTCTCTTTTCATCTGGACTTTTATTCCTATTCGCTTGTTTACTCCTGATTACAATGGGATCAACAATCATGGATTAGACAACAATTATGAATACTTGAATCACACGGGTGACTGGATATTTGGTGATTTTATTATCAGGAACAGTGGCCGATGTCCACAATTTGGATTGGCTACAATAGTTTTACTCATCCATAGTGATCCAGTCAACATAGAGAGTCGAAACCTTTTACGCCATTATACACCGGGAAATTATTGTTTCACCTTTCTATTAGGATCTCGTGACAATGCAACCAATCAACAGATTGCCAAGGAATCCAAACAATTTGGAGACATTGTTCAAGGAACTTTTCTGGATTCCTATCGAAATTTGACAAGAAAACATATAATGGGTCTAACTTGGGCTGCTTTATACTGTCCATTGGCTTCATTCATTCTTAAGATGGATGATGATGTCCTTCTCAATTATACCTTCATCAGTGATTATCTTGATTCTCAGTTTCCATCTTATTCAATGGATCCATTTCTGGTTCGAACTCCAATTAAAATGATCATTGGTTACGTGATGCCCAGATCACCAGTGATTCGTGATAAAACAAGCAAATGGTATGTCGATTCAAGTGAATATGGTGATGATTTTTACCCCACATTTGTCTCTGGTTGGGGTTATATAACGTCCATCGATGTGATTCACTTACTTCTCAATCAAATAAAAGACACTCCGATGTTCTGGATTGATGATATTTATGTAACTGGAATGCTTCGATCCAAATTAACGGACATTTACTTTTACTCCATAAACCAATTTTTCAACATTAATCTAGATACTGTACGAAATTGGACTCGATTGAAGCATAATCATGTTTGGCCTTACATGGTTAGCGTTTCTTCTAAAGACTTGTTAAGTATCAGCTTGGAGCGTTACTCCTACTGTGATAAACACAAAAAACACTGTGACTGCTGTCTTACATGGTTGGATCCATTTGACAAGAAAAAGACAGAACCAATGGAAAGATCAGATCTGGTTCCATTGAAATCTGCCGGAGAAATCGCTGAATTACATATTAGATAAAGGTTCAACTACGAATATCAGAGATTAATGTGATTCATGAAAAAACTGATGTTCCCTCCTTTATGGTTAAATGTTGAGATTATTTGTTTTTTATAATACTTGACTTTTTTTTATAAGATAATTTATCGGTGGTAACAGTAAGTTAATCAATGTCAATCAGCATTCATTTATTTCATTTAACTTTATCATTCCTCTCTTTCACTATCTATCTTCCTCTCACTCATCATCATTTTATCAATTAGTCTTTTTCATCCACCTAATGTTGTGCAGTTTATATTCAACCAAACGTAATACAATGAAACATCATTAACAAATAAACCGATAACTATGATTATATTGAATTACACAAAAGTGCCCTTGTCTCCATAATTTCTTGTTGTGATTCTTGTTGGTTGTTGCTGTCGTTGTCACCTCCATTACAATCATCAATCAAATCATTCGTAACGTTAGATCACCAATACCATTCCTGTTGTTATTTTAATTATTTGTTTTCTTCTTTAATCTTTTGTCGTTTTTTTTCTTACCTTTCTCTTCCTTACCCTTGGCTTCATCTCGGATAACATTGTAAATATCATCATCTTCATTATCAGTAGACTAATCGTGAAATAACTTCTCGTCAACATGGCTAAATATAAAAGTACGACTCTTTCCCGAAGCTTACAGGTTAATAACCAGTCCAAGCGATCGCCACCAGCAAACCATCATTTAATGTCTAACGACAACAACAGCGATGATCATCAAGCTCATCATGCCAATCATCATTCAAATCCCCACTCTAATCATCACTCCAATCATCACTCTAATCATCATTCTAATCACCATTCTAATCATCATTCTCACCATGATAATTGGGCTCTCAATCCATACACCAGTAAGTATAAACGAAACAAATTCAGTGTAAAATTACATTGAACCACACGGAGAACACGTTTCATAAATAATGTTGAATGAACTTCTGATCAAACATGTTGACCATGAGCATTTTGAAACACTGGAAATTATCAGATAAACTTCTTGCACCCAAATTTTGCTAAGCAAACTTGAATAAAAGCTAAGTTGCACTTCTAGGTTTAGGTTTTTAATCAGATTTAGGAAAAGCCATTTTGGTTCAGATACATTTCAATGAGACAAAAAAAGCCAAAATTAACCCTTGACTTATCTTGTTGACTTTTTGGCTTTTGACTTTTGATTAGTTGTTCAAGGTTATGTTATTTGAATTATCGTAACTTTTCATTTTGCGAGAGTTTTCCTAGTAATTGATAAATGTTGATCTTTTAAATATTTGTACCTTACCAGCTTAAGTATTGTATGTCTAATGGTTGTCTACTTTTTATTGAAAGCTCATAAACATGGTTATCACGGGAATGATCATGAAAGTAACAGCCATCTTAATTCTGGAATTGATCTTTCGCGAGAAGATAAGTTGATATCTAATCATGGTGGTGTAGTCACAAGTGGTAACTCTAACAACAATGGCAATCAAAGTAAATCACACAATAATGATGGTAATTCCAGTACGGGCAACAATACTCTTAATATCAATAATGGCGATGGAAATGAAAATAACAGCAACAGCGAGACTCCCATAAATGGCCATAAATCGATTGAACTGTCTGATCATGGACATCATGATCATCATGTGTTACATCCTGCCCATCATCATCAAAACTCTCATTCCCACCATCACCACCAATCAAACCATCATTCATCACATCATCATGGACATGCAAATTCACCGGTAACCTCAGCTCATTCACATCAACCTCAAACAGCTCACCATCACAGTCATCATCATGCAACCTTTAGCTCCTCACCCTCGGACCAAGTGTCATTAGGGTTAACCATCAAACATCCCATGATAACAGCAACAAGTCCAACAGTCACTTCAAATCCAAATGTAGTAAGCAACGATCATCATCATTCACACCATCATCACTCTCACCATTCTCATCATCCTTCCCATTCCCATTCCCACTCTTCCCATCACTCACACCATCACCATTTACACGCCAATTATCCAACCTATGGCGCTTCAACTATGCAAGATAGAGATTTACTTTCATCTGGTGCTTCTGGTAATCATTCGCATACATTTCGAAGTATTTCGCACAGTGGAAGTGGCCACCAATCTCCATTATCACCGAGCTTAGGAGCTTCAGCGTCAACAGATTTGCCAATCCATAATTTTCATAACACTGGTGAACACTCAGCTTCTCCTCCGACCATCATTTCAAGTCGAAATCACATTTGGAATGGATTGACCGGAGCTGAAGAAGGAAATAACAGAGGTGGGACAAACGGTCGTGACTCTACTTCGGCTGAAACTGGTAGCGATGCTGGTACTCCAACTCCTCAATCAATTTATGAGCATAGTCCATTATCGGATATTGGTTCATCACAATCTTCATTATTAATTTCGAATTTGAAGAAAACAAAAAGACAACCTCAACCAATACCTGATAATTGTAAAGATGATGCCTATTGGGAGCGAAGAAGACGAAACAACGAATCAGCAAAACGGTCAAGAGAGTCTCGACGAATCAAAGAGCATGAAACTCATGTTAAAGTTAAGGTCCTTGAACAGGAAAACATGAGGCTTTTGGCTAAAGTTAATATTTTAGAGAATGAAGTTGAAAAACTGAGAAAGATCGCTTATGATCGACGTGAAGGAGTCAATGATAATGATGGTCGGAATTCAGGCAATAATGGATCAGGCCAAGGAACAAGGCCAAGTTCAAGTGCAAACTAGCAAAAATTAAAGCAAATAAACTTGTTATCATAGCTTTTCAGTAAAGCAAATTTGAATGATTTTAGTTTTTTAGCCACTTTATGAAAATAAAATGATTTTAGACATTTTGACACTAGAAGTAACCTTAACCAGATTTTAAAATTTGAATATTTCTAGCAAATATTTTTAAGTTTAGTAATATTAACTTAATATTATTACCGGGACACAATTGTACAATCAGTGAATTTGCCTTCAAAGCTACATTTTGCCAAAATTTATTAAATTGTATTGCAATGATCTTTAGTTTGAGGTGAATAAACCATCGGAAAAGGATATGCAAGTTCAATTGTTGATTATTTTACAAATGTTAACGATAATCGAAATAATATTTTATAAATGTAGACTTTGTTAAATTGCATTAAACATTTTGAATTAAAACACTCTTTTCGTTCTTATTTCTGATCATTTATAATTTACACAATGGTTTGCCATAACTCACAAATAACTTGTGCTACAGATCCAAGACTTGAACCATAAATTTAGAGGTTTGTATGAAATTTAAATGCAATTTTATACCACCGCATGGTCTTGTTCGAATTGATGGACTTTAGTGACAAAAAATGACTTTTAATGGCTTTAAGATTTCGAACTTATGATTCCTCAATTCAAGTAAGCTTATGGTTCAAGTACGGAATTAGTCACACCAACTGTTAGTGAGGGTTGCTACTAAAAAAACAAAATTAACACAATTATCACATTTATTTATTGATCACATCATTTATAAGTTGACAAAAATGGGCAAAATCGTGTGAAAATGAATTTCTTTGTAATTTAGATCCTGTTTGTTTGTAGGGAAATAAAAATGAATTCTTTAGTGCTATTTGAAAATTCCTCTGATGAACAGTTTTCAAGAAAATCGAGGTCAAAGTGAAAACTTCGCTCGTCTTTTATACAGCTGTGGAGGTAGATTTTTTCATGAAACTCACTCAACTGGTTAACCTTTGATGACCAGCCAGAAAATGTACTTATTTCGAGAAATAGAATTTTTCTTTTTCTGCAAAACAGATCAGTTCGATTTTTAGCTAAACGGACCGCATTCTATGACCGCAGAAGTTAGAGAGCTCAAACTTATTATTTGTCAATTAAAGTTGCTACTTCACATCATGGATTAAACACTTTCAACAATTTAACAATAGTTCTCTTAATTTTGGACATTGACGTAAAAACTTTGAGCCTCAATATTTCGATAATGGCATAACCTAAAAGCATTATTCTTTCCCCAATTCAGTTCTTTACTAATTGCTAATACAATACAATTTAATTACTTTCTATTTGTGGACTTTGGGCTTGATATTTTGGCTGTTTATGTGCGAGAAACAGCTTATTTAACAAACTAAACTCATCTTAACCCATAACTTGATGAATAAAGCAATTTTCTGGTTAAACTTACAAATGATATGGAAACAGTGATGCTAAAGTCGCTAACATTTGGGTTGAGAGTTGAGACTTGATGGGGTTTGTAGAGACATAAAAACTGAGTCTATTAGTACTATTTAATAATTTCTCTGATGAACAGTTTTCGATAAAATCGACGTCAAAGTTGAAACTTCGAACGATTTTTGTTCAACTATGGAATAAGATTTTTCCATGAAACTAAATTTACTAATGATTATTTTGATGAACAACCAGAAAATGTGCCTGTTTTGAGAAATATAACTTTTCTTTTTCTGCAAAACAGATCAGTTCGATTTTTAGCTAAACCGATCGCAATCTATGACCACACAAGTAGTTGAGCTCAAACTTGTTATTTGTACATTAAAATTGTTACTCCATATCATGAACTAAAAATTTACAACAATTCAATAATAGTTCTCTTGATTTCGGCCATCGGTCTTAAAACTTTGTACCTCGATATTTCGAGAATGGCATAACCTACAATCAGCATTCTTTCCCCAAGTCAATTCTTTACTAATTGCTAACGCACCACAATCTCATAAATTTCCATTTACTGACTTTGGGCATGATATTGCGACTGTAAATGTGTGAGAAACAGCTTATTCAACAAACTAAACTCATCTTTACCCATTTCTTGGTAAACAAACCAATTTTCTGGTTAAACTTATAAATTAAATGTAAAGATTGCTGCCGAAGACGCTAACATTTGGATTGAGAGTTTAGACTTGATGGGATTTGTAGGGACACAAAAACTGGATCTATTAGTACTATTTAATAATTTCTCTGATGAACAGATTTCGGGAAAATCGAGACCAAAGTTGAAATTTCGATCGACTTTTGTTCAACTATGGAATAAGATTTTTCCATGAAACTAAATTTACTAATGTTTATTTTGATTACCAACCAGAAACTGGTCTTACTTTTAGAGTTAATATTTTCTTTTTCTGTTGAGCGGACCAAGTTCGATTTTTAGTTAAACTAACTACTTATTGTAACCGTAATAGTTAGCGAACTACAACTCATCCTTTATGCATAAAAATTGTCTGTACATATTGTGCCCCAAATGCTTTTTTCAATTAATAAACAGTTCTCTTGATATTGGCCATTGGCCTCGCAACTTTGAGCCTCAATATTTCGAGAATGGCATATCTTAAAAACATCATTCTTGGTTAAACATTAGATTCTATTATAAGGAATAATATATTGAAATATAAAATGCATTCAAGATTCTACAAAAAAAGTTATAGCGTTGTATATCTTATGTTGTCAGATTTGAGACTTTATTTATAAAGTTGAATGATAATCAAAAACAAAACTTATGCATTAGAAGCATCTTCATTATTAGATGGATTATCTCAAATTTTGTTCAGTATTCAGTCATATACTATTATAGCCCATAGTAAAATCTAATGTCTGGTGAAAGAAAGATAACTGTAGGTGCAAGCATTCTCGAAATATTCAGGTTCAAATTTTTAAGGCCAATGGCCAATATCATGAGAACTATTGATAAATCATTAAAAGTATTTAATTCATAATGTGAAGAAACAATTTTTATGCGCAAATAAAGAGTTCCAGCTTTCTGAATCTTATGGCCATAAAGCACGGCCGGTCTAACTAAAAATCGAACTTGGTCCGTTCTACAGAAAAAGAAAATATTATTTCTAAAAGTAAGACCAGTTTCTGGTTGTTCATCAAAATCTACATTAGCAAATTCATTTTCATGGAAAAATCTTCGTCCATAGTTGAACAAAAAGCGTTCGAAGTTTTAACTTTGACATCGATTTTCTCGAAAACTGTTCATAATAGAGATCATTAAATAGTACTAATAGACTCAGTTTTTGTGTCTCTACGAATCCCATCAACTCTCAACTCTCAACTCAAATGTTAGCGTCTTTGGCATCACACTTTTCATTTCATTTGTAAGTTTAATTAGAAAATTGCTTTATTCATCAAGTTATGAGTTAAAATGAGTTTAGTTGGTTAAATAAGCTGTTTCTCGCACATAAACTGTCAAAATATCAAGCCCAAAGTCTAAAAATAGAAGGTAGTTAAATTGTATTGTATCAGCAATTAGTGTAGCATTGACTTGGGGAAAGAATGCTGACTGTAGGTTATGCCATTCTCGAAATATCGAGGAACAAAGTTTTGAGAACGATGGCCGAAATCAAGAGAACTATTGTTAAATTGTCGTAAATTTTTAGTTCATGATATGGAGTAACAATTTGAATGTACAAATAATAAGTTTGAGCTCTCCTACTTCTGTGGTCATAGATTGCGATCGGTTTAGCTAAAAATCGAACTGATCTGTTTTGCAGAAAAAGAAAAGTTCTATCACTAAAAATAAATACATTTTCAGGTTGTTCATCGAAATAAACATTAGTAAATTTAGTTTCATGGAAAAATCTTATTCCATAGTTGAACAAAAAGCGTTCGAAGTTTTAACTTTGACATCGATTTTCTCGAAAACTGTTCATCAGAGAAATTATTAAATAGTACTAATAGATCCAGTTTTTGTGTCCCTACAAATGGCATCAAGTCTCAACTCTCAACCCAAATGTTAGCGTCTTCGGCAGCAATCTTTACATTTCATTTATAAGTTTAACCAGAAAAATGGTTTGTTTACCAAGAAATGGGTAAAGATGAGTTTAGTTTGTTGAATAAGCTGTTTCTCACGAATATATACTCAAAATATCAAGCCTAAAGCCCACTAATGGAAAGTTATGAGATTGTATTGTATTAGCAATTAGTAAAGAATTGAATTGGGGAAAGAATAATGCTTTTAGGTTATACCATTCTCGAAATATTGAGGCTCAAAGTTTTAACGTCAATGTCCAAAATTAAGAGAACTATTGTTAAATTGTTGAAAGTGTTTAATCCATGATGTGAAGTAACAACTTTTATTGACAAATAATAAGTTTGAGCTCTCTAACTTCTGCGGTCATAGAATGCGGTCGGTTTAGCTAAAAATCGAACTGATCTTTTTTACAGAAAAAGTAAAATTCTATTTCTCGAAATAAGTACATTTTCTGGATGGTCATCAAAGGTTAAATCAGTTGAGTGAGTTTCATGAAAAAATCTACCTCCACAGTTGTATAAAAGACGATCGAAGTTTTCACTTTGACCTCGATTTTCTTGAAAAATGTTCATCTGAGGAATTTTCAAATCGCATTAAAGGATTCAGTTTTTTTGTCCCTACAAACCAACAGACTCAGAATGTCAAAGAATTCAATTTCTACACGATTTTGACCATTTGTGTCAATTCGTGCATGCATGTGATGATTTCGTTAGTTTCTTTTTTATTAACAACCGTTAGCGAATTACTGGAAACCTTTGTAATGAATAATAAAAACGCTCGATGCATAATAAAAGCTCTTTAAATCGACACGATATGTCCTCGTAGCGATTTTCGCGAAACATTACATTTTAAAATTGAGACATTTTAATTTATCGATCAATATAGCTCATTATCATAATTAAAACTGAAAATGTAGTAAATTGAAGATTGAAACAACAGTAATTTATTTACAATAAGTATCTCAGGCTATAAAACGTATTTTCATTTAAATGGTGTAAATGCTTCAAACAAATTATTGTTAATGTCTTTTGTATATCAATTTATTAGATCATTATTTTAAGAGCATTTAATAACATAATTGAATGTAGCCTAAATTTATGATGCAAATTATTTTGATAACTATTCTGTCTAGAGTCAAAAATAGTTGAGCTTATTATATAATATTTTTGTGGACAATTCACTTTTTTGAGTCAAATTTTTCATGTCAAATAAAATACATTTCTTTATTTCAAATCAATTGAAAATATACAAGTTTCCTTTGGAAGGAAAATTTTAACCGGAGTTCAATCAGAAGAGATGTGAGTTCCAGTGACCCCAGAAATCGGGTTGATAATGGTCATGGCTATCATGGTGATGACAATTCTCATGCATGATGATTGATCCACCGCCCTTCTTCTTGCCACCACCGGACAGGATAGTTTTACCATCACAACCAGATAAAACAATGTTACCATGATCGGATTTGCCAGCAAAAACGACTGATACTAAACAGAAGAGGAAAGCAAAACAAAATAATTTAGGAGACATTTTCAGTGTTTGGTTGTTGAATGAATAGGAAACTGTACAAAGCAAATTTATTTTTCAACTTGTTGATTGAAGATGTTGGACTGAACTGATACTTTTCCTAAACATTTGGTTCCTTTTTATATTTTTTGACTTTCGATTATAAGCTTCATAAAATGCTAATGTTAACTCAAGTCAATTACACTTATAATGCTAACATAATGTTAATAAGCCATTCTTGTAACCATCAATTTTCAGTAAATATTTTATTATTGCAAATCCATCATTTGATTAAATCAGCTCATATCTTGAAACTAGATTATCTTTGAATCTAACAGTACCAAGAACTTGATGCTTAACTGGATGCAATCTTGTTCAACGGACACCATTTTAATGACTCAATATCCAGATTAGATGCAATTGATTAAATTTTCAGTGTAAAAGTGAAATTAGTTTGGAAATTAGTAAATAATAATTATAAATGATCACAATTGCATAATTGATAAATCTTTTGCTGGTTTAACCAATATTATTAATGTAATATTATTGAGATGAAAAAAGACAATCAATTGATATTTTAATTTTATGCTTTTACATTTGACTCCTTGACAATTCAATAGTTGCTAATGGAGCTTGTTTTTGATAAAATTTGAATTGAATGAAATCGATACTTCAACAATGGTTAAATGGATCGTCTGTTTTAATGTCCATCAGATTATTGATCTTGCAATATCGCCATTTTAACAAATGTCAAGATATTACATCTTTTAAACAGTCTTACAAGTAGAGAGGAAAATGATTGTCATCAATTTGCTATTCCTGACTTTATTAATTAATGTGCAATATTGTTTAACTTATTATCTCAATGATTTTATCATCGGTAAGTTTAATTTTTAAAATTGTACCAATACTGTTTAATTGTTGATAATATTTGGTAATTGAAGGTGTAGTAACTGGTCCTAATGGTGGGTTTGTTGAGAGATCATTCAATGCAGCATTGGAACAGTTAAATTTAACTTCGATAACAATAAGTGAAACTAAATGGATTAGAGGAAGTAATAATACAGCTGTTAGTGATATTTGCGACTCGCTGGTAACTCGATCGCATCAATATCCATCGCTCATCTTTGATTTTACACCTCAATCAGTGGATAATGAAAATGGCCAATTTTCAACTGCTATTAAAAAATACTCGCGACTATCAGGGACTCCAACGGTCAGTACAAGTCTTTCCCTTGGAGCTACCAAGAACCCATGGAACCGTCTTAATTCAATCGAAAACAATTATCTTATTCATTTATATCGACCGGGTGATGTGATTCCAATGATTATCCAAGATATAATAACTCTTTACAATATAACAGAAGCTGTCATCCTCCATGACCAATCATTTAGTAAGTTGAACAGAATCTTGATTTGAAATCATTTAAATTTTACTTGAACCTGGTCTTTCTAGTTTTAGATCATAAGTTAACTGGGTTGTTGGATAAATCGACGGTTGATTATGATGTTAAACGACTGGACGCTGATACCTTGGAAGACACAATGAACGAATTAAAAGCTTCTAAAGTCCATAATTATTTCGTTTTGGCCAAAATCGCTAATATTGATAGGATTCTAGAAATGGTAAAAATAACATTAAAGACAATTATTAATAATATAAAATGATATTGATTTTCAATTTACCTTTTTTTGGTTTTTCCTATTCATCTAGGCTTCTAGTTTGGGAATGTTTAGATTTGCTGATTCCTGGTTCATGATTACCAAGGGAAGAGGCCAAATAAAGTGTGACAATTGCACTCATGGATCAATCCTTCTCTATCAGCCATCACGAGTCAAGTCCATTGAATACGATCATTCACCAGGTTTGAACAATATCTCAAAGGAAAAAAGAATTGATGCTTTCTTTATTTATGATCTGGTTCGTTTAACCTTAATGAGTGTGGATGAAATGGTGAAAACAAATGTTTGGCCAATTAACTTAACATTTCCTGATTGCGGCAAATCGTTAACTACACGTCAAATAGATGAAAGAAAAGGGTTAAATCTTAGAGATCAGATGTCATTAGAAGGTTTCTTTGGATTATTTGGTCAGTTCGTTATATCTCCTTCAACAACTCCAAATCCCCTTTCTAACCAGCTTTCAGATGGTTTTGATCAATTCATTGATTACCAAGAGATAATTATGAGAGTTTCAAAAGTTGAACTATGGAATTACCAACCTTTTCGTTATTACCTGGTCAGTGAATGGATTGCAGAACCACCAAGGGGTCGGTTTATTTTAACTGGAGCCATTCAAGCAGCTTCAAAACCTTTATACAGAATAGTCACAATTCAGGTATTTTTAAATTTATGTTGCTTTAAATCAATCATTTGCTAATAAGCATTTCGTTGAATTATAAAAATAGATTAATCACAATTTTCAAGAATACTTTTGAATTTAAAATTTACATCTTTTGCTAATCGATTCTAATTCAAAAGTTAGCTAACCCTTTTTAAGATTTAAACGACTATTGCCAAGGTAACCAACAGATGGGTTATTTTATTTAAAAATGTAACTTCTGAAATTAATCCCTCAATTAATTAATTATTTTCTAGTGTGTTAGATTAACTCTTGACAATTATTTAATTAGAAATTTATATTTATAATGTGTGCAATTATTAAAATAGCAACCACCTTTTGTGATGAAATGGCCGAACGGTACTTGGTATGGATACTGTATAGATTTACTTGAGGCAATTCAAGATCGACTTGCTGAAGAAGATAAGTTCGACTATGAATTATATGAATCTCCCGATGGTAAATATGGTGATAAAGACCCAACAACCGGCAAATGGGACGGCATAATGGGAGAGATACAATCTGACGTAAGTAAATACTGAAATATCTTGAAATTCAAAATGAATAAATTGTGTTTTACTCTACGATTTTACAGAAAGCTCAGATTGGGATAGGTTCTGTAACGGTTATGGCTGAAAGAGAGTCGATTGTAGACTTTACGGTTCCTTATTACGATCTCGTTGGAATATCAATCCTGATGAAAAAAACAACAACACCTTCACATATGTTTAAATTTTTAACAGTCTTGACTAATGAAGTTTGGTTGTCAGTCCTTGTATGTTATCTCGCCACCTGGTAAGGAGTAATCAGTAATTCTTGATTGAACCTTTTCTAATTTCTTGCCTTCATTTGCAGTGCTGCTATGTTCATCATTGATAGACTGAGCCCATACAGTTATCGTAACACAAAGAATAAACGCAAAGATCAAAATGCTTCTCGAGATTTCAATTTAAAAGAGTGTTTCTGGTTTTGTATGACATCGTTGACACCACAAGGTGGAGGTGAAGCTCCTATCAACTTATCGGGACGATTTGTTGCAGCCATTTGGTGGATATTTGGTTTTGTATTGGTTGCTACTTATACTGCTAATTTAGCTGCTTTCTTGACAGTTTCCCGTCTTGATTCACCAATTGATGGACTTGATAAATTAGTTGAACAGTACAGAATCAGATATGCACCAGTAAAGGATACCCTATCAATGATTTACTTCAAAAGAATGGCTTATATTGAAAAGAAGTTTTACGAAATCTGGAAAGATATGGCTCTTGATGAAAATTTAGATAAAAAGGAAAGAGGCAAACTAACTGTCTGGGATTACCCTTTAACGCAAAAATATTCAAATATATTAAAACAGATTGAAATGACTGGAATGCCTAAAACTTTTGAAGAAGGAGTTGCACGAGTTAAAAAATCGAAAAACTCAGCTGAAGGTTTTGCATTGCTTGGTAAGTTTCTTGCGTCTTTCAAACATGTATAATTATATCTAATGTAAAAATTAATTTTTAATTCCATGCTAATAGCTGATGCAACCAAAATACGTTATGCTGCAATGACAAATTGTGACTTACAGCAAGTTGGCAATGAATTTAGTCGAAAGCCTATTGCATTGGCAGTTCAAGAAAATTCACCCTTGAAAGACAAATTAAGCTCAGCTATATTGAAGCTTCTTAATCTACGTAAATTGGAATCACTGAAGGAAAAGTGGTGGAGCAATAATCCTGAAAAAGCAGATTGTGAAGATCCAAAGAAAGCTAGTGATGGAATCAGTATCAGAAATATTGGTGGTGTTTTCATCGTAATTTCTGTTGGTGTTGTTCTTGCTTGTATAACCTTAATCTGGGAACATTGCATCGTTAAAAAATTCAGAAAGTCATCAGCTAAAGTATCAAATGTTTTCAGACAAGAAATTGGAAAGAAAGAATCTTCAAAACTCTATAATTTTCCAATGCCATACAACCCAAAGATGAAGGAAAAGATATAAATTACCATAAAAGAATTAATTTTATCGCGACTCAATTTCTTCGAATATTTGTGGCTATATAACATTTATTCAATCATGTTGATCCAAGTGTTACAAACTGAAACATAATGAAAAGTAGTAGTTTCACTGATTCGATTGGCACTAATTTTTGTAACATGTTGAAAATTAAAGATAAAAATATTCGAGTTGATGATAAATATTGGATTGTATTCGAATAATTAGCGGTGATTGGCAAAGACGATTGGTGTTTTTCTTTGTGATTTGGCAGAAAACTGTAACCAAAGATCTTTTTATCCGTGTTCATTATTTTTTGCTGTTTAGTCTCTTGGCTTGAATCAGTTCTGATGTGCCTGTTCTAGGCAGTTTAGATCTATCTTTAGCTGCAGCATCAATAAGGAAAGATTCACGAACAAGATTTCCTCTAAAAGAATCGATGCCTGATTTTGCAGAAAACATAGATTTGGGCGAATTAACAATGGGAACAGAATCATTCGAAGTAGATGATTTAAAAGGTAGTGATTTAAATTGCGACCTAACAGGTTGCGAATAAGGGTAAGATGGATTGGTGCGTCGACTTTTGAAATATTCTCGACGAGATTTATATTTGTCAGTTGAACTAGTTAAGCTTTTAGGAATATCAACTTTCATATCGAAAGGATACATTTTACTAATTAGATAAAAATAGTAACAGAAATGAGAAATCAAACTCAATGTACCGGTAATGGTGAATATCAAGAATAACCATGTAAATAAATCAATAGAAGCGGGCTCTTGGTTGACCTGTGGTTCAACTGATTGCAAGTAACTAACCAAATCGGAAGATAACATATAATGACGCTTTAAATTAACAAAACACAAAAAAAAATAATTGATTCTCAATGGATATTATGATAACAACAAGGATTATCCAACAGTAATTTGAGCAACTTTGCGAAGCGCCATCTTTGAGTGTTGAAAATAACCAACAGTTTATAACAGGTAAAAATAGGTGGAGCTTAATAACTGTTGAAACTTTTTTTTCTTTACCTGAATGTTTTTTATCTTTCCTTCATCACCAAGGAGAAGAGACTTTGGGAAGCAAAAACATTACAATTAATTGTTGACTTTGCTTATTTCAACTATCTTTGCAAGTGTCTCTACTGTTAACTAGATTAATTAGTTAATTGATTTGTTTCTTCTTGTTTTAATTTAAATGAATTTAACAACCTTTAAATTTGTAATAGTAAAGCGACCACTTTACAGATCCGAGACGACCTAATGTCATCTTCATCGGATACTAAGTCAACCAGTTTAATCTACCATCATCAACAAATTAAACCTCATAATCATCATTATCGTTTGCCTTTACCATGGCTATAGCATCTTTATTTATTTTAGGTAAGTTTAAATACCCTTTACCATCAAATTTGTATCATAAAACGGTCTGTTACTTCTGACTAACTAATGATCCTCTCCTTTGCTTCAACTTGCTTTGCATTCTTAATTTTGACGTTTGACGGTTGAAGATTTTTCCCTCTCTCTCTTTCTCTTACTCTCTTTTCCTTCTTTCTTTTCTTTCTCTGCCAGTTAGGAAATACTTTTCTTTCTTTTCCTTTGGGCTAAACGCTTTTACACATCTATGAATTTGAAAGAAATTAGATTTAAATGTTATCTCATTGTACAGACGATTCACTTTTTCTCTCTTTTAATTATCTTGATCAAAGTGTGAACACTGTATTGATCATACTCTACAGAGGTACCACTCCCCGAGCCACTTGAAAATGATCAATGTGATGATATTAGATTGTTCATAATTCACACACATTTCCCCTTTATTTGAACAGACAATTTGTTAAACCATCAAATTTTTCTTCGGTTAATCACTTGTTTAGTCTGTTATTCCTAATTTTGCCCTTTTTTCCTTATTTAAAATCTAGTCTCTTCCTGTTATAAGTTGGAAAGTACTTGTAACAGAAGGTGTGAAAAGTTTATTTTTAATTTTTATTAACATAGAATATGATTAAATTTTTTGCTGAAATTTATTTGAACTCATTTTTTAAAACTGATTTTTGTAATTGTTCAATAACATTGCATAATGATTCCTTGCCTTTTTATACCTTTCCTGAGTATGTTATCTTTTATGTTTACAAAATTTTTCCTATCACATCTCAAGAGTAAATGTAGTCAAGAGAGAGAAAAATCTTTATATTACTAACAAACTGAATCATACTTTATCTATTAATATTGTTTATTTTTCTCCTGTTTTCAGGTCTCCTTGGATTGCATTACCATGGAGCATTATCAGCTACCTCCGATAGCACATCTAGTCAATGGAATCGTCCCATTTATGGTACATCTCCATATGATGCTTCAAGTTATCCTGGATCTCAGTATTACCAGCAAGAAAATCAACATTCAAAGCCTATTTCCGGAAGACTATTAGAAGGTGTATATGGTCATTCAGATCGTCGATGTAAACAGGCATTAGAAAATAAAAGACCACAAGAACTGATCACTGTCGAAACGAAATACGGATCTTATGCAGGCAGAATTTCGTACCTTTGTGATGCTCCAGGTTTACCAGTTTGGTCTAGACCAGGATCACCTTCAAATAGATTGATTAGTTGGCAATATGAAGTTGCCGTATTTTTGGGAATACCTTATGCTCGACCGCCATTAACAGAGCATGGACTGCGTTTCAAGGTGAGATACCTTGCAACTTTGCTTCTTTACCATGAAGAATCAAATTTGTGGCAGACAGATCAGGTTAACCAGTCAGTCTGCCCATCAATCACAGTAAAAACAATTGAACCATTAAGTTCCAAATTAGATACTTTTGTGTACATTATTTACTTATCTCTCAACACATCTGTGAAACTAGAAATTACTTCACAAGTTAGTGCAAAAATCTTTACAATTTAATTTGCTGCCAACTATTTTACAATAATTGTGGTCAAGATTAATCTAAATGTGATTGATGTATCAGTTAAATAGATCTACTATTTTTAAATGTATCAATTTAATGATGTTTGTTATAAATTGCAGTCTCCACAGCCACCATCATATAAAGGATCTTGGAGTGCAGATAGATTCCGTCCGTCTTGTCCTCAGCCATCTCAATATACAGGAGCTGACAAAATGATTTACGAAGTTAATGAAGATTGTCTCTATTTAAATATTTACACACCAAAGGTAAGTCATAACATTAATTTAATGTTGAATTTTGAATTGAAATAGCCCAATGACAAACCCTTTAAATCAAATCAAATTGTCATCAGTCATTCACTTGACCCATTTGAGTTTTCTGTTTTTACTCATTATTCAAAATTATTCCAACCCACGTAGTTGCCATTCACAATTTACCTTTTATTGTTAGTGAAAAAAAGGTAAACTTAATCATCGTATTCTTTCATATTTTTGCTTTAAAACAGTTGAATATTTATTAAATAGCCATCAAACTTTCATTTAAATTATTCAATAAAAGTTTCGCTGTACTGTTTTAATGATAAGGAATGAACAAAACGTATTTTACAACTTTTTTGGCGGGATTTTGTTTTCATTAATTCAAACCAGGGTTGAACACGATCAGTAACTGGATCCCAATTAATTAGACAGGGTAAAAGAAAGAGGAAGGAGTCAAATGAAAGTAGATAGAGGAAAACAAGCTTTCCAGATTTGTAAGAATTGCTTATTGTATTATTGTATTGTATTCATTGTAAAGGTGATTTGATACTTTCAATGTTTAAGCCTGCAAAATTATTTACAATGTATGATATTTAGACTTAATAAGCTTGATATTATGTCATTATATGGCTCAATTTCAAATTACAAGGGATTTGGCACCTTGATAATTATCCACTTGACTGCATTTAAATCTTATTTCCGTATCAATCCATCTATAATCAGTAAAGAAACTTACTTTTTATACATTTAATTCATTTTAAATCTACTCTTTTCTAATCATAAAACGATCATTTCATCAACAGGCTTCAGAGAACAAGGAAAAACCTAGTCCAGTTATGATCTACATTCATGATGGTAATTTTATACACGGATCCGGGAATCGATTCCCTGGTCATATGCTTGCTGCTTCGCAAGATGTTGTAGTAGTCACTTTTAATTATCGTTTAGGAATATTAGGTAAAGATAAAGATGTTTTTTTCGAAAGAATTTATTTTAACATTTTAATTTCTTTCTATTCATATAAAAGGATTTTTTGCCACTGCCGATGAATCATCTCCAGGAAATTACGGTATATTGGATCAAATTCAACTTATACATTGGGTTCGTGAGAATATACGTAAATTTGGCGGTGATCCTGAAATGATTACTCTTTTTGGTCCTGGTGCTGGTGCTGCTAGTGCTGGTATCCTGGCAATATCACCTCTTAGTCGAAAGTATATCAAGCGAGTTATTGCTCAAAGTGGTTCCGCAGTTGCTCCTTGGGCATCTATTAATGAACCAATTATGATAAGAAACATGTCAATTGTGGTTGGAGCTGCTTATGGATGTAGCACACCTTTGACACGTAACCTTGTTGAATGTCTTAAAAGTCGTAGCTCATCTGACATTCCGATTGCTGCTGTTGCCAATCAAGTTGGATGGTTACCCTTTGCCCCGGTGCCAGACATGACAACACGACCTTTAGGAACAGAGGTATTACCCGATACGCCTGAGGTTATTTTACAGAAAGGATTTCCTGTTGATGATATCCATTTAGATGGTTACCTGACAGGAGTAACAAGAGATGAAGGATCAGCAATGGTATACAGTGATGAAGAAATAAAGCTCAATGACTATCAAGTTACACTTGAAACTTTGGAAGAAAAAATTGAAAAGTATTTAAAAATATACAACGCAACACTAAATCCAGAGGCTTTTAAATCAGCTCTTCGCTTCATGTACACTCCACCCGTAGATCCAACAAACGGAACACAAATTCGACAAGGACTCATTGACGTAAGTCTATTTCAGAAGATACTAATTATTTTCTGTTTGTATTATTACAACAGTGATGAACACATTGTCGTTGAAAAGATCACAAACCTTAAGAAAAGATCTTAACATGACCTCACCCTGTTTTCATTGCTCATTGCTCTTGGAAAGTCTTTTCATAAAGACTTTACTCTCTCCCATTATGTTTAGTTTGATGTCTTTAACGTGATTTTTGGTTCTCGTTAACCTTAAAAGTGACCTTTCAAGGATAGCGATCATAACTTGTACCCTTTCTTAAGTTTTAGTTGCTCAGATTTTTTGTCTATTCAATGTTACTTTTAAACTTTTTATTGCTCTCATAATAATGTAGTTACAATGTTTTCATTTCCGCTTCATCATTTCTTTATTTCCATCTTCTTTTCTCACTGTTTCATTTTTTCTCCCTTATCCTTGAGTGAGGCCCTTTCAAGCAAAGTTAACTTGAAAAAATATCAAAATGACCTCAACTTAACGTCACTTGATTACCTCTTCAACTATCAACTAAGGGCAACCCTTAATTAACTTTTAACTAAATGATTTCACTTTGCGTTTATGGTGAAATCAAGTTTAATTTCCCTTCCTCCAATGCTTTTTCATTCAAAATACCTGTTAGTCTTCAAATCATCTTGATTTTATCTATTCATTATATAAAATTAAATCAATATAATTTGGTCTACACTTTAAACTGTTTTAATGGTTGTTAATGTTTTCCCTTCTTTGTCTACCTTACTCTAATAATAATATGAACTCTATCTGATCTTTACTCATATTTACCTTTTCTTTTTTATAGATGTATACAGATTCATGGAATGTAGCTGGAGTTGATAAAATGATGAAATTGATGGTAAAAAATAAGATTAAAACATACATGTATGTTTTAAATTACACCATTGAAAGTTTGCATTGGCCAAGGTGGATGGGTACGTTATCATTCCTACAGAGTTATCATATTTAAATGAATTTATCATTTGATCTTTTTTTATCGTTTATCCTTTTTCAATCTTAACTCTTGGTTTCTTTATTTTAACATTTTCAGGAGTTCCTCATGATACGGAATATTTTTTAATTTCTGGAGCTCCCTTTATGGATGACCAGTTTTACCCTAAAATGTATCATCTAGACAGAGTAAAATGGAAAGAAGATGATCGTAACATGAGTACATTCTTCATGAAGGCTTGGGCTGACTTTGCTCGTCACGGTGATCCCACTCCAGTTGCTTTGTTTAACAATATCCTCTGGAAACCAGTTGATCCTGCCACACTTCAATACCTATCTGTAAACACAACCAATTATACTAGTATAATGCATCGAGACTATAAGCAAAGAGAAGCCAAATTTTGGAATGAATATATACCCGAATTAGTAGGGCAACCAAAACCCATTTGGCCTCCACTCTATCAGCCAATAGAGGGCGAATTGAGAATGTACAGGGCTTCTTTATGGGCTATCGTGGCCATTCTAGTGATCCTCACATTCATATCAGCTCTGTGTTCATGCCTCTATTGTAAAGCCAAAAGGTAAAGTAAAATTAACAAATTTTCATTGATTTCTGCACTTGACTTTCATATGTGACATAAGGCTTCATATGGATTAAATTTGAGTAAATTAGAGCCACAAGAGGATAGAAAAAGGATTAAGTTTTCTATCACCTTTGACACAAAAGTATTTACCCTAAGAAATAGAATACTTTAGAGTCTTTTCCATTCTCTCAACTTATCTTCGTTACATTTGGATTGGTCAAGCTCACTTGCAGTCAACCGTTTTTATTGTTATGCAAACACTCCATTGTAATACTTGAGCAACTTTCTTATCACTTATTTATTTTGACAAAAGAATCCATTGTCATATCAATTTTCATATTGTTTTATGCTTATCGCATCTATTTTTATATTCCCTTGCCTGTCATCAGTCATTACTTGCTAACGCTTTGCTTTTATTTATTTTTGTTTATTTTCATTTGCACAGAGATCGAGTCGGCAATGCTGCTCTTGATTACAATTTTCCCGATATAACTGCCATTGGAACACAATACAGTGCTCCATCCACCCGAGCCAATTCAGAGATATCATTATCCAGTCGCACTAGAGCAGATTATGCACAAACTCATAAACTCATGCCAAGTGGTAAAGACAAATACAAGCCAATCGACAAAGCATTCCGTCCCAAGACTCACAGGGATAGACAAACTCGAGTTTGACTAAATGCCTATTAAACTGTTTGTCACAATGACCATTCCATTTTCAGTGTTCAAAACCTTTCCTTAACAAAATAAGGAAAGGGGCTCTCTTAAAGTCTATTCAGATACCTCACTCATTCAATATTCAAGTTGATTTGAATATTATCAAGTTATATCATTGAATAATATAACTATCGACAAACATATAATTAATGTGGTACTCTTAATGTCTATCTATTTTAGAGAACTCCAATCATGACTGATGTCAAATGAACGTCGCCAGTGTTGAATGTTTTTTGTTTTTTTTGTTTGATTATTTTTATTTCAGCGCATCTGGCAGTATTTAATTCACAAGGCCAAAGGTTATCAAAGATAAACTCACACATATTTACACATTAACTACACATAAGTACGCTTTTTGGTATCACCACGCATCAATTATATGTGCCTTTACAGTACAATCATGTTCAATTGATCTTTTTTTCATGTAAAGTATTCATTTCTTTGTGAATCACCAAATCAAAAACTATATACTTGATCATTTTGATTAATAAAACACTGTTTTCATTAACTTTGAATGTTGAAATAATTGTTGCATGCCATTAACCATTATTAGGATCAGTAGTTATTTCTGGCTTGAAATCATCAATATTTATAACAGGAAAATAATTTGGCAGCATCAAGATTGAAATGAGATTAATTAAGATTCTTAAAGATAAATCTTGTTCATTAAGAAATGATGATATCAATGTTAAATTAATGGCTTATTATTGGAGGTAATTGATACAAAAAAATGCATTAATAATCAGTTAATTAAACGAATCATAAGTGGTTGATAACAACTATTCAATAGAGGTAACAATGGGAAGTTGAAATAAAACAAAAGGTTGATGAGAAACAGTAAAAATAATAGTTTTAACAATTTGATGCACAACTTTGTTCATTGTTAAAATGATTAGGAATCGGGAAGGAAATAGTTACAATAAATTATTTAAAACAATAATTTGTTATCTCAGGGTTATAATATTAATAATAACTAAACTAATTTTACATTAAATCGTAAGCTACAATCAAAACGTTAATTAACAGCCGTTTTTACAGTCGCCATCTACTGTAATTATTTTACAGATGAACAAATTAAAACATCATAGATGGAGACTGTGAAAATTGCTTTAACCGGTACTTCAACACTTTAACATTTCAAATGTTTAATTTTAATTGTTCAGTATTTAGTCGATTCAAAAGGAACTAGGCCTGTAAAAGGTCTTGACCCACCAGCCTCCATAACTCCTGGTGTATCTATTTCAGTATCTCCTTTAAGATTACGATTAAGCAAAAGCGCCGGTAATTTTGTTTCTGGTCTTGACATTGTTCCAATTGATTTTCGTTCTTCATTAGACACTTCATCAGACATTTGAAACTCCTGATTATCATGTGCTTTAGTATCTTTATTCATTCCAACTTGATCCAGGTTTCCCTCGAAACGTTCCTCATTGGTATCATTTTTAACCTTCCGTGTTGGACTCATTTGACCATGTTTGGATCGTTTGTGGCTAAATCCATAAAATAGACAAGAGATGATTAGCAGAATAGCTCCAGCAAAAACAAAATACTTCCATTCCTGTCTTAACCATGAATTAATCCTTTTCCATATTGATTCATTTTTTAATGATGATGAAGTTGATGATGAATCATTTTTGGATAGATGTTCTTCCATAATAGACGGTAGGTCAATATTGTCAGGTATGTCTGCTGGTGAAAATGTTTTGTTTAATGATGAATGCAATAGGGATGCAGAAACACACAAAAACAAAAACATTGAAATAATTAACATGATATATATTTGGTTTGAAGATTTCATTATGATAAGCTTTTAACTATTAAAATGATAAATTAACTGTTGAATCGACTATTTAAAATGTTGAAGTGTTATAATTTTGAAGGACAAGCATGAACTTCTTATATTTAGCATAGAACTGTTTTTATTGAATCACTGGTTCTATTGTTTTTATTGTCTTCAATTTCAATACATTCTGATGAGACAATCAACTGACAATTAACGATAAAATTCAATATTAACCATTGATTAGAACCATAGAGACATTGTCTTTATCAAAACTCTCTCATAATTATCTTCATCTCTTCAACTTATATATATATTTCAATGTTTATTGCTACCTGTTGTCTTAAGAGGTCTTTTATTAACATTAACTAATTTTCAATTAGGTTAATGTACCTTAATTTTATTATTATGCCCACTTGAAATTAATCTTTCATTAAAAGTTTTCTTCATAATCTTCACTGTCATTTGTCTCATCTTTAATAACCTTTCAGAGTGACAGAATCAAAGTTTGCTGACTTTCATTTACTTTTGATAATTTAGTGATCAATCTTGCAATTATCAATTTCTTGAATATTGACATTGGTATATTCACTGCTGAACTTGGAGTTAACTAACAGTCCAAGTAAGCCATGTTTAATCCAGCAATCTACCTAAATCAATATGTCAATATAGTTAATCAAGGTTGACATTCTTATCAATTGTTGCACAAACAATTTCATCTTTGTTTGATTTGGATTCAGTTATCAATGTTTTAAGCCATAGTTGTTTTAGCCAAACTCAATTCCATCGTTTGATTGCGTTTGAATAAGTTTTTGCCGTTGGTTATTAAGAAAAATAAAAAAGTAAAATTTATTATTGAATAAATTTGGGATAAATAAAGTATTGTATTGGTGGTAATTGAGTGATTTAAATTTTGTATCTATGATTGTTAACAGTCATTGTATTACTGTGTTAAAAAATTTTCCTTAAACCAGAGAAAAGTCCAGTGTTCTTTTTAGCTACAGGTGATGCAGTTGTACCCTCGGGTGATGAAGATGTTCCAGATGATCCAGATGATTCAGATGGCTTCTCAGTAACCGAGTTGGTTGGCCCTGGATTGAAAAAATTAAAAATAGGATCTACCATACCGTTTGATCCTGGACGATTAACAAATGGATTGAGATAAGCACCATTTGGTCCAGTTAACATTGGGATTTGAGGAGGAGAGGGTTGAGGATGAGGATGAGATAAACCAGATGAAGGTGGAGAAGCAAAGGCCATTGCTGCTTGAGAGGCTGAACTTTCCATCTTCTCACTGGTGTTAGGTTTTCTGAATGATTCAGCAAATGCTAAATCAGTTGAGGGCATGAAAGGTCTATACAAAGGATAAGGTGATCTAAAAGCAAACCCGGAAGTATAAGGTGAAGGGTAGGCCATTTTAAGAGGATAAGACATTGATGGTGAACTCATCATGGAGCCAAAAGTAAATGGGCTTCGAACAGAAACTGGCATCATTGAGCTGCTTGAAGGGAGACCACCATAAGAGTAACTGTAAGGAGATGGAGGTGGCGGTGGAGCGGTTGACATAAGAGGTCGTGGACCGTAAGCACCACCGTAGCCATAACCGCCGAATGAGTATGAAGGTCGAAGGGTAGAGGCATGAGGTCTTAATCCATTTCCACCCCAACTAAACCATGTTGATGGTCGAGGTTGTGGCATAGGGGAATGCATTGGGACTGATGGTGGAGGTGGTTGAGGGTGAGTATGATGATGAGTGTGTGGCTTATAATATGGAATGGCATCATCGAAGAAACTTGATGGCAAAGATGATAATGGAATTGTTTCTGCTGAAGTTGTTAAACCAAATGGACTTCGATATCTGTTGGGTCTAGATGATGATTTGTATCCAGAGCCGCTGCCAAATAATGATGATAACCAACCTCTGTCTGAGGAAGATGGTGATTCCCATTCAGAAAACTCGGGCCATGAAGCTGATGAAGACATGAAGTGTTGCTTAGTTCGATATCTTGGTCGATAACCTGAATACTTTTGTCTTGGAGGTAAATCACGATCATAGTTTTCATGACTGTGAGTTGTTGGTGGTGGCGGTGGTGGTGGTGGGCCATCAGAATGTTTCATGTCATGAGATGGGTTGTGTCGATCACCATCGGGAATTCGTCCTCGATAATCTTCTCCAGAACTTGATGAGCCACTTGGTGGTGGAGGTGGAGGGCCAGATTCATATGAATCTACATATCCTGAATCAACGCCTGAGCTTGATCCAGATGGATAGTCTGGTGGTGCGAAATCGTCGTAGTTGGATGAAGATGAAAACTCTGGTTCTCGGTGTCGGGAGTTTGATCCAACGCGGAATCCATATCGAGTTCGAGTACGAGGGTTGTCAGAGTTGTATGAAGAGTAACGTCCTCCACTGCCGCTTCCAGAATTACCATTTCCAGAGTTACTTCCCATTGAAGATGAAGATCCGTCATTAGATGAACCAGAATTAGAACCAGATGAAGGAGCTTCATAATTATTTGAAGTTGCTGCAGCAGTTAAATCAACCATTTCCATATTGGTTACGGAGGTAGACATTGGTGATGATTTAATTTCATCAGATTGATGGTTAATTGATTGCATATGACTAGGTTGAGCTGACCCAGGTTTATCTAAATCTTGTGAACCAATAGATTGTCCAATCTGTTTAGACCAACCCTTAGTGTCACCAGAATATTTTGATTGATCACCAGACCAACCAACTCGTTTCAAAACTTCTGGTGAACTGATATTATCTGAAGATGGTTTGTTGGCTGATATTTCAGAGACTGAATTATCGTTAGACTCTTTTACGGAGTTAGATGCGGCAGCGTTAGACGATCCAGCCAATGAGCCAGATGAATACAACGCCATTGGAAAGTCTTCATCGCTCAGTGGTAATAAATCAGCTTTTGCCCAAAGGCTTGATAAACCAGAAGCAATATCTCCAGACGTCAGGGCTTGAGCCAAAGGAAGAGCTGGTATTGAATCGTCTGATCTATTTTTAGACTGGTTAGGAATGGTGACAAACACCTTTGGAGTTGTACTGGCATCTTCTGATTTGATAAGAGCACTTTGCTGACAAGTAACCAGAAAGTAAATTAGAAGATATTTCTGTGAAATGAAAGAAATAAAAATAAAAATTGATTAGACTATAATATCTTAATATAGGATCAAAAATAGTAATCATTAAATTGGTTAAGCAAAATCGCTTCAACCATTTCTGAATCACACACCAACCTAATTATGAGATGAAGATTTTCACCAATTCATAGAAATAGAGTTAGAAGTTGAATTAAATTAAATCAGGAGTATGAAACATTCATAAATAATAAAACACAACGAGCGCAACAATGAAACCGTTAATAATAAACAATAGCTATCAATATCGATGAACCAAGATTGATTTAAAAGATATAAGATAACAGATATATTGGATAATGAATACAACTACGAATCGATCTACAAACGAGAATCTTAATTTTTAATTAATAATTAAGCAAATAAATCTTTAATCATGATTTGAGTGCACATGAATGATTAAAATCTTGATTATCAACAAATCCTTTCAATGTTTATAAATCTAATGGTTAAACAGTAAGACAAATAGATGTAAACATATACTAATGATGACTTTGTTAGTCTTAATGATCTTATAAATTGAATCTTGTCTTTCAAGTCTTCATACTTGTCATAACAATTGTCATTTTGATTAATCTTAATCATTAACCAACAAAACCATGTTTCATTTCAATTATTAACACACAAAAAACCATCAACTAACAAGTGAAAAAATCAACGAACCATTGTAAACTACATTTAATCAAAAAGTGATCTAATAATATCCATTTTTGGGATCCAATTTTAACTGTTTATCCTAAATTTTAGGGTTCCTCATTCCCATCATCCTGAACAGAATCAATTTTAATCATAATCACATGAATAATCTCAATAATAATAGTATTTACCTTTCAATTTTCAGGCTTTACATCATAAACTTGACCTTAACCTGTTCAACTTATTAATTCATCAAACCATATCTAATTGCCAACAACTTAGCAAGTTGATCAATAGTTGATTAAATTGAACCCAAGTGAGGATGAAATGAAAATACTTACAAATGCAATGAAAAAATCAAATCAAATCAAAACTCAATGTCCAACTTAAAGGAATCAACAATTTTCAATGGACAGACCAAATTGATGCAAAACCAATGTAATTAAGGTCAACAACAAACTAGATTAACCCGTAAAGTGTGAAAAGCTCAACATGAGATTAAACTCTAATCATTTGTTAATTGTTACTAAATAGTGTTGATGAGAATCTACAAAATGTAATTTACATTTACCTTTATGTATTCACTCATTAACAGGACAAGGAAGAGTTTAAATGATAATCTTGAATGAAAAGAAGCTAACATCGGAATAAGGTGAGAATCGGAATGAACTTGAAATTCTTTTATCCATGAAATGTTAATAATATTATTAATAACGACAATAAGAGTAACAATAATGGGAAAGTCAAAAATTGATTCAAACAGTGAACAGTTAACAACATTATTAATCATTATTGTTATTGCCTTACAATTTCAATACTAATATTATTTTGTATTACAATGTTTTTGTAACAAATTCAATGAAACGAAGCCAAAATTAGAGGCCGTTAAGTGATCATCATAATGATGATCATGTCGTCTTCAGTATCATCAACTGAATCTTAAAAATTAACGCTCCTCTGAGTTTACTGATCATCACTGAAAAAAAAACTGAATAAATAGAAGCTTCTCTCTTATATTTCACCCAAAATTCACGGTTTAAAGACTTTTTTAGCTTCCTTCTTCAATCTCACCTGAAATGTGAAGCTTATCATCTCAATGAACCGGCAAATTGGGTAAAAATTAAGACGATTCTGATGTTGATCATCAACATCATCATTATCATGTTCATGATCATGTTCAAGAGTCAAGAAGGAACCGGATAATTTGTTACGGTTAACAACATTCGCTCCAATCAATGACAATTTCAATTTACCCAAATTTTTTACATTTTTTTCATTCTTTCAATTATTTATGTTTAAATTTAATAACAAGTTGATTCTCAATCAATCATTACCAATTCAAACCTAAATCTTCATTTAAAATCAAAATTCATTTCTTTTCAGGTTTGGGTTGCTATTAAGCTAATTGTCTGTCAAATTTGACAAGTGAATATTGAAAAAAATCAGTCTAAAACAAGACAATTTATGCTCTATTTGATGATAAAAAATCAAGAAAAAAATTCTCGTTAATCGTCTAATTAAAGCAATTAGCTGTTAATGAAATGCTCTTCAACGTAAAATTAACAGAAAATCAAAAGCAAAATTGAATATCAAAGATGAATTGAAAGCATCGAGAAAATCGAGACTGGATGTTAAAGCTGAATATAACATTGAATTGTTATTAAACCATAAAATTGGAAACAATTGACAATAATTTTAAATTAGACTGAATTTCTTGTCAGATCTACTGCGTTTTGCTCGTTAAAATACTGTTATTTAGCGTTCGATTGTCTACTGATTGTATTGGAATTGGAACTTTGGTTAAATTTGAAATTATCAAAATTAGAGATTGAGTTAAAATCCAGAAAAGGTTGAGATACAAAAGACACAAAATTTACCTTAACCATTGTGAGTGTTGAGTATTTGAAAGATAAACTGTAATTCCTCGTAACAAAAAGTCCAATCGTATTATAAATCACAATTGCCAAAGATTGAAGCACAAACAAATCACCATTCACAACAATTAATAATCAATGATTAAACAGTGAGAGAAACGCGATTTAAAGGGAAAATAAAATACAAAAGATTCACTTCATAATATCATGTTAAATGTTGTCGTTGCGGCTGCTGAATATGAAACAAACCAACAGTTGACCGAGTTACATTATATATGGAAGGGGCGAATCCCACCTCTTCTACCTCACCCACAATCTCACCCTCTCATCATCACCATCATCATCATACAACTATGAACCCATAGCGAAGTTGTCTTCTCATTCCTTTACTTGAGGTCATAAAAGCGCCCTAAAAGGAGTGGTTTCATCCGCCATCATTGGTAACATCAAAATGCTTATTATTTTCACCAACATTTACAGTAACAAAGGAGTTAATTTCATCTTTTAAGGCTTACACATTAAGCAAATTTGATTACCATTTTTTTATATCAAAATTTAATGATCAATGCGACAAATTTGTATTTTTTACACCAAAAATTGACTTTTAAAATAATCTTTAAACGCATTTTCAATTGAAATGATGCATTTTTATTGCCCTTGAATAAAATGAAATATCTTATGCTATTAATAATGTCTTTTGAACCTTTAATGACGATTAAAGTGAATATTTTGTCGATATTTTCACTTATTTTGATAGCTTTACCGGTATCAATTGGTAAATGGTGAAACAATGACATTAGTCAATTAATGGTGTATTTGGCTGGTTAAAGGTTCCAAATTGTTATTAATAACTCATTAAATGCCCAATTTTGCCTCCTGTTGTAAATCATCTCAATTGGTAATGAAATTTCGGGTTTTGCATCTTAATCAATCAGAATATGCGACTTTGAATTCATTTGTTGTGTTCAATTTGATTGCTTGTTTCTCACCTTTCAATGCATCTTTTGATCTTCCTTTTGTTGCTTGGTTTTGAATTTAACAACTAATTATGATTTGGTTTGATCAACAATTCCCATGCAATTGTGTCAATACTGTTGTTGGATTGAACAATCAATTACATGACAAATCTCTTCTACCAAATATATTCACTTAAAAAGCAACAAAAATGATTATGACTAAAGAAAGGGTAATAAGCAACATTGAAACTTCCCACACTTTCAGCTCATCAAAATCATCTAATCTTTGGTACTTTTCACCTTATTTTCACATTTTGTGGTCTCAAAACGTTATTGCACTAAATCTCCATCATGTTTAACCCGAACAATCGGTAAATCTTTTTGGGAATAATCATTATCTATTCGGATAATCATTTGAAATGTTTCTTCCTTGCGTTGTTCACCTTATTTCAGTCTGTAGCCAAAATCAATCATCTATACGAATTAGTATTTCAACAATATTCAAGATACAATCAAATGAACATGAATAGACATGATTACTAGTCTCTTGTTAAAGCTGTAAATATGTGAAATATTTAATCTTATTAATGGAGTGAAGCAAAAAGACAAAATAACTGGTTCAATGGATTAGATGAAATATCTTGATATCCTTTAAAATTTCAAGTGTTAAGATGTTTTTGGGTTTAAGCCATTCATTAATAAATAATAGTGAATCCAACACAGAAGCCAATCTCAATAACACGTGTTTAAATTTGATTACACAATAATATTCACAATTTTAAAATAACTGTTAATCACCTTAAATAAAAAATTGATTTATCAGGCTTCAATTGACACTTAAAATTAGGCTTTTGGACTTATCCGATAATTTAGATCCTATCAAAGTATCAATTATCCAATATTGTTTGGGCGGTTGCCATTAACAACTTGCCGTTATTTTTTGAAAAATCATAAGATTGAAAATTTATTAATGTTGACAAGTTTAAGTATCTGTGAATCACACCTTTAAATGATTAATTTAATAATATTTACGCTAATTGATTTTTTCAATGAAAGTTATATCTTTCTCTTTCAATTAATGGATAACCAGAATTGGGTAAAAGTAAACCAAGGAGCGGAAAGTTATTACCATTATAAAATGTTTTGATTTTTTTGTTCATCTTTTGTGCTTTTTTCAAATGTCTTATTTTGATGTTTATTTGACGATCACTCTTAAAGTTAATTCAATGAAAGTTCCATTTGGTTAATAACTACAATTGATTTAAAACCAACATCATCATTATCATCATAACCATGATCCTCATGATCAACGACAACAACAATCGTTAAATGGAAAGGTTGAGCTTACCTTTAAGGCTGCATTCATTTTGTCAACTCTTTTGACATAATAAAAATGGTTACCTGTAATGAGGATGGTAATAATGATAAATTGGGCTAATTGACGAAAATAAACAATAACCTTATTGGAATAACAAGATGACAAAGTTACTCATGGAAATCACGATCATCAATATTATCTTCTCAACTGGTTATTAACTAAAGCATGTTTTCATGATTCAAAGCAAGCCCGATGTAATACCAATTGTCATCAATTGCAGTCATATCAACCGCATCCATTAACAATATATTTGTTGATATCATTCAATTATCTAATGATGGCTCTCCCGGTTAAAATTTATATTAAAACGGATTAAATGGCGATGAATGGTCGTAAATAATCAACTGATGGTTTACATTTTTGGTACAAGATTTTGGTTTAAAGTGGCAATTATAAACACTGGTAATCGTAGGAAAAGGATTCAAATGGCGCATAGTTTCGATAATTGTGGGTCTGGTTTGGAGTGAAAATATGATAAACGATTAATCAATCAAGCAAACTACCGTCAAAAAATCAACCACGCATTGATTAACTACTTATTGTTGACTCTTTTGAATTTACTTTTACCCTTTTTATTTCGATCAACGTTTGATCCCTATCAGGTTACTCCTTTTTTGTTATCTGACAAAGTTAAAGTCAAACCAAACAGGATTTAAATGTCACATCAACACCGCTATCATCATCATCATCAACCCAACATCATGATAAGATAAAGAAGATGATATTGCTGTTGTTTTATTGTGAACAATTTATTGGTTATGCCAAGCATCAGCAATTTAAATACCGGTAGTTAGTAAATCATCTTATCGTGTTCGATGCCGTTTTTTGGTGTTACTGGATCTTTTTACCGTAATAAATACTATCATCAATCGTCGGTCTAATAATTGAGAGAACTAATTTGTAACAAGAAATGTTCAATTGTGCAATTTTCTTGATCAACACTGGCTCTTGATGTGTTTAAATGCTTGTTAGTGCTACAATTTACCATATTCATTGATGTGCATTAAACAAATTAGACTTGAAGATGACAGTCAAGTTAAATGATTTATTATTATGATTAGACGTAATTTTTGTGGCCTAACTAACCTGTATGTGTGTTACTATTACTATTGGCTTCACACTAAACCAAAACACTTATACAGAAAGATCTTTTTCCGGGTATAACAAACGGTCGATTTATTGGTCACAAGTTTTTCATCATTTCACTCATCTTAACCAAAAAGAACTGAAAATTTCACCAGAATTTCAGTTTCATTTTAATATGCAATCTTGAAACTTTTTTACCAGCAAAATATCAAATGTCTCACAATCATAATCCGAATCAACATCCTTAGATCTGTAAATATTAATATAATAATCCTTCTCTGAGAAAGATTCACGTTGGTAAAACCGTCTAAGATTGAGTTAATCCTGTTGATCAACTGAGATAAACGATTGAACGATTCAAAAAAGTAGATTTATAAACGAAAACAGTTGGAAAAAAATTTTGCTTATCCTGGAGCTAATTGGTCAAAAGGGTTTATTCATATTGAATTTGTTAAATTGAATATGTATTTAAGATAGCCCCAAACGTAGACTTTGGTTTGTTGTGGGAGCAAGGCTCAACGATCAAGACTCATAATAAGAAATAACAGTTTTTCGGACCATCGATTTTAAAGACAGAATTTCTGTTGATTGTATTTTTTGGTTGCTTATTATTTAATATTTATCTTAATCAGTTGTGAGCATATTGATTCATAAACTAAACGTTGAGCCTTAAACATGTATTGTAAATCTGCGCCCAATCTGCGCTTATTGAGCTCGAACAATTTATAGTTCATTTGTTCAGTTTGCTTTCATTTAGCTTAAGTTTCAAACTGAAATCTGAATCCTTTTGACAAGTCAAAATTTGATTTACTGCATCAGAATTCATTGAATATTCATTATGCATCATCAATTATTTGAAACATTTTTTGCATCAAAATAAATCGAAAGAAGCGGTAAAGAATAAAAATATATTTCATTTTGACGATTTATTAGGGCTCTTAAATCAATTTAAATTGTTTGACTTGATTTCACAAATTGCTTTTTAATTATAACATTTTAAGGTTATCTGTTCATTGTTGAAGTTGAATTATGTCGGTTAAACTGGTTGAATTTGTCCAAAAATATAGATTTCTGTTGCATTTGAAATCTGGGAAAATAAAAAATCTTTGAAAGTGAAAGGAACTCTGATGAACTAATAAAATGGATTAAATAGGTTTTAGATTATGTTATTTCGATTAACAAATAATCTCGAGTCTTTTGTTTCGTAGCTCTGCTCCATTCCGTTGCGGTTTTTGCTTTGAATTCTGGATCTTTGTTTGGAAAAATTTCCGATTATTTCAAGACAATTTACATACGAGCCTATGCTGGACTGGCGTTTGGTTTAAAACATGATTTCATACCCAATTTTTTTCTTTTTATATGGCCAAGGGTCGAAACACTTAATCCCATCTTTTTAGCAGCTTCAGTCTCAGAGATGGAAGGGTTATTTGTATACAAATTTTGCACATCCCTTAAAACTTTGGGCGTCATTATTTTCACTGGTCGACCTGGGGAAAAATTTGTTTTCACTCTTTTCTCACCATTATACCTTTTTATTATGCGGTAAAATGTTGAACTTGGAATTCCCTCGAGTTTGAAATGTTGCCAGGTCACTTTAGAATCAAATTCACCAGAACTACAGTAAAATGAAATAATTCTTTCCGCGAGAGCATCGCGTTCGATCTTATTGAGCATATTTAATTCACGAAATTAAGTCTACTTTAAGTGTCAAATTCATCAAAAGAGCAATCTTTCATTTTGTAATATCCTTGTTGAAAACCGTTGTTTTTACATTTGAATCCATTCCCATATTTCTTAGGAACCCTTGTGTTTCTGAGACTGCCAGTGATCTAAAATTGATATCGAATGTCTTAAGATGTCATTTTCTTTATTCAAATTTGGTTATAATTATTTGGTTCTGATTCGTTTTCATTTTAATTTGATTAATATTTTCCCTACCTTCGGATAAAGCTGTGGATCTATGATCAGATGTTTTGTTTAATTCAACAAAGTCGATTAGTCGCTTTCAATTCCATATGAAAACTAAGCATAGAGTTTCAAAGTAATTTAGAAACAGATAGAGACATTAATAATTGATTTTAATCAAATTAAATTACAAACCAAAAACCAAGAAAACGGTTAAATTAAATTTTGACCAAATCGCTCCGAGTGCCATCTATTGTTTGCCAATTTAACTTTTTGTAGTATTGTTTTTACTGTTTCATGTTATCATCTAATCGTATTTTTATTAAACAATTTCCAATTAATTATTCAATTTTCTCAGTTTAATTATTCAATTCACGTTTATTGTTAATCCTCCACAAAAATGATTAATGCTTGAATGTTTGTACAGATGGAACATACTTTAGAGCAAAGATATTACGCGAATACCTAAAGATGCAAGTTATTGAAAATGTTTTTGTTCAAACCGGTCCAGTTTTCACCAGCGGATATTTTACATATTTACGTTATTAATCATTAAGACGACGACTTCTTGATAATCTAAAAATAATTGCTTCCAAACTATGTACTTAAAATGTAAGTACATTATAATTATAATCTGATATCATTTCTTGGTAAAAAAGAGTAAAATGAGTAAATATTTTAACTTGTTTTTGTCTAGTAGCGATAATCCAACGATACATGAAGAGCAATAAAGAAATCTTGTCTAAGTCCTCTACGTTGGCAGTTTTGCGTGCAAAGCAATTAAATCGTCAAGATTATAACCATTGGAATAGAATCAATCAACAAACTGATAACAATTGTGAATAACAAAGTCTGAGAAAAGGTCTAAAGAGGTACTCAACATTAATTTTCCATATCTAATCTTCTAACCTGGTTGATAGCTGTTATACCTCAAGGATGTTTCACATTCAGGTTGTACATGATAATGAAATTAACCACAAATTTTCATGTGTGTACATTGGTCCTTAATTTTGCCTGATGATTTGTTTCCATGTCATTCTAAACCCAAACGAATGTCTCTTCAACAATTTAAACTTTAATGTGAATCAATTATTTAGAGAAATCCAGAAAATTCGATTACTCTGTTTTCTCACTCCGAATGAGTAATGATTCTATTCATCCCATGAGACTGAACAAACCATAAGATAGCTTTCCCCATTATTGATCTTGTACAAAAAAATAGACTCATCAGTCTTGTAAGTCATTCAAATCAGGGATAGAAAGTCAATAGCACAATGAGTCCTCCATTGACTTCATTCAGTCTCGCCAGTACATTTAAAAATTTGAGAGACCCTGAACAATCAACATTTCATCTTTTGTATGGACACTCGCCTTCTCAAGAAACACAAATATTCTTCCATCAAATCGTTTACATGTCATAACCTGAACCATCCAAGCACTGTATGTTCATAACACGAATACCATGACTATTGTTATTTCTTGGAAATATATTCAATCGATATTCTGGTTAGAAAAAAGCTCGCAACCTGATCAATGTTTGCTTTTTATTACTATATCTTCAGTGCATACAAAAACATATTATCTAAAACGCTAAAATCTAATGTTTTAAGACAATTGACGCAATTAACTTACAATCAATTAGCTAATGTTTTTATTTTTGCCCTTTTACAGAACCAACAATAGACTGAAGTCAAACAAAGCAAGTTCATCAATCAATCGGAGGATCACCAAATGGCCAAATAAACCAGATTAACCAAGCCAACCAAATTTCAATTATAGCTGAATCAACATTGATAAACCAAAAAGTCATGTTTACTGTCAATCCAAATTTCTAATGATGAAAGCCAATCCAGCAATCAATTGATTATGTGATTACCATAACGAGCTTGAACGATGAAATGTTACTAAAATCAAGGAAATGCTGTTGACAAAACAAAGCGCACAAAAGCACCAAAGATACACTTCTGGGAATTCATTTGGCCTGATTTCGTATCGTTGGTAACCTCATTAACAGCTATCATCATCATCTGTATCATTATTATAATTGTTTCTAACTCATCTGTTCAATATATTTCATCATAATTTCCCCGTTGATTCCAGTCTATTCGCTTCGATTAACTTGTCATCTAAAAATACAGTAAAAACACAGCACATAATCCTCCATAGATAACATTTACCGAAACTAATTATAAATCTGTTAAAGGCCTGATGTAAGCCTAACTCGAAATTATTAATAATCACTTTTATTTATGTACAGTTTATACATAACCTGTATAACAATTAAAAAAAGCCCAGAACATAATTATCCAACCTTGAACGTGATATTCAATTTCAATGAGTTGCTGAATTTGACTAGATGACATAAATTCATCATCAAATGATACAGAAAATTTACAAAATTCAATCTCATTTAGACCTGAAATAACCCAAAAACTTGATACATCGTTCCAATAGTCATCTGTAAACATGAAAACATGAGATGTTATTTCCAGGTAAATAAATTTTCTTATAAAAATGATCAAATCTATCGATACAATGATTGAGCATTTCATCTGTTTTTCAAGCAAGAGATTTGAAAATCAAATTCCTATTTAGTTACAATCAACCCAATTCCATAAATGAACAATTGACAGAGTTAAATGAACACTAAAAATAGGCAAATAGTTTCATTGAGATTGTTTCCTGTTGAAACTAATCAATTTGAGCAAATCGGAATGTAAATCACGAGGAATTAGTATTGAATAATCTCGATTAGAAATGAGCTAAAGCTGAAAAAATTGAAAGACGAAAGGATTTACCTAAATCTAGAGGATTCAATGAGCAATTGATTAAATTATTGACTGTAATTTAATAGTCGAGCATTACAATCATTTCCATTTTCATCATAAAGTCGATCATTTGTAATGGTTGGTTAGTTGTTTTACCCTTTTCTGGTTATTTCAACTCTTCAAATGACTATTTTATGGTCAATGTTAACATTGACAATCAAAATCAATGTTGCATCAACAATAAAACAATTAATCACCGATTTGCTAGCAGTTTAATCACAATGTTGCTTCAAATGAAATTAAAAATCGTAAACCTTATTCAGCTTGAAACCAATGAAAGTGAAATTTGATGAAAGTATAAATTCACAGTTGAACGAAAACAAATTTCCATCAATTGGTTAACATTTTCAAACAATCAAATCAATTGTTAACAGGTTTAAACAATTGACCATGAAAATAGCCAATAAAATTGAAAATAAATCATAAAAAGGATGAAATAAATATCTTTGAAAATGAAATTGAAACAAAAGATACAAGAAAGACAGCTGATTAAAAGACGATGTAAATGATGGATTATTCAATGAATTTGAAGTCAACTTGAACCTGAACTTGGATTGAACCTGAAGAGATGAACGATTGTCAGTTTATGAGACTTGGGTTACAATAAACCGTTGGTTAAATGACAAGTTAATTGTGATAATAAAAAAGCCTAAACAAAAGATGTAACAAAATTTGAAATGTTTACCCATTGAAGCACAATAAACCTTGACATTAGATGTCTCAATGTCACACGCAATTTCATTTCATCAACTCATAAATAGTGAAATTTTCATCAAATTAACAGTCTTGATGATAATTTGACAAGTAAAATGGATTTAGTTAATTCTCATTTCTAACAATTTAAGCCCAATTCAAGTCATTAACGTTTAAAATTAAATGTATTGATGAATGGAAACAGTTCATTACTTGCTTTTCACAAATGAAACAAACAAGACAATCCTAACTGGTAAAACGATGAAAGGTTTATGAAGATAATGATTTTGATGTTGTTGATGATGATGATTAACATGATGAAAGTTTCATTGTTGGGTGGGAACATGTTAGGATATAAAACAGAATCAATATCATGTTAACTCTCATGTTTATATCATTTTAACTGAATTACCTTTTTTCCCTTGTCAAACAACTTTAATCTTAATCAATTTCCTTTTAATCAAAATCATTCATTGTCCTTCGAGTATTTTTCTCATCATTAATAACAGCAAACCTTTAGAGACTTTACCTGATACCTTTCTCATGACCATTCAAACAATTCACCTTTCAATTGTTTAATAATCCGTAAGTGATTCAATTTCATTTAATTTAGTGCTTTTGGGTTAACATTGACCAGTTTTTGTTTACATTTTTTGCCTTTGGTAATGTTATTGCTTTGTATTAATAACATTAACTCAACAATGTTACAATTGATATTGTAAAGATGGACATTCATTGTCAATTAATCTAATTTAATACCAACAGTTATGAGCGTTACTCGCTCATTTAGATTCCAGTAACAAAAAGATATCCCATCATTTTACCTGCCTAACTCAATTAACCTTTAAACACTGAGCAACAAATCTTAAAAAATTGTATAATCTGGTCAAGACTATTGTTGAAGCAGCTATGGATACTTTTGCCTGAATGAAAATTATTGGGCTAAATGCAAGAAAACGCTTGTTTCTTTATGCGCTGGTTTAACGGTCGCTCTAGTTTGTATCGCTACAAGACTTGGGTTAACTGATCGGGTTCCACTTGTATCATTAATAATTTTGGTTGTTTGCTTAACAAATCACGATATTGAATGAAGATTCGAAAAGAATGTCATTTTAACCATTCATCAATAATGGCAACCATTTCTGGTTAAGTTACAAGTCTCTATCAGGCTATTGACTTTGTTGCTGGCATTTTCATTTTGTTTAATTCACTCAAGAATCATTTGTTGCTCAGTTATTTCGATCATGATTAGATAAATCAAAATCTTGATTAGAGTTCGATAAAAGAAGGGAATTTTCTTAGACTTTACAAGAACAGGTCCAAATGAGTACAGATTTTGGTTTACAATAAAACTTGTTTTTTAGACAGGAAATGAGTGAAACACCAGAGCGATTGAATGAGACACATTTGTCTGTTCAAAAATCGTTAAATCCTTAGTTTACTGAAAATGTTGTCAGAAAATTTTGAGACATTCAGAGAGAATGAAGAAATGAATGAGTTGAGTAAATGAATTTGATAATAAAATGTTCGTGTTTTGATAGTTTCTCTATCATCTGCTCTTGATTTTGGATTAGAAATTTTCTGATAAAATTGTGATCAATTCTTTGTAATTACAAATTTTTCATTTGCAAGTGCATTTAGAGTTGACTGTTGGTTGGGAAAAGGTTTCACTGTAATTGACACTTGCAACAAGTTAAAGATGAACATTAATTTTGATTATCATAAAGGAGGATCCAATTAGTTGTTTAGGTAGTGAATTATTGAATTAATGGTCGATTGTTGAAACTTTAAATGATTTACTTGGAAAGAGTAAATGGTTAATCATTGAGATTCGTGTAGATGTTATTAAATGTAGAGACATTGAAGGAAACTCTGGGAGGTTTCAATCTTGTAAGATATAACCATGATTCTGGTGTTGCTCTCATGAATTCATCATTACCTTTTGATCCTTTTAAATTGATGATTAGGTGTGGTTGGTGAGTCAACCTAGAAAATAAATTGCTTTTTGATTTGTAATTGATCAACTGAACAAGTAAAGACAAAAATGAAAATTTACTTTTGTTGACTCACAATCTTTATCGATAATTTATCGATCGCCTTCAGATTATTATACACATTTGGAGGAGGTTTCAGGGTAACTGAACAGGAAATGGGCAGTTCATTTGATTGCTAAATAATAACTTTACTTATGGATTCTCATTCAAGTTGTAACAATCACATGAATTGCCAATACTATTACCATTACTAATAGATTGCAATGAACTAGTTCACTATTGTTATTAACATTTTATTGATATTATTTGGTCGATCATCAAATTGACCAACAACTATGAGTTGTAAGTTTCATCAAAGGTAAGTTGATTGAGAAAAAAACTAATATGATCAATGATTATCAATTGATTGTGAGAAAGGAATCATTAAACGAAACATTGGATATAAATCGATATAAAAACTACAACCATTCAGATATACTGAAGGAAGGATATTTTTGTTTATATATTTTACTCAACTTGACTCGAGTTGTTTGCTTTTAATGCAAGTTAATTAACAGATAGTTGAATTAAACCCAATTATTTTAATAAACATTTTTCTCTCTTCCTTCTGTCTAGCAATTTACACTTCAAGGTAAACAATTAATCTCAATAATATCTCATTAAAAAATGTTTAGCTGGGGTTTCTGGTGATGTTAGGTGAAGTCAATTTCAAGTCATTTGAAGCTCGGGTTGAGTTGCATGTTTGATTGTTGAGGCACTTTTAAATTCAATTCACAGAGACTTTAGATTGTAATTTGTAGCATATTCATCAATAATATATAAATGTCTTGAAGTCCAATGATTTAGATGCCGAGTTGTTTTGATGATTTACTGGTTTAACCACAAGGAAGGAGGATTCAAGTATGAAGGTGAAACAATTAGCTAAATTAACTGGTATGGGTTTGAAAATAATCGGGTTTTAAAAGTGAAATTGTTGGCGTAGGTTAATAAGATGAAATAATTTATGCAAAGTTGACTGTGAACAGAAATTGGCAAACAATCAATCAATCAGTTTAGTTGTGAATAAAATAAAACACTAAGAGTGTTTGCTTTTACACCAAATAGTAACACATACACAACCTTCAAATGTATCAATAAGTAAATTGGTCTTTTCCGTTAACCAGACTGAAACACATTAAACGAAAAAAATAATGTCCAAGAATTAAACGATTGTATAATCAATAAATGGGGAAAAATAACAATATAAATAAAATTGCAAAAAAAAGCCAATCTTAAAATTAAAAGCAACTGTAAGAATAAGGTTTGTCGTGTAAATAGCCTAATGACTTAAGTTTAACAACATCTGACAATTGTGAGACTATTTCCACCAATTTATCTGGTTGGGTCAGTTAAAAATGTAATTGACTTCATATTTGTTTTGTGTAATAAATTAATTTTTTATCATTAATTGGAATTTTATTATTTAATTGTGTGATTATTTTACCCTATTTTATACTGTATACATCATTGTTTTACATCAATCGATCAAAATATTTCACCAAATCTATTATTAATGGTGAATAAATGCGAGGGAAATCAATTTTCGGCTCTTCTACTTGCTCAACAAGATATATATCATGTGCTCTCTGTGAACCTAAATATGTGTACTCTTTATGTACATTATTTAAACTGGTTACATTAATTGAATTAAAAAAAGGTAAATATCTCATTATCATTGATCAATGAGCTTTAAGTGCATTAAAAATGTAATGTTACATATATTTGGTAATTTTATTTTTCAACTTTTAACCCAACAGTGATAAATGCAGCAATGTTCAAAGACGAATTACCTTTATGATGTTGACATGATTTTTGATGAGAAAGCCTTTTTTTCAAGATGCTGCCGAGGATAAAGAGGATTCTGGTGATCAAGATTCTGGCAGAGAAACTGAAAGTTCAATGCCAATCAAGATTCCAAATTGTTGGCTGTTTTTTTTCTTGTATCATCTCTACTTTAGGTTAATACATATTGAATGCATGGTTGATCTTAGGTTATAAAGAACAGGATAAGAATAAAATGGAAAAGAAATGAGAACAACTCTTAACAGTTATCTGTTGGTTGACACAATGAGACATAAATTGAACAGAATACATATATTTATGTGTGTACATAATGTGTCTAGAAAATGGTCTGCAATCTTGAACATTCATGGAAACTGTCAACAATTTAGTTATTCATGATTATTCAACGTCCATTCCTTATCAATCTTGTTTCTCCCCATATTCATTGTTATTTTCATCATCCATTACCACCCTCTCTGGATAACCTGAATGGACACTCATTTAAGTTAATAGTGACAGATGAACATGATGAATTGGTGTTTACCTTTACCAACAATGAAACAGAAACACAATAATATACAATAACTGTAACTTTTGTAGCATTATTTTCAACTATTTTTACTCAATTCAAGTAATGCATAAGAAATGCTTTTGATGAATGGTACATAGGAAGACTTAAATAACTATTTACCATAATGAAACAAATTGTTGATCAAAACCTCTCTGCATTTATAATGATTTACCAGAAAACGAAGGCTTTCAACCCAAATTGAAATTTTTTGCTAAATTTTTTTAATTGTCCTCTTAAGTCGAACCTTTCAACTCGAAATGATTCAAATGATAATTACAATTATTGATACAAATTCAGGAGCAAGGATTGAACCGTAATTATAATTCATAAAGATTGAAATGAATAAAATCAATCCTCGATGAAGCTTGAGTGAATTGAAGCAAAAAATGTCTTTCAATGGTCATTTTAGTGTTAATTAATGTATAATTTGTTAATTATAAAGTCAAAGTTGACAAGTTAATTGTATAAAAAGATGAATGTAACAAGGTTAATTGATGTGAATAAAGTAATTCAATGTTGATCCATTGAAAAACAAAGAAAGTCAATTATAGTGAATGAAGCTCAAGTTGTAAGTAAAACTGTTTTAAGTAATGCTTTTAATAAGTAATAAGTTGATGTGAATGTTGAAGGTAAACCAGAATTGAATATGAACCGAACTTGATGTTGAATGGAAATTTTGCTTCTTTCAATGTTTAATTGACTGTAAGCCCACTAAAAGGTATTATTTTATCAATATTATATTCAAATGTTTGCAGGGAGTTGGAAATGATTACATTGGTTGTGTTAGACTTCGTGAGTTGACTAACCTTTTCACATTCAATTCAACTAAACATCATTATTTGTTGACTTTTTGTTCATTTTGTTGATTGAAATTTTCCTGAAAGGCTATCGAACAAGTCGATAATTTTACTCAACCTAATTCATGGTTTCAAGAACCAGATACCTTTTGGTTGAAACAGTTGTATATTCCCATTGAAAACACTGAAACCTGAGAAATTTATAGACCAACTTATTGATTGATTATTTGTTTGGATTTTTTAGATTCAATTTTGACCTTTTTTTAAAACAGTTTCGGCTAAACTTCCGTATCCAGCCTGCTGAATTTCTTGATGAAACTTTGTGTACTTATAGAACTTGACGAGCTGAGTCCAAATATATAGGTCATTTTATGCGGAAACGCCCCCTAGCGGAGAAAATCGTACTTGTACGAAAACGCGTTTTAGGCCATTTTGAGCGTTGCGCATGCGCATAGAACCATTTTTTTGACCTTGACTGACCTTAACGGGCTGGCAAATGTGTATGCGAAGTTTCAAGACTCTAGCAATTATACTTGCAGAGATATGGGGCAATATACATAAAATACAAAACATATACAAAATCATTAGAAAACAATAAAATCTCATTTCAAAGGCATAAAATGTCGATATGTGAACACTAAACACTTCACATCGATGACATAGGTTAGGTTAGGTTAGGTTAGGTTAGGTTAGGTTAGGTTAGGTTAGGTTAGGTTAGGTTAGGTTAGGTTAGGTTAGGTTAGGTTAGGTTAGGTTAGGTTAAGTTAGGTTAGGTTAGTTTAGGTTAGGTTAGGTTAGGTTAGGTTAGGTTAGGTTAGGTTAGGTTAGGTTAGGTTAGGTTAGGTTAGGTTAGGTTAGGTTAGGTTAGGTTAGGTTAGGTTAGGTTAGGTTAGGTTAGGTTAGGTTAGGTTAGGTTAAATTAGGTTAGGTTAGGTTAGGTTAGGTTAGGTTAGGTTAGGTTAGGTTAGGTTAGGTTAGATTCGGCACAAAGATTGTGA